GTCGCTGTCAGTTGGAGTTAACTGTCGCTGTCAGTTAGAGTTAACTGTCGCTGTCAGTTGGAGTTAACCGTTTAAACTGTGCCTCTCCCGTGACGTCATCTGGGGTGATGTGCAAACCACCAATCCCGGCTCTACACATCTCACTCGGAGCTCCTAGGCTTATATAAGGGGCTGGGTTTCTTAGCTTGGGGTCTCCCTCTAAGAAGCTGATCATCTATCTCTCAAGATGCATTAAAGCTTTACTGCAGAAGGATCCGAGTGTTCTGCGTCGTTCTTGCTGGCGAGACGGTAGCGCGGGACACTCCAGAAAAAAAAAATCCTGACCAGGCGGCAGTGGCACATGTCTGCAGTCCCAGCACTCAGGAGGCAGGGGCAGGAGGATCTCTATGAGTTTGAGGCCAGTCTGGTCTACAGTATGAGTTCTAGGCCAGCCAGGGCTACTCAGAGAAACCCTGTTTTGAGAGTAGGGGAAGGCAAGTAATTGCCAATTTTATAAAAAGAGGCAAAAGCAGGGGCTGGAGAGATGGCTCAGAGGTTAAGAGCACTTGACTGTTCTTCCCAGGGATCCTGAGTTCAATTCCCAGCAACCACATGGTGGCTCACAACCATCTGTCATGATATCTGGCGCCCTCTTCTGGCCTGCAGGCATTATGCAGGCAGAACACTGTATACATAATAAATAAATAAATCATTAAAAATTTTAAAAAAACATAGGCAAAAGCTTTGAACAAATTTCTCCAAGTACACATTAGCTGACAAGATGCCTCAGCCACAGAGACCTGAGTCTGACCCCTGGGACCACATGGGGAGAGGGGACACTGACTCCTGTCCCACCTCCTGACATCCATGCAAGTACATGTGCATACGTGCGCGCGCACACACACAAATACGTCCTAAAAACGTCTTTCTAAAGAGAAGAAGGCATACTAATGGCGAGAAGCAAGCAGTTAGATGCTCGTTGGGAAACGGGTATTAAACTCACAATGAGATTTCGCCCAGCAGAACGGTTACTTAGCAAGACAACAGCGCCAGTTCCTGACGGACACCGTGGGGGCTGCCAATGGTACAGCTCCTTGGGAAGACAGTCTGGCGGTCTCTTACAGTTAGACACATGCATACCCTAGGGCCCCAGTACCCCACTCCATGCAAGTTACTCAAAAGCAGTGAAAACGTGAGCACCGATGAACGGTACAGCACGGTCCCGTGTCCGCTAGCGATTCCACGGAGAAACGAGCATGGCTGCTCACACAACAGACTGCCGTGTGGCAGTCAGGAGTGCGCCACTCACACATGCAGCATGGATTAGAAGGAAACTCACCCTCGTGAGAGCAGCCCCCCCCCACCCCTTCAGGATAAAGCCAAACCCCAGGGCAGCCTGAGAAGAGGCTAAAAGCCTCCCGGGGAAGCAGGGAGCTCAGTCTAGAGGCTGCAGCAGAAGACAAACAATCCGTTTCCCACACAAGCCTAGACAGCAGAGCTCAGGCCGATCAGGCTGGTGGCGGCTCCGCAGGAAAAGAAATTCTGATGATACAGTTCAACAGGGCAGAACTAAGTCTGCGTATGTGTGCACGTGCTCGCGGGAGCCAGGGGTTAGCGCCGGGTGTCTTCCTCGGTGGCTCGCCACCTCGCTCTTTGAGGCAGGGTCTCCCTGACCCTGGAGCTCGCCGCCGATTCACCTGGGGAGCTGGTCAGCTGTCTCCACCTTCCTCAGCATTTTCGCGTGGGTGTTGGGGCTCAGGCTCAGGTTCTCAGCCTTGTGCGGCAAGCATTTTACTGACTGGGCCATCTCTGGCCCCTGCCAGCCCCCAAGCCCCCTTTAAAGAGAATCTCGAGCTTAACGCCCTTAATCCCAGTACTCAGGAGACACAAGCAGGAGGATCTCTCCGAGTTCGAGGCCAGCCTGATCTACGGACTGAGTTCCAGGACAGCCAGAGCTGTGTCACACAGAGAAACCTTGTCTTGAAAAACTTAAATAAATAAATTATAAATTCATATAAATTATATATGAAACTAACCATAGTGCACTTGGACTCTGCTGCAGACATTTACTTGGCCGGAATAAGATAAAAGTGGATTACTGACTTAACCAGAGGGATGGGGGGCTTGAGGTCTAAGAGAGATTCTTTACATCACAGCAAATAGATGTGCCCAAGCTGACACCTCAAGGAATGGTGGTGCATCCTTAGACACAGAGGGATCCCACCGTTTCTTTTCCAGGAAGGGTCTCTATGTCACTAAGGGTGGCTTTGAGCTCTGCCTCTGCCTCTGAGTGCCAGGGTTACAGACAGGGCCACCACCTTCACACTCCAGCTCCCCTTGAGTCAATACTAGGCATTCCCTACACCCCAGAGCCGAGTGTTTTCCGTGTCTCAGACCTGGGTGCCAGGGAGTGACAGGCAGGGGGGGGGTGGGGTCGGGACTGTTACCTACCGCAGGAGTCACAGATGAAGCAGTCGGTGTGATACAGGCTCCCCATTGCCTGGCACGCCTGCCTCGCTCCGTAGATGCCAAGCCCACACTTGATACAGATGCCTGTGGGGGAGGGGCAGGAGAGCCGCAGCTGGCACCGTGTCCCGTGGAGCCGGCCAGGCCCCAAGGGCAGCGTCACCAGGCCCCTAACCGCTAACATTCAGCGACAAGGGCGCCGCTGTCAGCGGAAGGTGCCCCCGTGTTAAGCGCCTGGCGGGTGGACAGGCAGGTCTGGAAGGTTCAGCTGAGGTGCCAGGCACTGCCCCCCTCGTGCTCCCGCCGTGACGGACAGTAGTGCAAACCCCGCGGCTGAGTCATCCGCCCTCCTGGTGTGAATACACTCAAAGAGCTTCCTTCACGGAGCACTGGCTAACGAGTCCAGACCTAGAGACAGCACTCCACGCCCCTGCGTCTCAGACTGCGACGACCCTCCTACCGCCTGGGAACCAAACCCTACCCTTCAAAATAAATATGCACCTTCCCACCCCTTTCAACCCCACAGGCACACTCAAAGGCGTCAGTGCCCGGCAGGTGCCCTTCCTCATCTGCACAAGGTTTGAAGATCCTCTAGTGCATTCCACAAACAGGGTCTGCTGCTTGCCCAAACTACTTTTCTGCTCCCCAGCCCCCCTTTCTTTTTTTGTTTTGTTTTTCGAGACAGGGTTTCTCTGTGTATCCTTGGGTGTCCTGGAACTCGCTCTCTTGTAGACCAGGCTGGCCTCGAACTCACAGAGATCCGCCTGCCTCTGCCTCCCGAGTGCTGGGATGAAAGGCGTGCGCCGCCGCTTAAACGTAGAGCAACTGCAGTGCAGAAAACTCCCATGTGCTCCAGAGGAGGGACACACAGCACGTCACATGGCGTCAGGTGATACATGCCTGTGACCCCAGCCCTCAGCAGACAGAGGCAAAAGGACAGCTCAGAGTTCTAGGCTAGCCGGGGGTCTATATGGAGATCCTGCCTCAAACAACAACAATAAAACGGTAACAATGGCGATGATGACAATGATAGTGTCAGAAACAAACGCGATGGAGAGAAGTAAGGCTCATTTAGAACAGGTCCAGGCGGGCCGGAGAGATAATCGCTCAGTGGATGTGAGCGCCATCTGTTCCTCTAGAGGACGCCGGTTCAAGCCCCAGCAACCGCATGACAGCTCACAACTGTCTGTCACTCTAGTTCCAGGGGACTGGACCTCACACAGTCATGCATACAGGAACACCACCAACGAACACAAAATAAAATTTAAAAAATAAGTCATTGTAGACGGAGGTGGAAACGGATGCAGAGGCCTGAAGCCAAACATTAGGCAGAACTTGGGAGGCTCCTGAGGAAGAGGGGGAGGGAGTGTAGGAGCCAGAGGACACCACAAGAAAACCCACAGAGTCAACTAGCCTGGGCTCACAGGGGCTCAGAGAGACTCAACCGGCAACCTGGGAGCCTGCGCGGGACCGACCTAGGCCCTCTGCACACGTGTGACTGCGGGGTAGCCGGTCTTCCCGTGGGACTCCTCCCAGGGGGAGCAGGGGCTGTCTCTGACTCTGCCGCCTGCTCTGGGGACCCTTTCCTCCTGCTGGTTGTACTGGCCAGCCTTGATAGGACGTGAGGCGTCTGGTCTTACTGCGACTTGATATGTATCCCATACATCCATGGGAGGCCCGCTCTCTTCTGAAGGGAAACAGAGAAACAGAGGAGTGGATGGGAATGGGGGGAGGGGGCAGGGAAGGGACTAGGAGGAGGGAGGGGAAACTACAGTTGGGATGTAAAAAAATAAATTAAAAACTTAAAAAGAAATAACAGGTCTGAGCTGGAGAGATGGCTCAGCAGTTAAGAGCCCCGGCTGCTCTTCCAGAAGTCCCATGCAACCACATGGTGGCTCACAACCATCTGTCATGAGATCTGGCGCCCTCTGCTGGCCTGCAGGTGCACATGCAGATAGAGTACCATATACATAAAAACATCTTTTAAAAAGATGGGGGGAAAAAAAACAGATCAAGGGACCAGAGAGGTAGCTCAGTGGTTAAAAGCACTGGCTGCTCTTGCAGAGGACCTGGGTTCAATTCCCAGCACCCACTTGGTTCACGACCATCCATGACACCAGTTTCAGAGGGTCCAATGCCCTCTGTTGATCTCTGAGGTCGGCAGGCATGCAAATGGTGTACATACATACACACATGCAGGCAAACACTCAGACACAGAATAAATCAGTGAAAAGGGAAAAGGATAAATCAATGCTGGGAGAGATGGTTCAGTGGTTAAGAGTAATTTCCAGCACCCACATGGTGGCTGGCTCACAGCCACCACTAACTCCAGTTCCAGGGGATCAGACGCCCTCTTCTGGCCTCTGCAGTTACTGCACATACATGGTGTGCATACAGATAAGCAGGCTCCCACACATATACATAAATAAAAGTAAACATAAGTTTAAAACTTACAAAGAATCTATTAAAAAGAAAACACTAGCCAGGCGTTGGTGGCGCACTCCTTTAATCCCAGCACTCGGGAGGCAGAGGCAGGCGGATCTCTGTGAGCTCGAGGCCAGCCTGGTCTACAAAGTGAGTTCCAGGACAGCCTCCAAAGCTACAGAGAAACCCTGTCTCGAAAAACCAAAAAAAGAAAACACTAGGGTAGCTGGGCATGATGTCACGCTCCTGTAATCCCAGCACGTGGAAGACAGGCCAGCTGTATAATGAGCTGGAGGCCAGCCTGGCTATGAAAAACCTTGTCTCCAACAAAACAAAACAAAGAATGAATCTAGAGGGCCAGGTATGTTGACACATGCCACTCATTAGGCCACTGGAGAGGCTGGAGTAGTGCATCTCGGGTTCAGGGTCAGTCTGGGCTCCATGGAAAGTTCCAGAACTGCACAGGCTGCATAGTACACGATCTGGTCTATAAATCTACAGCTTAGCAGCTCACACCCGACACATATGACCCACACACACACACACACACACACACACACACACACACACACCTGGAGGTATGTGATTTTTACACAAGAAGGCAAAGGAGAGTCTCTCTGGAGTCTTCACATTATGAACTTAGAAGGCAGTGCTCTTTATGCAGAGACCCAATAACACGGGCTGGAACTGGGACTCCCCCAGCAGGCCGCGTAGGGAAAAGACACGGGACTGACCGGCAGTGTAGACAGGATGCCTGGCCCCAAGCCTTGTTGTACCTTTAGCCCAGCCCTGCAGGAGACCCTTCAGTTACCCAGCATGTGTGGGGTTGTTTGCATGAGACTCAATTTTTGACCACATGGCGGCTCACGACCGTCTATAATGAGATCTGATGGTCCCGTCTGGTCTGCAGGCATGCATGCAGACAGAACACCGTATACATGATAACTAAATAAATCTTTAAAAAATTTGTTTTTAAAAAGGGGCCCAAGACACCTCAGGAGTCAGAGGGAGGGGGAGTAAGTGAGAACTCAGAAGGAAGGAAGACGAAAGGGCAGAGGGTCTGTGGGTATGAGTTTAGTAGTTAGTTTATGCCTTCTAAGCAACATTCATGTGTGTGCGTGCACACACACCAGTATGTGTGCACCCTATGGTACACGTGATCAGCACCGTGCGGGAGTCAGCTCTCTCCTTCTGCCATGGGGGTTCTGGGGATCAAACTTGGGAAGTCAGGCTTTGCAGCCCAGCCCCGCCCCCGGGTGCCTGTGTATGAGTGTGTGTGTGTGTGTGTGTTTGTGAGTGTGTGCATATGTGTGCGTTCACGTTCATCTACAGGCTTACATCCGACGGAAAGGGGCCAATGGAAAGAGGGGAGCTGCAGGTGGAGGGCGAGGTTAGTTAGAGGGAGGAGGCAGGGGAGTGAGGCTGGCCGTGGATGGAGCATGAAGGGAGCCCCAGGAAGCCTGCACCCCTGGACCTCAGTGCTTTGAGTGAAGCGGGGAGCAGGACGGGCAGGAGGAGGCCAGGAGGCCGTTGAGGGAATAGAGAAGCAGAGTCTAGGGGTAACAAGTGGAGTCCTGGAGACCACTGAGGTCAAAGACCAAAAGTTATTCCAGGGCCAGGGAATCGCCTGAGGGTCTCCAAGTTAAGGCTGACAACCTGGGTTCAAGCCTCAAAACCTACAGCGTAGAGGGGAAGAGCCAACTCCCACAAGATCATCTCTGACCTCTATACACATGCCAGCATTGGTGTAGCTACACCAACACATGCACACACACACACACACACACACACACACACAACTCCCACAAGATCATCTCTGACCGCTATACACATGCCAGCATTGGTGTAGCTACACCAACACATGCACGCACACACACACACACACACACACACACACAACTCCCACAAGATCATCTCTGACCGCTATACACATGCCAGCATTGGTGTAGCTAACCAACACACACGCACACCAACTCTCACAAGATCATCTCTGACCTTTATACAAATGCCAGCATTGGTGGTGTATCTACACCAACACACGCACACACACGCACACGATTTTTAAAATAGTTTTTAAAAAATCCATCCTGGTCCCAGGGGCGTTCTCCGAACTCCTCACAGCTAGGCAGAACAGCAAAGTGTGTATGTGGGGTGTGGGGGGTGTCAGTCCACCCATTCAGAGTGTGGGGGTCCAGTGAAGAATGAAACAGGATGCTGAAGAGAAGCAGAAGCAGGGTGTGGCCTTAGGAGGAACCTCCGGAGCAGAGGAGCAGTTCCGGAGGCCTGAGGCCGTCGTCTCCGGAACCGGGAAGAGAAGGCAAACTTCCAAAGACAGGGATGAATGGCGCAGGGGTCCCGACTGAGGTCAGCCGAAGCAGAGCCTAGCAAGGAGGGGACCAGGGACGGCTCAGGCTGGGGACACACCGCAGAGGGCGTTTCTAGACGCCAAGCTTCCTTCTCTAGGAGGTAGTCGTTCCGTCTGAAAGACTCGAAATTTTGTTTTTGTTTCTTTTAAGACAGGGCTGTTCTGCGCAGCTTTGGCTGTTCTTGAACTCACAGAGATCTGCCTGCCTCTGCCTCCCAAGGGCTGGAATTAAAGATGTGCGCCACCAACTCCAGCAAGATTTGAAATTTCACTTTTAACCGGAAGCTGGATATCGCCAGCCAGGGTGCCAAATGCCTATAATGCCAGCTCTTGCGAGGCTGAAACAGGAGGAGCTCAAGGCTAGCCTGGGCTAAGGCTCTGGTCTTTCAATATAAAAAAAAAAACAAACAAGAAGTTGACACATCGTTGTTTTGCTGTCCGGGTCCATTCTGAAGCACAGACTGGCCTGGAATGCACATTCCCTCTACCTCAGTTTTCCAAGTGCTTGGATTTACAGGTGTTCACCACACCTGGAAACAACCGTTTGGTTTTTTTTTTTCTTTTTGCAGCTCAAAAAAGTCAACTTCATCAGTTCAAGCAAAACTGCCCGTATTTTTAAGCTCCAGAAAAAAAAACCCTCGGGGTATGGCAAGCCACTTAGACTAGGTATGGTGGCTCACCCCTCCAATCCTAACACTCAGAAAGGACGCATAAGGAAGGTGGGTAGTGGGGGTCAGGTTGTTATAGAGGGTGAAACTCTATCTAAGGGGGCGGGGCTGGGGATTTGGTTGGTGAAACTCCTCTAAGGGGGCGGGGCTGGGGATTTGGTTGGTGAAACTCTAAGGGGGCGGGGCTGGGGATTTGGTTCCGCTGACCGAGTGCTTGCCTAGCATGCAAGAAGCCCCGGGCTCCACCCTCAGCACCCCGCCATCTGGCTGTGGTGGTGCACATCTGTGACCCCAGCACTTGGGGTGAAGACAGAGATAAAGGCTATGCTTGGCTAGAGAGCTCATTCTAGACCGCAGTGCACCAGCCGAGACCTGACTCTAGGGGGCTGTCTATAATCAGGGAGCTCTGTTTCCTATGTGGCTTAAAGGGCTGAGCTGAGCCTCACTGCTCTTTGGAAAGGAGCCCTTACCTCCTCCTGCAGCCTCCGGCCATCAGGGCCTTACAACAGCGTTACCTACCCAGGGGAATACACAGGCCCGGGGACAGCCATGGGGATCAGCAGATAGCTCATGTCCAGCCTCCAAGTGTTCAGGGGCCAGATGCTCGACCAGGAGCGCAGGAGTGTCCCTTCACAGATGCCCCAGGTGGGCTCCTGGCAGGGGGCCAGTCCCCCCAACCCCCCCGCCTCACCTCCTACTCCCAACCCACCACCAGCAGTCACCACCACATCTGCTAAGCCATATTCCCATCCTGGCTTCTCCCATCCGAACAAGCACCTTATTCCAAAGACAGGTCAACCCTTTGACCCATCCTGGGCCAAAACCTCCTCATAGCCTTACCATCTTGCTCCGTTCTGGAAAGCACCCAACCTGCTAAGAGACAGCCTCTACTCCTCCAAGGTCTACTTCAAGGCAACCTAAGGCTCCCTCCACCACGGTCACCTCGGATGCTGCTGGCCTAATGCATTCAATTCCTTCCTCCGCCGGCCTCGGCGTGAGGCTTAACTCCTTTCTTTCTCTGGTAGTTGGTGGCGTAAGGTCCTTTTTTCTGTTGCCCCTCTTTGAAACAAGGTCTTGCTACACAGTCTTGACTGGCCTGGAACTGTATGCAGACCAGGCTGGCTCTGAACTGCTCCCCGAGTGCTGGGATCACAGGCCTGTACCAATGGCGCCTGACTGAAGTGCGAACTTTTCCCTTGTATACCCAGCTGCGGGGTTGGTTTGTGGCTCTGTTTGATTTCCCTTGCTGGGGAACAAACCCAGGCTCTTCAGTACTCTGGGCTAGAGCTGTACCAGGGGGCTAAACCCCCAGCCCAGTATTCCTCTAGGAACTCTCCGGTATATACGACTCAGCCCAGAACAGCCTGGCATGCCCAGCTTAGCCCCGTGGCCTCAGACGCTGCGGTCACTACCAGCACTGAAGTCTGTGTCACACGGGTTCGGGGCACCTAGGGCACCCCATCTCTCTCTCCCTAACCAAAGCTCATACAGGTGGAAGGGGAGAGAGCCTTCCGTTCGGCTCTTCATCAGGCATTAACAGGGAGAGCAGGATCTATGCTCCGGATGAAGAAGAATGCCTAGCAAAAGGGGCTGAAGGTTAGCAACTGAGAGAGCTCGCTGCTCTTGCAGAAGCCACGAATCCCCATCTATATCTGCTCACAGTCGACTGTTACTCCAGCTCCAAAGGATCTGACACCTTCTCCTGGCCTCCTACGGTACCCTCACACACGCACAACGAGATCTTTTGTTAATCCCAGCCCTGGGAAGGCAGTGGCAGGAAGATCTCTGGGTTCCGGGCCAATGAGACCTTGTCTCTTAAGTAAAAATTTTTGGTGGTGGTGGTGGTTTTTGGTTTTTGTTTGGGGGAGGATGATGGGAGTTGAACCCGGGTCTTCCTTAAGAGCAGTCAGTGCTCTTTAACCACTGGGCCATCTCTCCAGCCCTGTTGTTGGTTTTAAGCGTCCAGAACGTAGTTTCCTTTGCCAATCAACCTGATTTTGTTTGACCCCCACCACCACCACCGCCGCCGCCGCGCGCTTCGAGCCAGGAAGCCCGGGACACCGCATCTGCGGCGGGAGACCAGCCTCGTCCCTGTCCCCGTCCCCGTCCCCCCGACCCGCGCGCCGAGCGCATCCCGGACCCCGACCCCGGCCCGCGCGCGCGCGCTCACCGAAGTAGTCTCGTGCGGTGCGCGCTTCGAGCGCGCGCTCCAGCTCCCGCGTGAGCGCCTCCAGCCGCCGCTCGGCCGCGCTCGGGCCGCCCTCCCGGCCCGGGGGTAACGGCAGCGACTGCGACGGGAACGGGAACGGGGCCGGGGCGGGCTCCGGGGAGCGGGCGGGCGCGGGGCCGCCGCCACCGCCGCCGGGCGGCAGCAGCAGGTCAGCGTAGGCGCCCGCCGAGCCGCGCGAGCCCAGGCTGGACACGCTGGAGCGCGCGCTGCCCCCCGACGGCGGCCCGGGGCCCGGGCCGGGGCCGTGGCGCTGGTCGTAGCCCAGGCTGATGCCGCTGGAGCGCGCGCTGCCGCCGTCCGAGCCCGCCAGGCTGGCGCGCGGGCCTCGCTCGGGGCGGCCCGGGGCGTCGGGCGCGGCCTCGGAGCCACAGCCACCGCCGCCGCCGCCGCCGCCCTTGCCCCTGCGGCCCGCCGCCTCGTCCGCGGCCCGGGGCCCGCTCCGCACGCGCCCCGGAGAGCCGGCCGCCAGCTCCGGCTCGCGCAGGCCCAGCCCGGCCAGGAGCAGAGCCGCGTCGTCCGCGGCCGACCGCGAACGCTGCATGGCCGTCACCTCCGCCTCCGCCGCCCGCCGCTCCGACAGCGCCGCTGCATCGTCCGCCGGCCCCGCGGCCCGCAGCCCGCAGCCCGCCCCGGGGACCCCTGGGCGCGGGGCGGGGCGGGGCCGGGGTCGCGGTCGCTCGGCGTGGGCCGCGCGCGCGCTCGTTCGTCGCTCGCTCGCGCGGGGCCGTGACGGGGGAAAACGGGGGGACGCGGGGGCGCGCGCGGCGGGAGAGGCGGGGTGGCTGGGTGGGTGGAATGGGTGGGATGCGCGCGCAGCTCGGGGCCGCGCCCCCTCCGCTCTCCTGGGCCCGGCTCGGGGGCGGGGGGACGGGGTGGCGGCGCAGGGACTCGTTTGCCCCGCCAGGAATGCGAGGACGGAGACTGCGCAGCGGCCTGTGGAATGTGGGGGGCGGCGGCGGACGGACGGCCGGCCGGGCCGAGGGGCGCGCGGGCCGCGCAGGGACGCGGGGCCGGGCCAGCGATGGCCTAGGCTCCGGTCCTCCCTGGGGGCCTTAGGGCGCATTCCGGATCCCCCACCCCACCCCACCCCAGGCTGAGAGCCCTGAGCCCACAACGTCCCCATGTTCGGCCCAGGCGCGCGCCGCGGCTCAGGGAGCACAGCCTGATTGCTGCCTCACACACCACATGGATGTGACACCCAATGCGGGAATTCTGGGGGGGTTCCAAACGGGACACCGGGTGGAGAGTCGGACAGTTTCTAAAAACCGGGACACCGGTGTGGGCGTCTTAGCGGCTTCTAGGTGTGTCCCTCCCGATCCACATTCTGGGGCATAGGAAAGTTCCAGGTCCCATTGCGAATCTGACTTCCAACCAAAATTCTCTTAGGCTGGAGCTCAGGGTTTAGGAGCGCTTGTTGCTCTTGCAGAGAACCCAAGTTCACGCACAAACGCACACACGCACGCACGATGCTCCACAGCCATCCTTAGCTGCAGTTCTAGGAGACCTAACCACTAGGCACAAACATGGTGCAACTCCCAAGGTCGGACCAGGCCAGGCTCGGGGCTCAGACGTAGGGACCTCAGCTGTGACAGAGATAGGAGTCACCTGGAAATGCGAGGACTCCTCTTTTACAACACCCGGGCCCTAGGACTTGGATTGTATCAAACAGGTGCTTCTGAGCTCCGGTCACGTGATGCGAGGAACCACCAAGGCCACGTGATGGGTGGGGACTGTGTCCCTAGACCCACAAGGTAAAAAATCTGTCTCACGCTGGGAGAGCAGTCACGGTGAAGAAAACCAGACCTCACCAGTAGTGTCCCAGTGATCCAGGAAAGCAATGGTAGCGCTCTCCAGGAAAGTAGCCCAGTGTCCCGGTAGGGACCTCGTCTGCTGCAGATTGACTCGTGCAGTAGCCGGGACACTTGCTTCCCAGATGGAAGTGCAATAAAGCATCTGGCCCCATGCCCCTCTCTGGCACACACACACACACACACACACACACACACACACACACACACACACACACACACACAATCTCCTAGGACCTGAGGGATTCCAGTCCTGGTGCAAGGTCAAGCATTTGGGGAACAAATGTCCAGGGAACCACCTCATTATCTACCTGTCTGATGAGAAAGGAAAAACAATTCAGCCAATGATCACATTTCATTGGTTGCACTTATCAGCCACTTAAAAATGGAAATGTTGGGGGCCGGTGAAAAGGCTCGTGAGGGTAAAATTCTCTCGCTGCACACGCCCAGCGCCTTGCTTAGTTCCATCCCAGAACCCACAGCGGAAGGTGAGAACCAAGTCCCAAAAGTTGTCCTCTGACAGCCAGGGCGGGAAAGATGGTAAGGGGGCTTGTCTTGTCGCCATGCCTGGCCACCTGCAGCGGATTCCCTGGACCCATACGCCGAAAAGACTGGAAAGGTTGTTCTCAGATTTCCCACTGTGGCACAGACACAGGCGTGTGCACACACACTAAGAGCAATAACCCCTAAAGTATCTTTATAAGCACTAGATGGTTTCTGGAAGGATCGATCCTAGGTTACGATGGTGCACGGCTGTAATCAGAAGGCTGAGGCAGGAGGATCACTTTTGAGGCCAGCCTGGGCTGCAAAGCTATTAAATGACTCAGCCCAACTTGCCCAGATGGAGCCTTCAAAATTTCAATAATACACTAGTGTCCAGGGTCAGTTAAAATCCATTGCTTACTCTAGAAATAGGTAGCGCAACCTGAACCGCCCCACTGTGGAACAGCGGGAATAGAGCAGTTCTACGAGATGGAGTCCCTTGTGTTAAGTCTACAGGCCCCTCGTCCCAGCACTGGAGAGATGGAGGCCAGCCGGAAGACTGACGCAAACGGGCTTGCCTGAGCTGCAGAACAGATTCAAAGTCAGTGTGTTCAAGGGAGTGAGACTCGATCTCAAAATACAAAATTATACAAGGAGGACCGGGCGTTGGTGGCGCACGCCTTTAATCCCAGCACTCGGGAGGCAGAGGCAGGCGGATCTCTGTGAGTTCGAGACCAGCCTGGTCTACAAAGTGAGTTCCAGGACAGCTTCCAAAACAATACAGAGAAACACTATCTCGAAAAACCAAAAAAAAAAATTATACAAGGAGATGGGTCAGTGGAGGAAATACACACGCCATCAAGCCTGACGAGGAGCTCCATCCCTGGGACCCACAAGGTAGGAGAGAACTTGTCCCCCGGAAGTCATAGTCACCTTTGATCACACTAAATAAGAGAGCAGATCTGAAAGCCCAGTTGGAACCCTCACTACCACGAATGAACGTGTGTGTGTGTGTGTGTGTGCACGCGCGCGCGCACGCACACATTGTTTATGGATGGAGAAACCAAATGGGTCATGGTGGCACACACCTTTAACCTCAGCCCCGGGGGAGGCAGAGGCAGGCGGATCTCTGTGAGTTCAAGGCCACCCTGGTCTCCAGAGCAAGTTCCAGGACAGGCTCCAAAACAATACAGAGAAACCCTGTCTCCAAAAAAGCAAAAAGAATTTTGACAAGCTGACATGAGTCAAAGATACTTAGCGAGCTTTTTATTTTACTGAGTTATGAGAGCTTGTTACATATTTTGAATGCCAGCATACTGTGTGTTTAACAAATAGTTTCTACCACATTTATGACTTCTTGTTTTTAACGTGTCTTCTTGAGAATGGAAGTTATTGGCGGCGGTGGCGGGGTGTGGGGGTGTGTGTGGGGGGGGGTGGAGAGATGGTTCAGTACCTAAAAGCATCTGCTGCTCTTGCAAAGGACCCAGGTTGGGCACCCAACTCCCACACTGCGGCTCACAACCATCTGTAACATCATTCCCGGGAAAATGGTCAGCCTCTTCTGGCCTGGGTGGGCACTAGGCACGCCCACACCAAGCACTCATACACATAAAACGAAACGGTGGGGTTTGGTTTTGTTTTTGGACAGAGTCTCACTATGTAATCCTGGCTGTCCTGGACCTCACTCTGTAGACCAGGCTGACCTCGAACTCAGGGATCCACCAGCCTCTGCCTCCCGAGTGCTGGGGCTAAAGGCGTGCGCCACCACCAGCACAGTGCCTTACTTTTGGTGAGGTCCGCGTCTTCGTTCCTCTTCTCGTGGCTGGGATAGAGACTTGAAGCAGCCTATTAGGTAGGAGGGGCTTATATTGCCTCACGCTTTCAGGAGAAACAGTCCACTCACCAGGCGGAGGAGCATGGCGGCCGAAGTCTACAGTCAGGCGCAGAGACGGATGAACGTTGTGCTTCTGTTCATTTTCTCCCCCGCCCCTTTTTATCCAGCCCAGGGCCCCAGACCCAGCAACACTTCTTTTTTTTTTTTCTAAGTTAGAAACAAGCTTGCTTCACATGTCAATCCCAGCTCCCTCTCCCTCCCCTCCCCACCACCCCCACTAGGCTCCCCAGCCCTCCACCCAATCTCCACTCTGAACCCTAGGGAGGGTGAGGCCCTCCATGGGGGATCTCCAGAGTCTCATTTCATCCAGAGCAGGGTCGAGGCTGACAGAGCATCCCTCATTGTGGGATGGACACCCAAAGTCCATTTATGTGCCAGGAATAAATACTGATCTACTGCCCTAGGCCCCATAGATTACCTAGGCCTCCTCACTTACACTACATTCATAGAGTCTGGATAAGTCCCATGCTGGCCTCTCAGCCATCAGTCTGGGGTCCAAGAGCTCCCCCTTGTTCAGGTCAGCTGTTTCTGTGGGTTAAACCAGCTCAGTCTTGACCCCTTTGCTCATCAGTCCTCCCTCTCTGTCGATGGATTCCAGGAGTTCAGTTCAGTGTTCAGCAGTGGGTATCTGCCTCTGCTTTCATCAGTTGCTGGATGATGGTTCTGTTTCCCAGAATCTGTGGCAGTGGGATTGTAGGCTGGCACTCCCCAGATCTATGTCTAAAATCCATGTATGAGTGAGTACATGCCATGTTTCTCTTTTTGTGACTGGGTTACCTCACTCAGGATGGTTTCTTCTGGTGCCATCCATTTGCCTGAAAATTTCAAGATTCCATTGTTTTTTTCTGCTGAATAGTACTCCATTGTGTAAATGTACCACATTTTCTCCATCCACTCTTCGGTTGAGCCAGCAACACTTCTTAAGATATTACTTTATCAGGCAATAATTATCTTCAGAATATGACCAAACAGAACAAAGCACTGTGGCCCTAGAGCTCCACTTGGCCAGTTTTCCATCGGTTTCCCTCCTTTCTCTCTCTCCCCTCCCTCCCCCCTCCCTGCCATCCCAGGCCATCCTCAGACTTGCTAAGTAACCAACGACTGAGCTACTGAGCACCTTTGCCTCCTAGGCGCTACCACGCTCAGTTTATAGATTTGCTTTCTTTAGCGAGGGCAGTTAGATGTCTCAAATAAGTTTTTGGCTGCAATTTGTTGTGTTGAATTGGTGATGCAGAAGGAAAACGTTCCCTCTATGTGTAGAATTCAAGTAGCAGTTTTTGTTTGTTTGGTTTTTCAAGACATGGTCTCTCTGTGTAGCTTTGGAGGCTGTCCTTGAACTCGCTCTTGTAGGCCAGACTGGTCTCAACTCATAGAGATCCCAGCACTCGGGAGGCAGAGGCAGGCAGAGCTCTGTGAGTTCGAGGCCAGCCTGGTCTACTGATCGAGTTTCAATACAGGGAAGCCCTGTCTCGGGAAAATAAGTAGTTGGTCCGCAGTATAAAAGTATCTATAAAAATACTTTGCTAAGCCGGGCGTTGGTGGCACACGCCTTTAATCCCAGCACTCGGGAGGCAGAGGCAGCCGGATCTCTCTGAGTTCGAGGCCACCTGGTCTACAAGAGCTAGTTCCAGGACAGCCTCCAAAGCCACAGAGAAACCCTGTCTCGGAAAACCAAAAATAAATAAATAAACAAACAAACAAATAAATAAATAAATAAATAAATAAATAAAACTTTGCTAAATATATCCACTCTAAAAACAGCCAAATGGAGAATTCTGGACCTCAGAAATACGGCTTTAAAATGCAAAGAGGTGGCTTATCCTCTGATCTCCATGTAAGTGCTGTGGCATGTCCAAATGCATATACACACACACACACACCTGAGCATATATACATGCAGTTTTGTTTTTGTTTTTCTTTTCTTTTCTTTTTTTTTTTTTTTGGTTTTTCGAGACAAGGTTTCTCTGTGTAGCTTTGGAGGCTGTCCTGGAACTCGCTCTGTAGACCAGGCTGGCCTCGAACTCACAGAGATCCGCCTGCCTCTGCCTCCCGAGTGCTGGGATTAAAGGCGTGCGCCACCAACGCCCGGCTTGTTTTTGTTTTTCTTACCGAATTCGTTTGTATGTTCATATGTATCCCTCTTGTGTGCCTGGGGACAGTAGAGGTCAGAAGGCCCCTGTGACTGGAGACAGTGCTCTTAAGCACCAAGCCATCCCTCCAGTCACACACACACACACACACACACACACACACACAAAATCTTTAAGTAATATAATTTTCATCTGGGCAGTGGTGCCACACACCTTTAATCCCAGCACTCAGGAGGCAGAGGCAGGCGTATCACCGTGAGTTCGAGGCCAGCCTGGTCTAGAACAAAAGGACCTGGGAGCCAGGTGGTGGTGGCACACACCTTTAACCCAGCACTCAGGGTTACCCAGCCAAGGCAGGCGGATCTCCATGATTTTGAGCTCAGCCTGGTCTACGGATCTAGTTCTAGGACAGCCGAGGCTACATAAAGAACCCCTGTCTTGAAAAACCAAAGAAAAGCAGAAAGATAAAAGGGCCTGGAGGGTTGGCTCAGGGGGTACCCACACCAATTGTTCTTCCAGAGGATCCAGGTTCCATTCCCAGTACCTACACAGAGGCTGACAAGTGTGTGCAACTCATTTCAAGAAACGAGTGTGAGATCCAGTCCCATCCAAAGAGGTAAAACATTGTCACTACTCCGAGTTACGGTTAAGAGCTGGGTGAACTCCCCACCTGAGTGTTTGCTTGCCTGGGTTAGGTCTTGGTGTACCATTTTGGAAAAGTCGATTGCTTTGCCAAATTACTTCTTATTTGCTTGTGTGTCTTTGTGTAACATAAAAGGGAATACTTTTTTAAGTTTTTCCAGAGGGTTTCTCTATGTAGCCCTGGCTGTCATGGAAGTCTGCTCTGTAGATTAGGCTGACCTTGAATGAACAGCGATCTGCCTGCCTCTGCCTCCCAAGTGCTGGGACCACTGCCTGGATGGAAATACTCTTTTCCAATACTCTGAGGATCCCAACAATATACTTCCAGAGATGACAAACCTTGAAGTCTTTACACAATTGACAAAAGACAAAACAAAACACAAACAAAAAGGCAAAACCCTAGGGAGGGGTTACAGAGACTGCTCTAGAGCACAGGCTTCTCTTCCAGAGTTTGGTACCTGGCAGCCATGTTGGATGCTCATACCTGCCTGCAACTCCAACTACAGACACTTGATGCACTCTGGACTCCACAGGCTCCAAAACACATGTGGCATTCACACATACACACACACACAAAGATTAACAGTGATTAATCTATAAAGGTGGTACCTGCCTTCAATTCCAGAGCTCAGGAGGCAGAGGCAGGTGGATGTGTGTGTGTTGAGACCAGCCTGGTCGACAGAGCAAGTGCCAGGACAGCCTCCAAAACAGAGAAACCCTGTCTTGAAAAACCAAATAAAAAAAAAACACAAAACTTTAGAGAATGTGGCTCTCTCCTAACATGTAGGTCCTGGGGATTGAAGGCAGGCTGTCAGGTTTTTGTTTAAGTGCCTTTTCCCATTGAGTCATATTGTGAGCCCAATTTTAGATTTTTACTTTTTTGTAGTAAAGTGCTGGTATTATCAAACCCGTGGCCTTTCACAGTTCCCAAGTACTGAGCTCCACCTCGGTCAGCTCTGGAGGTACCTCAGGTGGTTGGAATTTTGAGACAGTCTCCTGAGGCTTAGGCTGGCTTCACCATAAAGATAAATATGACCCTGAATTTGTTTGGAGACAGGGTTTCTCAGTGTAGACGTGGCTGTCCTGGAACTCACAGAGATCTGACCTGCCTCTGCCTCAAACGCCTGGGCCGCCACTGCAAGGCCTGAATTCTTATGTGTGTGGCATGCACGTTATGTCTTCAGGAGCCAGAAGAGGGCGTCACTTCTCTTGGAGCTAAAGTTACAGGTGATTGTGTGGGTACCAGGTTATCTGCAAGATCAACTGTTCCGAGTCATGCGTCTCTCCTACCCCGGATTACCTTTCTGCCTCTACATCCCAAGTGCTGAGATCTCAGGACTCAGAGCGGTAAGACTTTTGTCACTTGTGTGTCTAGAGGCTAGGGGTCAACTGTGGGCGTGGCGTACTTCTCAGAAGCCGTTCACCTTGTGTTGTGAGACAGTCACTGACTAGAGCCTGCAAAGAAGCTCAGCTGTCACTGAGCCTCAGTGCCAGGATCACAGTGTGTCGCCAGCATGTCCAGCCCTTTGGTTTGTTGTTTTCAAAATAGGGACTCTTGAAAGCCGGGCGGCGGCGGCGCAGCCTTTAGTCCCAGCACTCGGGAGGCAGAGGCAGGCGGATCTCTGTGAGTTCGAGGCCAGCCTGGTCTACAGAGTTTGTTCCAGGACAGCTAGGGCTGTCCCTCTCTCGAGAAAAAAAAAGAAAAAGAAAAACAGAGAGAGTGTTTCTCTATGAAAGCCTTGGCCTGTCCTGGAACCAGCGATGTCGACCAGGCTGGCCTCAAACTCAGCAATCCCCCTGCCTATGGTGTGGGCTACCATGCTGGGCTCAGGCCCAGCTTTTGTACCTGGGTGCTGGAGATTAAACGCAGGCCCCCAGGCGTGCATGGCCAGAGTCATCCCAGCCTGGAGGCAGTCCTTAGACCTGCGGAGTTCAGCATGCCTGTGCCAGATTCAGACCCACTGTGGAGTTCAGCGTGCCTGTGACAGATTCAGACCCACTGAGGCAGCAGAAGCAGATAACAAGTATGCAGACGCCATTTATTTGGTCCATAAGTACAGTGTATTTGTTGCTTGAGTTTACAAAACATCAAATATAAATAACCTGAAACTGTAACAAATACACAAAAATTGGCTTCTTACACAGACATACCAGGCAGTACAAACTGAAAATTTGAGTAAATAAACATTGTTTTACATTAATATACACAGTGCCAGGTAACTTTTAAAAAACAAGTTTCAATGCATAGACTTGACACTTATGTGATCTGTCAGGTAAGAGTATGAAAATGGTTAGATCTAGGCTAAAAATAACTCTTCTCTAGCCAAAAATAAAGGCATAATATTTATAACCAGGTCTCAGCGTTCCTACCCCACAGTATTTCCACTAGGAAATGACAGCTAAGGCTATTTACAGGGAAGGCAACATGCATGGCTCTCGGCTGTCACTGGTCCGCCCGGCTTTGCTCAAAGGGTCCCGAACACTACACTCCTACTTCAATACAGCAAGGCAGTCTCTAAGTCTCAGCAAATGAATGCTTCACACAGGGGCGGAACCAAGCCACGGCAGCCCGTGCTTTCCCTCCGCAAGAAAGGACAAAACCTTTGGTTCCGACCAGGGCAGGGTCCAGGCGGCCGCTCAGTCTAACGCTATGACGTCGTCAAGATCTTCTGCTTGCTCCAAGCGAGACCTCTTGGCACCGGCTCCCTCAGTGTCTTCCAGTTTGCGCTTGGGGGCTCTGGCGTCCTGGCTGCTGTCGGCGCTATCGGAAGGGCCTTCCTCGTCGGAGTCAACTATGAGCACGTCGTCTTGCTCTTGAGCTTATTGCGGAAAACAAGGCAGAGAGGTGACGCGTGGGCACACTGGCTCCCCAGGGCCTCACTCAAATCGAAGCCACCCTGACTGGCCACCCTCAGGGACTGTCTCCAGTGTGCCGTGTAACAAGCATGTCCACTTTGAGGGGAAGGGTGCTAATGGGGAGCCAACCCTGGGCAAATTCCTATTTTTTCCAAGCAAAACAAAAACCGTGACTAGCCCGTAATTGAAATGCATCGTCATGCCTCCTGAGTGTCCACTGAGAAGGGAGGGAGGGACACCTAGTAGAGAGAAGAGCAGCAACAGCAACAAGCCACTTACAACTGCCAGGGGCTGCTCTGAGCACTGTGTGACTCATCTAGTCACCCCTACAAAGAAGACAACACCATTACCCCACTTCCACAGGAAACCGAGGGGCACAGAGGGGGGCTCCCCAGGGTCACAGAATGTGGCCAGGGTGCGAACTCCAAGACCCCCTCCTTGCGCTCTTTAGCCCTGCCCCCAAAGACAGGGTCTCCCATGTGCCAAAATTTAAAACAACCACGCCTCCCCTATATGGCCTTCAAGACCCGCCAGCAGAGGGTCAGGGTGACAATCCTTCAGCAGGGGGGAGGGAGAGGAGGCCAGCCAAGAGGGCCAAGGTGTGAAGCCTCCAGGTTTACCCCTAGGTCCTCAGAGGACGATACTGCCCAGAGCAAAACTTCTAGGGACACCAGAGGCAAGGGTCAGGTAAACGGAAATAAAGGCTAAAGGCTGCTAACCTTGTTTCCTGCACAAAAAGAACGGAGGGGAGGACCATAAAGGTCCAAGCAGAGAGCAGCGAAGGCTCAGGGATCTGAGAAGGCACCGGGTACCAGCAGCAGGACCCCGGGAGCCCCCTCAGGTGGGCTCTGCCTCCTGGAAGCCACGCCCACCCTCCAAGCACCTGCCCAAAGAGCCAGATGAGTGATTTGAGCCTTCCAAATAAAACAGGCAGTTGGCAGCTCCCACAGAACAGACTGTGGAGCCAGGAAGCGAGTCCACAGCTTGCTGTGAGTTCAATGGGGGGAGTCAGAAAACCATTCATTCCCGCTCCCTCTAAGAATATCCCGCAGCCTTAAATGTCTTCATGGTTCACAGAACTCAAAGCTCATTTTATTGTCAATTCCAAACCGACTTAGAGCTAGTATTTCATACTCAATGCCCACCAAAGAACCAGCTTGTTAAATCGTCTGGCCTGCAGGTGGCTCACCTGTGGAGGTTGACGGCTGGGCGCCATCGTCACTGCCGTTGGTGACGCTTTTGGCAGCATCTTCAGCTTGTTTGGGCCCCACTTTTTCTGGGGCATCACCAACAACCTCAAACTCAACATCCTTTCCTAGATCTTCGCTGTAAGAGAAAGGCAGGCTGTAAGCCAGAGGCCAGGCCACGCATGTCCACGTGAAGGAGCAGACCCCACACGGCTCAGACTGCAACGCACCCAGAAGGTTCTGATTTTCACGTCAGAGCTTCTCTAGACCAAATGGCAAAGGCTGCTTTGTCTTTGTGCCTCCAACGCAGAAAACTGGGCAGAAATTCTGCAGCCCAGCAACTCCCTCCCTCACTCACCCCACCTGTGACCTCACCTCAGGGCTCTGTGGTGTCTGGTTTCCCCCACCTTTATAGGCAACTCCCCACTTTCATGCACAAGCTCCAAAATGTGCGTGAACAGAGGCACTCCTGAAGGCACTCTGCCGTTCACCCTGCTGGCGCTATCCCTTCAGAGACTCCAGCAGTCAGCCTGCCTGCCGTGCGTTTTCCCCAGCGAGGCCAGAGACAGCAGCACCACCTTTAGTGCCTATTGAAAATGTGCGTAAATGTGGCTGGAGCCAGCTCTGCGGCAAAGGGCACTCACTGGCTGCGCTCCCAGAGACCTCTACTCCCAGTGCCCAGATGGCGGCTCATAAACACCTGCAACCTTAGTTTTAGGGGACCCAATGCCATGTTCAGACCTGCATATACACGACACACAGACACACAGCATCCCCCATAAACAAAACTAAAAACAACCACGACAGCTGAAGCCAGGCTCTTCTGACTCCCACTGTCATGACGCACATGAATGTGCATACATGTATGTACTCACTCACACTCATGCACACACACACAATTTTAAAAATGTAAAAGGAAAACATCAAGATCTTATTACAGTTGAATTATGAAAATAAATTTACCTCAAAAGTTTATCATTAATCTATACCTTAACATTTAAAAACTTAAACCTTAATTTGTTTAGTGCAATGTTTCTCATAGCATACACACGGAGGTCAGCAGACTTGTGAGATCTCTCCTTTCACCGTGAGTCCTGGGAACCGAACTCAGGCCTGCAGGCCTCCCTAGCCAGAGCCTCCCTGCAGGCAGCACATCCATCTGCCTTTGAGCACAGAAACCTGACGGTCTTCACCCGCAAACTGTCTTGCTGTCTACCCTGTATTTGTGAACCCTGGCGCTGTTCTGCAGGTGCAGTCCTGTCCTCTGGAGCACGCTGCTGTTTCCTACCTATGAAGAATGTTGATCAGTAAAGTGTAGTCTTGAAGGAAGTCATCTGCTTGAAGCCGGCTGCCATTTCTAATTCCAAAATCAGACAACTTCTTGGGGTTATTAGCTGGATATGAAAAGAATGGAGATGCTTTAGTTATGTCTTCACAGGTGAGTTCTTACAAAGCCAAAGCCATTACTGCGGGACAGCATCCCTCCAAAACTGGCATTCTCAAACCCTGGTCCATAAGACCCAAGAAAGTGATTGCATTTGGACAGCTCTGTACAAGTGCTAACAAGTTAGACTCAGTCTTTCCCATGCCTGCAGCCTTAGCACTTGGGAGGTGGAGGAGGGACTCAAGGGCTTCCTTACTCCTAAATAAATAAGGAAGGAAATAAATAGACAAAGGCGCCCTGTAACACAGACCACGTGAAGACACACACAGCAAGGCAGAGGAGAGGACTGACTGGGACGGTGAAGGCTCTGGGCTGTGGTACTTACAGCCACAGCAAACCAACTGTGCTACTAGGCACTCAGGAAACCAGTCCCGAACACTCAACAACCCACAAAAGCCTCCCACTCAAAGCAAACCACTTTAAACCAGATCCCTAATGGCCAGCCAACATACACATCAACTAATAGCTCCAATAATTTCTCTACAAGCAAAACTATTATCAACATGAATCCTGATGTTTGGTTTTCTTCTTTTAAATATATGTAGGGTCTTACTCTGTAGACCAGGATGGCCTTGAATTCATGGAGATCCTTCTGCCTCTGCCTTCTGGGTGTCGTGATTAAGGCATGAGCCCACCCCCATGCCTGGCTGGCCTCAGATTTACCACACAGCCAAGACTGGCCTTGAACTTCTGATCCTCCTGCTCCCCCGTGCCACCACACCTGGTTGATGCATGCCAAGCCAGCACCGTGCCAACTGGCACTATCCCTGCCCCTGACAGGAAATCTCAACAAAGTTTACAACTAGAGAGCAGTTAAGTTGATTTCCCACACTGGGGGTGGGGATGGGAAATACCCAGCTGCCAAGACCTTGCCACTCTTGAATAAAAAACAAAGACTTAACGCTCCCTAGTGTGGCTAACAGCCTAAAACCCACACTCACCACCAATCTAGCCCTAGGGCGCATACACAGACAGCATCCTTGGAACTGAACAAAGGTATTATAATGCATAAGCAGCCAATGTCTGTGCACCGGGACACCAATGCCAGAAAGCCTCCAAGTCTGGAGCTGTGGAAGGCAAACACCACGTCGTGGGAGCCTCCACAAGGGCCACCACTGTGACAGCAACAGCACACTAACACAGGCAACGACTCGGAGCCGAGCTGTCCCTCTCCAGGCAGACGCCCAGGTGAGGAGCAGCAGGCAGGTACCTTCCGTCTCCCCCTCTTCTGAAGAGATCAGGATCGTTCCCTTCCCATCTTCTATTTGGACATCGGGTGCCACCATAGCAAACTTCTCCTTCACTATCTAAAGAGGAAAGATTAAATAGTAATTAATGAAGGTCATTAAAGATGTAAGAAACGCTGCATCTCTTTTCCATACAGGGTTACTCTCTCACTGGCGGGGGTCAAGTCATTCTTCAAAACTTACGTAAGTGCTGTGTGACACATACGTGAGTGTGCGCACAAGTGCCGCAGCAAACAGCACACGGCTCACAGCACACAGCACAGCTCACAGCACACAGCACAGAGCTCACAGCACACCTCACAGCACACAGCACAGAGCTCACAGCACACAGCACAGCTCACAGCACAGAGCTCACAGCACACCTCACAGCACACAGCACAGAGCTCACAGCACACAGCACAGCTCACAGCACAGAGCTCACAGCACAAAGCACACAGCACAGCTCACAGCACACAGCACAGAGCTCACAGCTCACAGCACACAGCTCACAGCACACAGCACAGCACACAGCTCACAGCACACAGCACAGCTCACAGCACACAGCACAGCTCACAGCACAGAGCTCACAGCACAGAGCTCACAGCACACAGCACAGCTCACAGCACACAGCACAGCTCACAGCACACAGCACAGCTCACAGCACACTGCACAGAGCTCACAGCACAAAGCACACAGCTCATAGCTCACAGCACAGCTCACAGCACACAGCACAGAGCTCACAGCACAGCTCACAGCACACAGCTCACAGCACACAGCTCACAGCACACAGCTCACAGCACACAGCTCACAGCACACAGCTCACAGCACACAGCTCACAGCTCACAGCACAGAGCTCACAGCACACAGCTCACAGCACAGAGCTCACAGCACACAGCATTGTTCTGTGGGAATCCATTCAGCCACGAGCTGAACTGGGACCAGCCCTGAGGTGGGGTCTGAGGTGCTGCGTGTAGTTTGATAAGCAGAGAGGAGAAGCATGCTCGCTCTCTTGTATGGTGGTTGGAGATCTGATCGAAGCTTCCAGTGCCCCCAGGGCAGAAGACCATGGTGGCTCTCTACCGTATTAATATTTCAGTCATTCCCCAATAAATAATTGATATCCCAAATAAACCACACAAAAATAGACCACACAAAAGCTCTGGGGGATGGAACTTGGGTCGTCAAGTTTGTCTCTCTGCTTCTGACAACAAGGAGTTGCCCACAGCCCAAATCCGCACACAGATGCAGAGCAGTCTGAGAGCCTGAGACGCTCTCCTCTTTCTCCCTGAAGAGTAGGCTCGGGCAGAGCATCTGACACATTTCCCCTCAGTCTCCACGTCAACCCCGCCATGGAAGGTGTTACGATAACCTTTCCCGTTCCAAACAGCGTCTCTGAGTGATCCTTCTATTCCTAAAAATGGGAGCTCTCTCCACAAGTGTAAGCCCCACATTCACAAGTCCTTTCAGCTCCATAGCAAAGACCAACTAACAACCATGTCACACCCTTCAAGAAAGAAGGTGCTACTGGGCCGGGCATTGATGGCGCACACTTTCAATCCCAGCACTTGGGAGGCAGAGGTAGGCGGATCTATGTGAGTTCGAAACTAGCCTGGTCTACAGAGCAAGTCTAGGGCAGCCTCCAAAATAATACAGAGAAACCCTGTCTCGAAAAAAAACAAAACAAACAAAAACAAGAAGAAATTATTACTTCTAGTAACTACTAGTCCCTGCTGCCAGAGAAACATCGTGCCCAGCCTTAGTGAGGTATTAGGCATACAATTTGTTCACCGACAAAACCGTTTGTCAGACGTACTGACTCTACCCACTGTCTGTCTGCTGCTTATCACAACGCAAGACACCTCTGCCCATGCTCCAGCCAATCACCCACACCTTCTAGAACAAGACACACATCCTGGAAGCAGAGAGAGGGGGCAGTGGAATCTAGGCCAGGAAGCTACCCAGGAGGGTGCCGCTCCCGCTCCCCGCAGCCAGGGCTCTCTTCCCAGGGCTCTCAAAAACGTGAGGTGAACCCACCCGACTCACTTTGAAAGCAGAGGCAGCCCTTGCACTTGCCTTATCCTGTAAGGTGAGGACAGTCACTTTGTGGACATTCAGCCGCACGGTCACCTCTGGCTTGCTAGCACAAACGTAACAGTTGCTGTTGGGAGGATCCAGCGTGCAGGGCACTAAGAGCTTCTTTCTTGGGTTTGGCTGTTTATTCAGAAAAATCTTCAGAGAAAAAAAAAAGGCAAGAACCAGAAACACGAGTTACCGTTTTATAGATGAATTCAGAGCCTTCCTCCCCACACACTGCTGCTGACTGAGTTTCTCTGTAGCCCTGGCTGTCCTGAATCTCTCTGTGGACCAGGCCGGCCTCAAACTCATAGAGATCCTCCTGCCTCTGCCTCTCAGGTGCTGGAATTAAAGGTGTCTTTTATTTCTTTTATTATTTTATGTATATGGGGTTTTGCCTACACATGCATTCAGTACCCACAGGAGTCAGAAGAGGACCTCACACGCCCTGGCACTGAAGCCACAGTCTTAAGATTGGACGTGGGTTCTGGAAAGAGAACCTGGGTCGTCCGGAAGTGGACCTGAAATGACGAACCACCGCTCTCCTCCAGCCCACCTTCACTTTGCGACTGTAAGCTAGCACAGTCTCTAGGATCAATGGATTCTCAAGGAGAATCACAAGGGTCCCCCAGGCCAAAGAAAAGTCAGGCCGCTCTGCAGCACAGCCTCTACCTGCGCTTTCCCCACAATGGATGCCAGGCACAGGGCAAAGCCAGAAGCGAGCGGAGAGGGGACTTCTGGGACCTGGGGCTGCGCCAGGACAGAAAGTGGTCGTAGTAAGACATGACTGAAGCCATGGCTGCAACACACGGAGCACACATGCCTACTATGTACAGAACCCAGCATCCAACAAAAAAAGTCAGGATGACCGCTAACACCCGGGCTAACCATTGTGAACCCGCCTTGACATTTAAAAATTAAGCACAAACAATTGAAACACAGTCATGTAAAGTATAAATATAAAATAGACACTTCCACAAGCTTAACAGCATTGTTCAGAACTCAAGCTGAACGCCATATGAAACATGGTTTTCAGTGAAAAATTTATCATAAACAAAATTCTTAGAAGTTAAAAATGTGGCAGCCCAGATGAAAAGTAAAGAATCAAGCTGGGAGTAGGGTGGGGTGCACACAATCTCAGGGGTCTGCTCAAGTCATCCTCAGCTCCATCTCAAGGCCAGTGTGGGTTACATGGGACAGTCTCAAAATCCCAGCTGCTCCAATCTCCGTGCTTCTTTAAAAAGAGCACTCTTAGAAAGAGGCAGGTGGATCCCTGTGAGTTCCAGGACAACATAGTGAGGCACTCTCAAAAGTCAAACAAAGTTACTCACGGTTTTACACTGGTCTATTTTTCCAGATAAAATCTTCAATCCTTCCAACACAATCAAGCCGGCAATCACGGCATTAGTGGTAGCGATAGCAGGAATGATATTCCCTGCCATTGCTGGAGGACAGAGAGAGACAAACACACTTAGCTGTCCAAACAGGAAACTCTGCATGCTTTGTCAATGACACAGTCGAGTACAAACAACTCACACTTTATGTCAAATCTGCTCTTCATGTTCATGCTGAAAATGTGCATCCTAAGGTTTGCCGCAGAAGTGACAAAGTCCATCGCTGGCGGGTCATCCTGTCAGTAACACAAATGGCAAGGCCTCGTGCAGTCCGTCATGCTCTAGGATCACTCTCAACACGTTTACAATGGGCAATGGTACAACCACACAGCAGAGTGAGGGGCGATCTGACCCAGAGGCTGGACAGGTGAGGCCTCACAGGCTGACCGTGCAGGGGGAAGGGGCTCATCTGGTCCTCTGGTCCAGGAAGGTAATCTACCAAGAACCTAAGAACCGCCATGCTTGCTGGGAAAGCATTCACACTGGTGAAGTGGAAGGGTGGCCCAGTGGTCGGCTAAGAGAACCCGGAGCCTCACAAAGGACCAGAGTTCGGCTCCCAGCACCCATGTTCCAGGGGACGCAATACCATACTCTGACCACTGCAGGCATCACATGCACGGTGTACACACGCACGCCACTTACAAGTAAACACACCTTTAAGTATCAAACCAAATGCACTGAGGCTATGTGTGCAGCTAAACTCCAATTCCATTTTCCATTGAGGAGAGCCCTTTCTGGGCCCGTTACTAAGTAGTGAGGTTGCCAGACACGGACATGCAAAGAATGGGCAAGGATGACTGGCCTCAGTCTCTGGGAAATCCCATCAGAAAGGTGACCTCTGAAGCTGTAGGTCTCCTTAGTGTGTAAAGCAGGAGCTGAACAGATCCCAGGTGCAGTTTTTGAGCACAGGGTTGCTCTGTGTATCCCTGCCCTGTATTTCCCTGCATTCCCTGGCACTTTTAGTGGACCAGGCTGGCCCGGAGAACTAGACTTGCCTGATGATTCCTCCTGAGTTCCAGGATTAAAGAAGTGCACCACCACGCCCAGCTTCGAATGTGGGACCATTTCCCCACAAGCAAAGAGGAGGAGCCCAGAGGTGACCGCTCTCGAGGAAGGCAAAGGCTGCAAGAGACTGGCCTAGCTCACTGTGCACAGCTCAAATGCAGCAAAATGCTACTCCCTTAAAAAAAGAAGGCAAGCCAGGCATTGGTGGCACTCGCCTTTAATCCCAGCGCTTGGGAGGCAGAGGCAGGTGGATCTCTGTGAGTTCGAGGCCAGCCTGGTCTACAGAGAAACCCTGTCTCAAAAAAAAAAAAGAGGCTTGAGGGGCTGGAAAGATGGCTCAGAGGTTAAGAGCACTGACTGCTCTTCCAGAGGTCTTGGGTTCAATTCCCAGCAACTACATGGTGGCTCACAACCACCTACAATTCAATCTGTGGTATATGTAATAAATAAATAAATCTTAAAAAAAAAAAAAGGCTCTTCTAGAGGTCCTGAGTTCAATACCCAACACCCACACGGGGATCTGATGACCTCTTTTGGTGTGCACGAAGACAGAACACTCGTATACATAAAATACATGAACAAAACTCCAAGCACCAACTCTCGTAGTAACTGGCTGACACTACAGTCAGTCACCAGGGCGGCAGTGCTCAGGGCCAAGAGGTCTTTATTTGGCCCCAGTGAACAAACAGAAACTTTCCAAATCACTAGAATAACAACAGAGAAAATATTTAAAACCTATCATTTATATCACATAAACCAAGAGACCAGTGTTTTTAAGAATTTCAAAAATCTAAACCCACCAGCTTTGTTTTAGATACCTGATTCAAGAAAAGCTTCAAACTTTATGCATACAGAGTTATCTGGGGATTCTAAAACGGGCCAATCATTTTTCTTACTTTGAGTCCCATAGCAAATCTTTCCTTCCCTTCCCACGAGGGGATGAAACCCAGGGCCCCCTGCATGCCGAGCAAGTGAGCACCCCAGGAAAGAGCCACAGAACATCTCGGGCCTCACAGTAGCTGTCATTACAACTGCATCTTCCTGGAAGGAAGGCAGCCACGTACGTCTGCAGAGCAGCTTCCAGCAAGTGCGAATTGAGGCTAGCTTGCATTAGAGACCCTGTCTCAGATACAACCAAACCAGGCAAGCTAGCCCCAGCCCAGGATAGCCTCAAGCATGGTGCTCAGCCTCCCAAATGCTGGGACTATAGGCAGGGGCCACACCTGGCTGTTCTTTCCCAGACTTCTGAAACTTTATTCACTTCAAGAGAAAGGCAACCTCAGAGCTGAGTGTGGCAGCACATGCTTTCAACTGTTAGGGCTAGCCTGAGCCACACGTATGAGCACTTACCTAGCATGGACAAAGGCCTACGCTCAGTCCCTGCAGGGAAGTGTGTAGGCAGTTTTTACTATTTTTAAGGTCAAATCAGTCCAAAACTGGAGGACTTTACATCTGTCCTTCTAACTCAAATATCCCACTGGGATAAATTATTTTCTGATTAATATATCAAGCCTTAAGTGTATTGCTAGAAGCCCAAACAAAATTTTGTGATACTTAAGCATATGCACAGAAAATCTACATTCAAATAACTGGAGATGAAACCATTCAAACAAAGTAAGCAACACCCCAAGTTGTTAGTTTTCTATAGCACAGGAACAACACAAGAGAGATGTGTAAGTGACCTACAGAGTTCAAAACAAACCTTATCCCAGATGAGCTCAGCCCCATCCCCCTTTTCCGCTAAATGGACCCTCAGGGTCTCAATGCTCTTGGAGAACAGACTTGCGTAGCTCTTTACATCCAGAACCTGCTGGTCCTTCAAACCCAACTGGGGCTCGTTTTGTTGATCAGATGCATTGGCTTCTTCTCCTACAAATAAACAGAATTTTTATTAAACACCTATCTCTACCTTGTTCTTGCCAAGGCTGGCCATTAAGATGTCACCAAAAGAAACGAATTCCATTGACAGCTATCACTACAAGTATGTGTGCAAGGAAACTGCTGAATCTGTGGACCACCCAAGACCACGTCAGCGTCTGATGGGACTTTTGGAGCATTCAAGAACATAATGGCAGAGCTGGGGAGATGCTAGCACTTTGAGAGAACTGGCTGCTCTTCCAGAGGACCCAACGCTCCCTCCTGGCCTTGGTGGGAACCTACACTCGTGTGCACATACCCATACAGCTGAAGAGTGAATATAAAACAAAAGGGAATCGTATTTTGCCCAGCACAGCTAATACTCTGAAGTCGAGCTGCCAGTCATGCCTCCATTTGCCCAGCACCACACAATGTCATTGCTGCAAGGAGCCGTTCCGGGGACCTTTTAAATTCAATCATGCTGCCAGCTGCAGCATAGCTCACATAAAGGCGCATAGTATGCCAGTGAGAAGGAAGTAGTCAGTACAATTATCTTGTTTCCTTGAATATAAATTTTAAAAATGGGGCTGGAGAGATGAGATGGCTCAGAGGTTCACAGCACTGACTGCTCTTCCACAGGTCCTGAGTTCAAGTCCTAGCAACCATATGATGGCTCACAGCCATCTGTAATGGGACCGATGCCCTCTTCTGACCTGCAGGTATACATGCAGAGCACCATATACATAAAATAAATCTTTAAAATTTTTAAATGTATTTCTAAATTAAATCTTAATACAAAGGCATTTTTACATACACCCACAACACTTTCAGGAATAATGAGTGCTGGGACTAAAGGCGTGCGAGCGGCACCCCCAGTGACTAGCTGCACTCTTACCTTGACTCTGCACTTCAGCCCAGTCCAGCGGAACTGGGGGTTTCCTCTTGCGCCAGAGTTTGTCCATTGTCAGCAGATACCTAATGTCATCCTTAAAAAGCTGAAATAAACAAACAAGTCCGATGAATCGGACGAGCCCAAGTTCATTAAACCCAGGTCAAGTTTTGCTGACTTACTATAGCTATGCCACGAAAGGGTTTAAAGGCATGGCACATGTAGGCAGAGTAACGGTTTCCAACACCACAGTAAAGGTTCAAACACTTGGAAAGCGCAGGGCAACAGTGTTCTCAGCTCTGCCAGCCGCCCAGACCCCACTACCTCCCAACCGTCTGTAACACCATGACACAAACTAATGGCTTGATAAACACCAGCACCATGTCTCAAAAAGCAAACAAAAACACACCAGCTCTACCTGAATGCAATCCAGTCTGTCAACACTGTTTCTGAAATAACACATTTACAGGCTTTGTGTCCCATTTCTACTCCTTTCATTTTGGGTTTGGAGTTGGTAAATATCTTAAAGTTATATAGTGTCAAGAATTCTGGAATGGTTAAGAAGAACTGCCAGGCAGTGGAGGCACTTGGGAGTTCAAGGCCAGGCTGGTCTACAGAGTGAGTTCCAGGATAGTCAGAGCCACACAGAGAAACCCTGTCTCCAATCTCCACACTCTACCCCCCACTAAAAACCCAAAACCAAAATCTCACTGGCTCACAAAGCTGAGTTTTGGTGCTATCAGCACTCTGGACCCCACGTGAAGCCTGAAGGACAAAACCCACAAAGTTGTCCTCTGACGCCACATGAACCATGCACATGTGTACTCTACTCAATACATTTTAAAGGTAAACCTGGCTGAGATACTGCTCAACAGTAGAGCCTTACTCATCATGTGGAAGCCCCCTGCGTGCTGGAGAAATGGTTCTAGGTTAAGAGCACTTGTTGGTTTTGCAGAGGACTGGGGTTCAGTTCCCAGTATCCATGTGGTGGTTCACGATCATTCCATAACTCTAGTTCTCTTGGTTCAGGCCCCCGTTTCTGAGGTAAGCATCAACATACATGCACACATGCAGGCAAAACATTCATACACCTAAGTTAAATAATTTTAAAAGAGGGAGGGGAAAAGCCTGATCAGGTCAGGGGATGAGGGAGAAGAAAGCAAGCCTAACCTTGGTGAAAAGTTTAACTGGGTCATATCCAGTTGACTTAGCCCACTCCTTAGTGGAAATACGCTTAATGTCTCCGTCTTCATTAGACGCTCGGGCTCTGGCCTCAGCTTCTGTTGGCTCCCCTACAAGACAAGCATCGTACTTCAATGACAATTCAGTTCTCACCTGAGGGAGAGAGCCACTCACAGGAAGGCAGCGGCATGCAACACATCCAGAGTTCCAGGACAGCAAACGAGCACTAGTGTATTTTTGTTTGTTTCAAAGGCATGCACCACCACTGCCCTGCTGCCTGAGGTTTTGTTGTTTTGGTTTTTCAAGGCAGGGAATCTCTGTGATAACAGTCCTGGCTGTCCTGGAACTCACTTTGTAGACGATGCTGGCTTCGAACTCACAGATCTGCCTGCCCCCAACCCCTCAAGTGCTGGAATTAAAGGCGTGCGTCACCACCACCCAGACTGAATTTTTTTAATTTAAATTTGAGTTCATATGCACAGGTGGTTTGACCTACTTGTACGCATGTGCGCCAAGTGGCTGACTTGTGCCCTTGGAAGTCACAAGAGACTACAAGATCCCTTGGAATTGAAGTTCCAGAGGGCTGTGAATCAATACACATTGGTCCAAGGCATTGAGCGCAGGTCATCTGGCAGAGCAGCTAGTACTCTAATCCCCTGAGCCATCTCTCCAGCCCTGTACCTCAGTTTCTAATGGGCACAGTTCAAAACTCTCTATAAACAGAATCAGGCGCTGCTCCCAGCCCTAATGATTAGATCTATGAAATGTCTCATCTTGATTTCTTCTCTTTTTTTTCCCCCTGGATGTTTTTGAGACAGGATTTCAGCCCTCACTGTCCTGGAACTCCATCTGTAGACCAGGCTGTCCTCAAACTCAGAGATCTAGCCGCCCCTGCCTCCTGAGTGCTGGGATTAATGGTGAGAATCACCTTGATTCCTTTTCTTACCACTGAAATAGAACTATTTCTTTGTTAAAAGCTTTAAAGACACAATGAGGGAATGGGTGTAGTGGCATATACATTAATTCCAGCACTCTGGGACAAAGAAGCAGATGGGTCTCTGCTTTCCAGACAATTAGGGCCACACAGAAAAACCCTGTCTCAAAAACAAACAAAAAAACCCTACTAAACAACAAACCAACAACCCCCCAAAAATTGGATAAAAGGAATGCACATACACACAGGCAAAACACCCATACACATTAAATAATAAATCCCCATTCTATCCCCAGCAGTGATGGCAAAGGCTTTTAATCCCAGCAACTGGGAGGCAGAGGCAGGTGGATCTCTGTGAGTTCGAGACCAGCCTGATCTACAGAGTTCCAGGACAGGCTCCAAAGCCACAGAGAAACCCTGTCTTGAATAATGAACAAACAAACAAACAAATTTCTTTTTTAAAAATGCAATGGCACAGTAAGCATGTGATCTCTACCACTAACAGCGGACCACTGTTAAGCCTTCACCATTATGTCAGCAGAGCACAGGCCACAGCCACTTACAAGCAGCTTCCGGGTCGGCCCTGTCAGGGGACACTTCTTGATCTGCATCCTCCTCTCCAAACAGCTGGCTGCAATTTCAAATAGTGGACATTTAGGTAAAGGCACTTGGAACAATGTGATTGTTTTCCCACAAACACCTAACTTTCAGGAGTCCAGATGCTTAGCAGGGTTATACAGTAAGCAACTGATGACTCACAGCGCGCACACCATCCTAGGGTATCCTGTTTGTTCACACGAGATGTGTGACAGCATCAGTCAGGTTCAAACATTTCAGTACTCAAGTCTGGCAGCAGAAATAGGCAAGCTTCCTTCTTGAAGAGCATTTAACACTAAAAGACACTTCAAGGCACCTGCAGCTGGCTATTCCACAAGTACACATCTGCTACACTCCCAAGGTCTTACTCTAGGTGGGGAAACTCTGCAGAGAATACATGTATGCTGTGACTGGTGTCATAAAAAGCTGAATGGCCAGTAGCCAGGCAGGAGGCGGAGAGAGGATGCTGGGAGGAAGGAAGCTCAAGAGGAAGCAGGATGGGCATACAGAAACGGGGTAAGGCCACGCGGCAGAATGCAGATTAGCAGAAATGGGTTAGTTTAAGTTGTGGGAGCTAGCGGGACAAGCCTAGGCTAGGCTGAGCTTTCATAACTAATAAGAAGTCTCTGCCATTATCTGTCAACTGGTGGTTCTGACAAGAAAGTACTGCCACATCTATCAACCCACTTCTAAGACCTTCTGCAGTCTGCTGTATCCTGCGGAGACATTTATTATTACTAATTAGGATTGGAACAAAAGGACGTGCATTTGCCCTGGCCAGTTTAGCAAGAGACTGTTTGACACCCTGCAGCCATCAAAGCAGGTAACCTTACACGGTTCCTATTTAACAAATCCCCACACAGTGCAGTCACAAACACGCTCTTCTATGTGGCATTGTGTCACGACAGGTGAGTGACCACGCCTAACTGTAATCTCAACACCTGGGAAACCACCCCCTGACCTTCATCTAAAGAGCATGGCATACACACATCCACTCCAAAATAAATGTGATAATAAATGTTAAGGAATCTTTCCTTGAAGAGAGGACTCAGTGCTACCTGGGTTGAACCCTGTCACATTATCTCAAAAAGAAAACCCCCCAAACCGTAAAGCTCTTGGAAACACTTGACAAGGAAACACCCTCTGGTTATACTGTCTAATTGCATTGTGTGTGACATGTCCACCCACGCTAGCCAGTCAAGCTAGTGTGTTTTACGGCTGCCATGAGGGCTAACACTCTGCATCTGAGCTCACGCTCCATACCCCTTTGTGGAGGCTTTGCTGTGTTGGCACAGGGCCTTCCTATACAGTGGAACTCACTGTGCAGACGGGCTGGCTTTGAGCCCAGGGATCTACCTGCACCTCCTCCTGTCTACCTGTGGGCCACCTTGTCTGACTTTACAGACTTCAGAAACACATTTGAGATCACAACCTTCATCTGGCTGCAAACCCTGTCTCTCTACACAACGGCCACTGTGCTGACCTGCTCCTCAGAACCCCAAGGGTCACCCAACACAGACATCTAAGAAATGAACACTCAAGAGCTGGAGATGACATCCAAGACAGGATCCCAGAGATGATGATAACTGATATTATGTAAGAGCTACAAAACACCAAGGAACTTTGTTTCTTTTTGGAGACAGGGTTTCTTTGTGTCTGGCCGTCTTAGAATTCACTATGTAGACCAGGCGGGCCTCAAACTCAGAATAAAAATGTGTGCCACCACTGTCTAGCAGGAAGCTTTCTAGTTACGGCTATCCGCAATGGTTCCTTAGTCTTGCGGTCTGGTCTCTCTCTGTGTGTGCGTGTGTGTGTGAGCATGTGTGTAGAGGGGGCTGGGGGGTAAGGGGGTCTACGCCTGGGAACCCTACTGCTGTCTGGAAACTGTTAGCACTGTGTTCTGTTAGTTCTTTACTCAGGTCCTCCCAGCTAGTAATCCAATTTGCCAGTTAATTTTGGGGGGGAGCTCTTAGTTCAAATCATTCTTTTCAGTTTTGTTTTTCATGCATTCTGCAGTGCACCTCCTTATTTCAAGCAGACTCTTATGCTGTCAATGCTCAGCGTTTCTTCGTGAGTGTAACCTGTAGCCTGCCTTCTAACTACCACATCCAGGCACGCAGCAAGCTCGAGGGTGGGGCCTCTCACCATTGCTGGAGCTGGTTGTGGATGGTCATCGGAGAGGGTAAGTGATCCTAACCAGGGCCCCAGGCTCACCATGCCACTGGGTTCCACCCCAGCCCACTGAGGGCTTTAACTCCACTGTGATTTCTTCTTTAACCAATAGGTTATTTATAAGTATGTTTTCATATTTCCAAATATATACATTTACACAAACCTAGTTGCATGCCTGTATCCAACACCAGACTAAACATCCAAAATTTCACGCATAGCATGCAAAGAATGTCGTCTGCGTTAAACCCAAGAAAACCACTAGTGACTCTTCACCATATTTAACCATTATAAATAGAACTTTCAAAGACTATTTAAGTAAAAACGACCTCGTGTTCCATGATCAGTTCTGACAACACACCAGGGATACACGACTCTCTTACTTGAACAAGTACTTTGCCCAGACGATGCAGTGAATCGGTTCAGAAGGTGTGTTCCGGATCGTGCAGCCAGGGAATGTCCTCTGCGTTGGCTTAGGATGACATTCGTAACACTCAGTCACACCCTACAAAGTCGGGGCACAGTTATCCCATGATGGTTATAAGGTAGTGCAATTAAATATACTTCATTCCCTCAATTACATTCCAACTGGGTTTTATTTGTCAAGAAAAATGTAAAATATTAGCAACTGCAAAATCCTTACAGTACACATAAAGAATCCAGAGTCATAATACAAAGGCTAAATAAAGTGACTACAGTCACATCTGAGGCAGAACCAGTACACCCGACTCCCAAACAAGCGAGAGTGAATATCCAGACAGTAAAAAGCATCACAGTACAACCCTAAGTCAGAGAATTTCCTTTTGATTTCACCAAATAACAAAAAACTACAGGGAGCCAGGGAGGGCAGTGGTGGCGTACGCCTTTAAACCCAGCACTGGGGAGGCAGAGGCAGAGGCAGGCGGATCTCTGAGTTCCCTGGTCTACAGAGTAAGTTCCAGGACAGCCAGGGCCACACAGAGAAAAACCCTGCCTCAAAAAAACCAAAATATCCCAGCACTCAGGCCGAGGCCAGCCAGGTCTACAGAGCAAGTTCCAGAACAGTCAGTCAGGGTTATGTAGAGAAACCCTGTCACGAAAGAAAGAAAAAAACAGGAGAGGCCAAGGGACCCCAATGTGGGACCATCAGATGAATCCCTCTTTAGCTCAGCCTGTCTCAACCTCAGCCTTCACACAGGTCATAAAGCCAATGCAACAGTAACGGCCAAAGAATCAAACCCCACAGGAGCAGTTTCAGCATCTCCTCCACTAGGCTGCTATGCCCTCCAAAGTCCAACAAATGTCTAGGATGAAGCCACCGACAAGCGTCACACTGTATGACAACTACTGCCTTGGCACCGCAGGCACTAGGAGCCTCCACTACATTCTACGAACACGGACACACAACCTCGGGAAAACGCAGAGTAAGCTTCCAAGACCAACAAGACCTGAGTGCAGAACAAAGGAGCACGCTCGGTAACATAGATGCCATCCAGCCATTTTAAGTATTTTGTAAAAAGTACTGTCTAACCTTTGAAGGAATTCTTCAAATGTAGCCTTTAATGTTACATCCTGAAGAATCTCAACACAGATCTGAAGAACAGACTGATCAGTCTCGGGATTTTGTACAACTAGGCTAATGCACCCCACCCAACCAGCTTTACTAAACTGCTTAAAATACTTCATAAACACAGCCAAACAGTTTCCCCTCTCTTCAGATCTGTTTATCAGGTAAAATGAACATGAGTTAGGGTTGGTTATTACTGCATTTGTACAACTGAACTAGACTCCCAAACCCAAAAGTTAGCCATTGATTTCTTACATTTATTTAGTGCGTGCAAACACAGGGGCACCATAGCACACGCGTGGAAATCAGGACAACGTGTGGGAGTTTTCTCCTTCCAATACCTGGGCCCGAGAGCTCAACCCAGGCGGTGAGGCTTAGCAGCACGTGCCTGCTGAGCATCTCAGGGGCCCCAGAGTAACTTTGGATTTGTTTTGAGACAAGTCCTTACTGTGTAGCCCTGGCTGGCCTTGAACTCAAACAGATTCTCCTGTCCCTTTTCTGCTTGCTGGGATTAAAGAGGGTGCAAGACACCATGCCTGGTCCATTTTAATATTTGGAAGTACAACCTTCTATCATCTAACACAACCCAAAGTCCCATGTGTACAGTTTGTCATGTCAGTCTAAGGACTTTAGTTTGTTGGTTCTCGGTTTTTAAAGACAAGGTTTCTCTGTGTAGCCCTGGGTGCCCTAGAACTTGTTCTGTAGACCAGGCTGGCTTTGAACTCAGAACCCTTGGAGGCTCTGCCTCCTGAGTGCTGGGATTAAAGGCGTGTGAAACTAAGCCCAGCTGGGGCTGAGGTTAACAGATACGTGAAGTGACATGAAGTGGCAGAGTCAAAGCTCTTCCTCAGGCTTTATTTGAGGGTGGGAGGTTTTCTGGGAAGCCAGAGGCCCAAGCATCACCCTGTGTGATACGGCATCGAATCACTACGCCTGGGACGCACACCCAAACTTTCTTTACCTTCTTGATGGTGGTCACTTGCCCAAGATACCCAGCAGTCCCACTTTCAATGAGCGGCACGTCAGCTGCCAGGCACATTCTGTTGACATGGTTCCGGGCAGCTGAAAGAAGCCACTGGTTAGCAGGAGCGTCTGATGACACCCAGTTCAGGGTGACAACTGTGCACAATTTCTTGCTTTCACTACAGCACATGTTGGTTATGGCGAGGATAACCCAAACCACTCTGTCTGCATAACCAGAATACATCCTTGGCCAATGGCATATCATTACAGGACACTCAGCAAATCAACACCGGTGGCATTTGCACTGCAAATGTACTCTAGAAAAAGACTCTTAGAAATGATTCCCAAGTGCTGGAGCGGCAGGTGCAGCCTGTCTGAGCTGACATGAGGCTCTAGGTCTGACTCCAGGAAGTCACTTCTGAAACATCAAAAGTAGAGCCAGAGAGAGCTGCCTCGGCAGTTAAGAGCACTGGTTGTTCCTCAGAGGACCCAGGGATCAATTCCCAGCACCCACATGGTGGCTCACAACTGTCTGTAGCTCTAGTCCCGGGGGCTCTAGCCTCTTCTTTTGGATTCCTTGAGTACCAGGCCAGCATGTATATACAGACATACACGCAAAAACAAAACAAAACCAAGATCAAAAGCATGAAGACGACAGTGAGAGCTAGGCAAACCTTTTCCGCCCCTGCCCGTGTCACTGCCCTCTCTGTAACCACGCAGTGAGTAGAGGAGGGTACGGACACTAACTCAGAACCAGTAAGGAAGTTTCAGGTCAGGGGACACAAGACTGGGCAGGTTTCAAGCGTCATTCAGCAGGCTTTCAATGCTTTTCCCTGTTAGCAATTACTGATACATACTTTGCAGGACTATTTTTTTCCCTGACACAGGGTCTCACTGGTCTGCAGCTTGTAAAGCAGGCTGCTGGTCTTGAACTCAGAGATCCGCCTGCCTCTGCTGGGATTAAAGGCATGGCCACCTTGTCTGACTTTCCTGAAATAAATTTGTTACTCCTACAAGGACATGGTCTGGGATTCTGTGGTACAGGTATAGCTGGCATAATTCTAGAACCAGTCTTTACCTGGAGCAGCGTAAATTGGGCCTGCATTCCAACCCTTGGGAGGCAGAACCAGGATGGATCAGAAGAGTTCAAGATCGCCCTCAGCTGCTCAGCAGAACAACGAGCACCTCACTGCCTCGCTTGCCCTAAGGCAATTACGGTCACCTGATACTCTGGGTGACACCCTCGGGTTCACATTTCCTAGACCAGGCACCTACTGCCACCACCTGAAACAAACTCCCGCCCGCAGGCAGCCACACTCTGCAGGATTTACAAAGGCCCTTTGATCTATACCTTCTGGTACAATAGCAAAGTGTCTGACAGCTAACTGCTGAGAAAAAAAAATTCAGCCCCAGAGAAAACAGCCACCAACTGGCACTGCTCACAGCTGAAATCCTAGCACACCAGAGCCGGGGCAGGAGGACTGTCACCAGCTGAGGTCAGCCTGGGGGAACAGGGAGTAACAGACTAGCTTGGGCAACAGAGACTGTCACCCCCCCCAAGCCTCACCTACTCTCATTTCCTTCTGGCTCTCTTAAGGTCTAACTCATACTTGGACACTAAATCTCTAGCCAGCTTTGACACAGGGCAGAGGAATAACGAGACGTGAAACATTAAGAACATCTTACCTCTGTTATCTAACGCGTTCATAACCAATATAAACTGTCGAAAAAATTCCACATTATAGTCTGGGCTGGAAAGCAAAACAAAAAGGTCACCAAAACTGGCCTCAAGTATGATTTTCTCAGCATAATGGAGTCCTGAGAAGGACAAGTAACTGTAAAAATAACTGTTGGTGGGAAGGCTATGCAACAAACACAGGAAGGCTGGAATTTTCCTAACATGAGCACATTTTAAAGGCACTACTCTCAAATTTCTCTTTCTGACCAGCTATCTATGGCACCAAGACAAACTCTTAAACTGGCAGAAAACTGGCATAATCTCACCAGTGCCCCGCCCCCTGCCCCCTTACAGGGTAGCAAGTGCCTGGGAACACACAAGGAGCACATTCCCAGGATCTGCTAGGTCTGTGGTTTCACCTCACATGGTCACAATCAGGCGGGGTTCAGGCCCCTCGGGGCTCTGCTTTTAGCAGCACTGGGAAAGCGACAAGGGGTAAGCAGCAATAGGCAGGTCTGCAGAGCAAACATCCAGAGAATTCCAAACAGCCCAAGAGACAAGGGCTTGAGAAAGTGTAAGGCGCCCTCTAACTCTAATGCTTCACATAGGGACTACTACTGCCCATGTGTGTGCCCACGTGTGTGCGTGTGTGCGTGCACGCGGTGGAGGGTCACACTCGCGGATCTTTGCTCTAACACCCCCATGAGGACAGACTCATCAATCATTACTGAGGTAAGCACAGTCACTATCCACAGCATCAGAGAATCCTCAGGCCTCAAAGCAGTCCTTTCTAGGTTTCTGAGAACGTCCTCACTGGCATTAAAACATCTCTTACATAAATAATTCAAATATACAAGAACTGGTAAAAAACATGGCCACGGCTGTGGGCACACGTATCGTGTAAGATTTCTACACGCTCTCTTAGAAACGCAGCTTTCTGACAGAGCGGTGTGCGTACTTCATGATGCTGTCGTGGTGAGCCTCGATGTGAGCCTGGGGGTGGAACTGGAGAACACTTTCTTTGGCAACCTGGAAAAACAACATTAAGTCACCGTGGAGACAAACGCATGCTCCTTCACTTACAACACGGCAATCTTATTTATAAACAAAAACGTGGTAAGCCCTCATCAAGGGCATACACATTTATAAAATTAGTTTTCCCCTACATGTGACCACTTCTGTGTGAATGGCAAACTGCAGAGAAAATGGAAACCTCCGGGCTGGGGGCTCTAACGTCTGCTTCTCCCCAGCAGTACAAAACTAACCTAACCTACAATAGTCAGTGCTATTCACTCACTTAAGAGCCTAAGAAAAGAGGCGTAAACAACCATCCAGGCTAGCCTGACTACAAAATGCAATGACAGTTACCTGTGGGGGAGGGGGGAAGGGGAAGCTGCAAATACAAAAACATGAAAGCAAATACAACAGTGTGTGAGGGGCCGGCAGAAAACAAGAGGCCTTTGACCCCGCTGGGCCAGGGAGAGCATTCGAAGCAGGGGTGTCTTCTCCTGCTCCAATGGAGCAGCCCAGGGATGTAAAGGAGCAAACTTAAATCCCAAGGACACAAAAGACACCCCCCCTCCTTCCCTTCACACTCCAGGGTTCTGCAGCTAAAGGGCCGGGCATGTGAGGTGAAGGCTCATGGGTAAACGGTTTCCAGTCATCACCTGAGTTTCATCCCCAGCACCCAGCTGTCCCGACTTCCACTCCCTCGTGGTGGCAGGCGTATATGCCCCAGACAAAGTAAGTACACGAAATGTTAATCATGGACAGAAGCTTTCTCCCTCCACAGGCAGTCAGGATCTTATCTGCCGAGGGAAAGCTTCGGCAGTGTCACAGGGCTGCAGTTACCTGAGCCTTCGATCTTCCAACATGCTTCTTTTGAAACAAGAACTGCCTGTTGAGGTTGCTGACATCGATGGTGTCCAGATCAATCTACAAATGTAGAAACCCAGATAAATCATTACACGTTGAGCAACGCCACTCTCTTGGGCACTCATAACCCAAACTTACCAGTGGGGAAAGTGCTTTTTTGTACAAGTCATACCCAGATTGCTAAATTTCCATCTACAGCATATGGGAAGAGTATCAATGGCAAAGGCAACCTCAAGAATGCATCAAGGGCCGGGCGTTGGTAGCACACACCCTCAATCCCAGCACTCGGGAGGCAGAGGCAGGCGGATCTCTGTGAGTTCGAGGCCAGCCTGGTCTACCAAGCGAGTTCCAGGACAGCCTCCAAAGCCACAGAGAAACCTTGTCTCGAAAAACCAAAAAAAAAAAAAAAAAAAAAAAAAATGCATCAAGGATGGCTAACCGTTTTTGTTTAATCCTATTCCAGGGAATTCTTTAGAAAGCATAAAGGCTTTGGTTTATTAAAATTGTAAAATTTTCCGCTGGGCAAGGTGGCGCACTTGGGTTTCTGCGAGTTGTATGTCAGCCTGGTCTCTATAATGAGGTCCAGACCAGTCAGGGTTACATATTGAGACTCTGACTCAAAATATAGATAAATAAAATAAAGGCAAAATAGAATGCATTAAGTGGCTGTCCTGGACATGGGTACAATCCCCCAAAACCCACATTAAAACAAGCTGAGCAGTCTCGAGTTTTCGAAACCCCCCAGCCAGGGAGGCAGGGAATAGGGGGATTCTTGGGACTCACGACCAGCCATCCTCTAGTGAATTTGGAGCATTCCAGAGCAACGAGACCCTGTCGCGGGGAAAAAAAAAAAGGTAGATAGTGCCCCCAAGTTGTCATCTGGGCTCCATACCCCAAATAAATACACATCCATCTGTCTGATTATTTCAACTGTCATATAATTTACTGTGCCCCATTGTGTCTCATTAAGTGATGAGATAATCAGATTTGGAAATGTTTGTTGTTTTAACTCTTTATATACATATTCAATCAGGATTACTTGAGGAATATTAAAGGAAATTTCCTACATATGGCAACAAATAAAATAAGAACTCATTTAAAATCTAACCTAGGGGCCGGGCAGTGGTGGCGCACACCTTTAAACCCAGCACTCAGGAGGCAGAGGCAGGCAGATCTCTGTGAGTTCGAGGCCAGCCTGGTGTACAGAGAGAGAGTTCCAGGCCAGGGTAAAAAGCAACCCTGTCTCAAAAAGATACCCTCCCCCCCAAAAACAAAATCTAACCTAGGAGCTGGAGAGATGGCTCATTAGTCAAGAGTGCTGGTTGCTCTTCCATAGAATCTGGGGCTCAGTTCTCAGCACCCACATTGGTAACACCAGTTCCAGAGGGATCCCATGCCCCCTTCTGGCCTGTGAGAGTACCAGGCACAGACACACATGCAGGCAAGAGACCCATACACATAAACTAAAGAAAAAACGTTTAAATAAAATAAAATTAATCTAATTGCTACTCAAAGGAAAAAAATGAGTATCAGCTAACCGTCGTTTGCATTCTATCTCAATAAACTTACGTAAACAACAAACAAAACTCATTATGAAAGATGCTGACTCTTCGGGGTAGTTCCTGAACAATTACAAAACATATAAGCACCGAAACACCCCGTTTGTACTTCAAAGTTCACTACAAAAATTAAACCAAGCCGGTCGGTGGTGGTCCACATCTTTAATCCCAGCACTCAGGAGGCAGAGGCGGGTCTATCTCTGTGAGTTCGAGGCCAGCCTGGTCTACAAAGCTACACAGAGAATCCCTGTCTCAGGAAAAAAAAAAAAAAGCATTAAACCAAAGAAAAGCAATTGAAGAACATATATTTTTCAATTCACTCTCGTCTGCTGCAAAAACTACTCTTTTAGCGTAGCATGCGGAGTTACCAGCACACTGGGTGTGAAGCCTAACCAATGAAAAGATGCACTGACTCCAATTCCGCCTCGCCTCACACCCTGACACCTGCAAGTTCGGTCCACGTCTCTGCTAAACCTTAAGGCATCTTCAACTCACGCCCAAGCTCCAGACAGCATCTCCAACACTTCTAACAAATCACAGCGGCTTCCTGTCAACCGCGCGCTCATGCAAGACGGAGAATATGGACAAACGAAAACTTTTTTTTTATTTTCTTTTTTTAGTTTCTGGAGGAAAGGTCTTGCTACACAGCCCAAGCGGACCTCACACTCCCCACCCTACTGTCACCCGTTGACTGCGGGGGTTGCGGGCGGTCACCCAGTCGCGCAAACCCAAGGGGAACACCCTGAATGACACGGACGACCACGACGACGGAGTCCCGTCTGCACTGTGGCCGGCCCGGCGAGGAGCGCGAGCCCCGGAGGAGGCTCGCCCAGGCAACCAGCGGCGCAACCCCCACCCCCGCCCCAGGGTAAGCCACTCAACCGCCCTAGCGTCTTCCCCTCGCTCATCCTTAAAACAGATAAGACGGGAGGCAGACAGCACTTGCAGCCGCCACCCCCAGGCCGGCGGGCACGCTCGAGGGAAGGCCGCTGTGCACGCCCGGCTGCAGCCGCTCCCCGCTTCCCCGCGCGCGGGTCGTTACTTCCGAGGCAGGGGCGCGTTCGAATTAAAGCCGCAGCACCCCCGGGGGGGGGATCCGGGCCCCTTCCTGCATCCCCAGGGGAAGCTGGGCGAACGGGTCGGCTCGGGAGGCGGCGAGCGCACGCGCGCGCGCGGGCGAGGGCGCGGGCCTGGCTGGGGAGCGGAGGCCGGCGGAGCCCGGGGACTCTCGGCCGCCTGCTCCCGGCGCGGCGATCCCGAAGCCCGGCCTCTCGGGCCGCGCCGTCCCCGGCCTCCCGCCCGGAACCCGGGGCCCCCGCGTCCCGCCGCCATTCAGCCGCGGCCCGGGCCTCACCAGGTCGATGTGGGAGAAGCCGGTGAGCACCAGGTTCTTGAGCAGCTCACAGCCGATGCCGCCCGCGCCCACCACCAGCACCCGGCCGCCCGACACCGCCTCGGCCAGCTCCCGGGGAAGCCCCCCGCGACAGGGCCATGGCGGGACGTCCACGAGCCGCCGCGGTCCGAGGCGGGAGAGCCCGAGCGGCGGCCGGAAGACGGTGGGGGAAGGGCGGCGCAGCTTCCGCTCCTGCGCGCTGCGGCCGCGGGCCCGCGCCGGCGTGGGGCTGGGATCCCTCCCCTGCGCCGGGCTGCTGCGGCGCAGACCGACCCTCGGCATTAGCGGCCGGCGTTGCCTTTTGACGACCTTCGTTTGAACCCCCAACGAAAACTCCTTACGTTACAAAAAAAAAAAAAAAAAAAAAAATCTGCGACTCGGCGGCTGGAGAGATGGCTCAGGGAGGGGTTAAGAGCACTGGCTGCTCTTCCAGGGGTCCTGAGTTCAAGTCCCAGCAACCACATGGTGGCTCACAGCCATCTGTGATGAGATCTGGTGCCCTCTTCTGGCCTGGGCAGAACACTGTATACATAATAAATAATTAAAAAAAAAAAAAGCTACGACTCTCTATGTCAGGAACATTTATGAATTAAGAAAGTTGCCCAAGCAGTATATATTGGGAGAGGACCTATCCCGAGACTAAGAAAATGGACAACTTGGCCTGAGAATGTTGGGTGTAATGCAGCCGGGTGGGGGGTGGCACATGCCTTTAATCCCAGCACCTGGGAGGCAGGGGCAGGTGGATCTCTGTGAGTTCGAGGCCAGCCTGGTCTTTAGTCTCTGGGGTAATAAGCCTACAGTTGAGAATTTCCTTAGTGCGTCATATGGAGCCTTGCTAAATAGCATTAGGTGAGTTCTCCGGGACCTGCCACCTTCACACAGACATGGGCAGGTAAGACAACAATGCACATCAAGTGAAAATAAATATATATATATGTATCATTAGCTGGCTGGGCTTGTCCTGATCCAGCCTTACCCCCAGATTGGTTGACTGGATTTTGTCTTTCTTGGCCAGCTTTCTGGCATCTTTCTGGTCATTCTTGGAAGAGTGGTGAAGCCCAGGGAGCAGTGATAACCACTGCAGCCTCAACAAGACAGATACTGGGGGGGAAAGCTTGATCCTATTTCCCATCACGCCAACAATCCAAGTGAGAAATGGTTCATTGTGCAGAATGAGAGAATCTGAAACCAGTGTTCAAATTTTCAGTCTGCTCATGAGGCACCCATTCATCAAGCTTTTTCACTGTTTAACTTGCTTCAAGGAACAAATGATCGTTGGCTGAATGGTCCACGTCGAATTCTTTGAAAATTGGTCCAGCCAATGTCAGCCTCTGCTGTCAGTCAATACACTCGTCGTGAAGGCTCTCCTCATTCACTGCTTCTGCAGAGCTCCAGAAATCAGCAGTTCCAGAGCCAGCGCTTTGTGGAGTACTAGTTAGCCAACCAAATGTGCTGAAACTAAAGATGTGTGCCCACCACTGACCAGCTGTGTGCCCACCACTGCCCAGCATCGAATCCGCCTTTTGTCTAACATAATTTCCATAATATTATTACTATATGATTATTCCATAATCACAGCTGGTAACTCTCTGAACGCCTCTGATGGGATCGGCTCATAGAAGCTCTGATGGTCCCCTACTTTCATGTCTTGAAACTGGCCATGAAGAACCCCTAACTTGGGCTGGAGGGATGGCTCAGAGGTTAAGAGCACTGACTGCTCTTCCAGAGGTCCCGAGTTCAATTCCCAGCAACCACATGGTGGCTCACAGCATTCTGTGATGAGATCTGGCGCCCTCTTCTGGCCTGCAGGCAGACATACATGGAAGCAGGATATTGTATTTGTAGTAAATAAATACATCTTTGAAAAAAAAACAAAAACCCTAACTTACACTGATCCCAGCACAGGCAGATTGATTAGATGGACTTTTCTCTGTGTGTCCGCGCTAGCATGTGAGGGTAGAGGAAACTCGGGGTGTCTTACTCTGTCACTCTCTACCCCTTTCTCTGTGTGTGGGTGAGTTCCGGTGCATGCGCATAGCCTGCAGAGATCAGAAGAGGGTGTCAGGCCTCCCGGAACTAGATGTCTGTGAACAGCTTGTGGGTGCTGGGGAACCAGCCCTGGTCCTATGCAAGGGCAGTCAGTGCTCTTAACCGCTGAGCCTACCCTGGTTGGTATTTCTATGCATTTGTCTGTGACTCTGTGCTGCACAAATAATAATAAAAACCCACAGACAGACAGATATTGGGTGTTCAAACTGAGGATCAGAGAAGCAAAGCAGCCAGCCACTAGAGAGTTCTCACCTCTACCAAGGCGCAGACCAAAGGGGGCGATGCTGTCCTCAGCGTGACTGCAGACTGAATACACTGCACTCCTGTCTCCACCGCCTTCTGTCCCTCTCTAGTGCTGGCATTAAAGGTGTGCGCCACCACTGCCTGGCCCTGTATGGCTGACTAGTATAGCTACCTTTGCACTCTGATCTTCGGGCAAGCTTTATTTATTAGATCATCAACAAAATTATCACCATAGTTCTGTTTCTCAGCTCATGCTCATCAAAGAAAAGTAACTCTAAAGACAGAAAACAGAGAATTTTGCTAATTATAATTAAACTTGGCTTTCTCTGCAGCTGACTGGTTCACCAACCACACACAGACTGGGCTAGAGGTTTTCTTTTTTTGTTGTTTTTTGAGACAGGGTTTCTCTGTATTGTTTTGGAGGCTGTCCTGAAACTAGCTCTGTAGACCAGGCTGGCCACGAACTCACAGAGATCGGCCTGCCTCTGCTGGGATTAAAGGCGTGCGCCACCACTGCCTGGCTGGGCTAGAGGTTTTCTCACACAGCTACCTGGATATATCAAGTATAGGGCAGACCAGAGGGCCTCACTAGTGCAGAAAGTATTCCTGCACATAGGCTGAGCTCTCCCCCAGGACACGCCCAGCGCTCAAAACTGCCATCCTGAAGCTAATCTAACAGATGCCCTTCCCGGGAGGCCCTGAGTTCTGATAGGAACTTATGCTAAGTGCAGGAAGTTAAGAGCTGAAAGCCCCCTCTCCCCATGCAACAACCCTGTTCTACTGTGCCTCTCTGTTCCCGTGTCTTTAACACAGTACAAAGTGTGTACCTTCCTTTTTTGACACTGTTAGCTCTGCAACCCATGGCCTCACAGTGTTGCATCTGAATGGGGTTATAGCAGACTTGTTTTCTTCACGTCATAATGTATTCTTAGAGACCTGTGGAAAGCCTCTGTCCAACCGTATGGTTTACATAGGTAACACCCGCCACAAGTACATATAGCCAAACTCAAGAATGCTTGGGCAGGGCTGCAGAGATGGTTCAGTGTGTAAGAGGGCTTGCTGTGTAAACATGAGGCCAGCTCGCCCCGTAACAAGGGGGTGTGGTCTATGAAGGCCTGTAGCTCTATACTTCTAGCACTGATGGGGGCAGACACAGGAAAATCACTGGGGTTCACTGGCCGCCAGACCGGCAGAAATACATGAGCTCCAGGTTCAGGGAAGATCATCCATCAGATGGAGAATCACAGAAGGGCTCATCAGTGCCTCTGCTGACCTTAGCACGCACACACACACACACACACACACACACACACACAGCAGGTCTGGTCAGCAGCCTACCTTCCCCTGAAAGTAGGAAATGGAGAGGCAGAGGGAGATCGGGTTAGTATGAGGTCATCCTGGGATTGTGTCTCAGAAAACTAAAAATGGGCCTGAGGTTGCAGGGAAGTCGGCAGAGTGCTTGCCCAGCATGCACTGAGCCCGGGCTTTGATCCCCAACACCCTATAAGCCAAGCATGGCAAGTTCCCGTAACTCTGGAAGTGGAAGGAAGAAAATTAGAAGTGGTGGCGCACGCCTTTAATCCCAGCACTCGGGAGGCAGAGGCAGGCGGATCTCTGTGAGTTCCAGGCCAGCCTGCTCTACAGAGCGAGTTCCAGGACAGCCTCCAAAGCAATACAGAGAAACCCTGTCTCAAAAAAAAAAGAAGTTCAAGACCATCATTAGCTACCCAGCAAACTGGAGAGCCTGTCTAAAACAGAATAAGCAATGTAACCCTGGCAATCTGAAAGGGTATGAATGGCTGGGTTTTTTTTTTGGTAGAGTTAGTGTTAAAAGCAGGGCCTTGTCAGACTAACCCGCTCTCCCTCAGCCTCTCCATTTCCTACTTTTCAGGGGAAGGACGGCTGCTGACCAACCCAGGCATCCCCCTGTATATCATCCCCATCAGTACCCGACTCAAAGAGGTACAGTTAAGCAACAACTCTCCCTACTGTCAAGATGTCCCTGACCAGAGGGGACATCTTCGTGGCCATCTGAATAAACTCAAAGCGTGGCAGCTGTGACGTAACCGGTCCTTTTCTGTTCTCGCTGAGTAACTGGTCTAGCCAGCTGAGGTAGTTGCTGTCTACAGCACAGGCACCAGAGAGAAACCGCTCTCTGCGGTGCTGTCTCCGCTCAGCCAAGCTCTGCTGGGGCCTCACCGACCAGACCCCCAGTTTGCACACACACAGCCACTTCCCTGCGGAGAGAACGCACACCAGTTACACTGTGCACGTGGCCACACCCTCTGCTCATCAGGCTTCATTCTCCTCATTGCACAGAGCATGCTGGAACGTGACTAGTGGGAGCTCCCACAATGCTTGCTGCCAAGGGAGAAGAAAGGAAGGGGTTGGTGGCAGAGAAGGGGAAACTGGGCAGGTGGACAGTTGGATGGTGGGCCGCTGCAGAGATCCTGCCTGGGACGCTGCACAGCAGATTGCCGAGTGGTCCAGGCAGCCAGGGTCTAAGGGCGGGGCGCTCTGCAGGGCTGAGGGAGGGTGCAGTGGGGTACACTACAGGGGGGATGGGAAGCTGCTGACGGTTATGCTGTCGACAGAATGCCCACCAGGGTGTCTGTGGACGGCGTCACTGGTTCCCAGCCCAGGAGGGAAACTGTGTAATTGCTACCATGCAGACAGTCCGCTGATCCACACAGTCAGGAGGTGCTGGTTCAAGCCCCAGCACAGTCTCCAAAAGAAAGAAAAGGGCAATATTAAAAATAACTGTTAAACTGGGTGGTGGCGCACGCACGCCTTTCATCCCAGCACTCGGGAGGCAGAGGCAGGCGGATCTCTGAGTTCAAGGCCAGCCTGGTCTACAGAGTGAGTTCCAGGACAGCCAGGGTTGTTACAGGGAAACCCTGTGTGTGTGTGGGGGGGGATGGGCAGTTAAAGCTGGGCATGGTGGCCCTCACCTGTAATCCTAGCACTGGGAGGCTGAGGTAAGGTTACTGAGTTCAAGACCAGTCCAGGCTACATAGAGAGACCATGCCTCAAACGAGACAAAACAAAAGGAAAACAACAATAAACCAAACAAAAGACATTAGTTAATAATTTATATGATAAGTCTGAGGCAGAATTGCCACAAGATCAAGACTCCCCTGTCTCAAGGGAAGAGAGAAGCTGAAATAACGTAAACATACACATATTTGAATGTGAAAACTTGTTTTAATTTGTATAAATAAGAGGAAGTGTTCTACGTAAATAAACCTTCATCTGGGTCTTCTTGTATAAGACAGAATTCTTCCATGGGAGCCTGCTGCGTCACAGGCCAGCAGCTCTGCTCACACGTGTAAACAAGAACCGTTCCAAATTCCACAGTAAGACCTGCAAAGCACCACACGCTCTAGATTCCAACAAGGACACAGCTAAAAGGGACATTCGTGATGAGGAGAACACAGGAGCCTCACAAGTTCAATGTCAGCCTGGGTTAAACAGCCAGGTCAGGCTGTCCAGGGCTACACCACACCCCTACCTCATAAAAAACAAAAAAACAAAAAAAAAAAACAAAAGGCAGTTTTTTTGTTACTGCCATAAGTAAACTTTCTTTAAAACAAAAAGAAATCCCCCCCACAAAGGCCAGCCGATGATCTGAATTTAGATTCCCAAAACCCATGTACAAAACCAGGCAAACCAGGGGCCTTTAATCCCAGCACTTGGGAGGTAGAGGCAGGCGGATCTATGTGAATTCAAGGTCCACCTGGTGGTCTACAGAGCAAGTTCCAGGACAGTCAGGGCTGTAACACAAAGAAACCTCTGTCTCAACAAAAAAAAAAAAAAAAAAAAGGACTCAAATGACTACATTAAAATGAAAAAAAAAATGGTGATGCTGCTAGGAAATTAATAGAAATAAAAATGATTGAGTTAGCTGGGCGCTGGTGGCCTTTAATCCCAGCACTCGGGAGGCAGAGGCAGGCGGATCTCTGTGAGTTCAAGACCAGCCTGGTCTACAGAGCGAGTTCCAGGACAGGGTCCAAAACAATACAAAGAAACCCTGTCTCGAAAAACCAAAGAAGAAGAAAAAAGAGATTGAGTCGGGGATATCACTCAGTGGCTCACTACCAGCCTAGCATGACCAAGGCTGCAGGTTCCATCCTCAGTACTGCAAAAATAAAAGGAAGAAAAAACCTAGGAAGGTAAAATGATGCTTGATCCCAAGCCCTGAAAAATAGCAAAACCAAAACCAAAAGCCTCCGCAGTAAGTTCTAGGCCAGGCACAGGTACCCACGGTAGCAAACAGACAAGAAAAGGCTAGGCCCCAGGATGACACAACTGGAAGGCCCTGTGGACCTTTGGGAGGTGTGGCCAATGGGGCAGGTCCTTAGGTCATCAGGTACACAGTCCCAAAGAAGCCATGACACCCTAATCATCGTTTTTCCTTTGTCCTCTAGCTCAGCCACGTGGTTCTGCATGACACGCTGCCCGCAGCAGAGCCCAGAGACTGGGACAGGGTCTGTCATTAGCCTGGGTACTGGAACTTCCTATGTAGAGCAGGCTATGCCACCACGCCTGGCCATCTCTAGCCCCAGATAGTTCACTCTAATAATGTGAAACTGACTAATGCATTGCTTTATTATAAAACTACTTTTTTTATATATGAGTACCACATGAATGCAGGAGCCCAAGGAAGTCAGAGAGAACATCAAATCCCTGGGAACCAGAGTGACGGTGGTGTGAGCCAGCACGGGATGCTGGGAATTGAACTGGGGTCCTCTGCAAAAGCTGCAGATACTCTTTACCTGAGCCACCTCTGCAGCTCCAAACTGTGCACTTTCCTTTAAAAACTTTTAAAAGGAGTATATAATAACAAATTACACTTAGAGTTTTTTTTTTAATTTAATACTTTTTGTCTGTTTTGTTATTTGTTTTATGAGACAGGGTTTCTCTGTATGACAGCACTGGCTGTCCTGGAACTTGCAATGTAACGTATACCAGGCTGACCTCAACTCACAGAGCCCCGCCTGCTGACCCGAGTGCTGGGGTCAAAAGTACCATGCCCAGCTCCTGTCTTGTTTCTCGTTTTTCTGGTTTTTAACCATCTCATGTATTGGAATTCTGCTTGCTTGTATACATTTGTACAGTGCCTTTGGAGGCCGGGAGAGGGCATCAGATCCCCTGGGACTGCAGTCACAGACAGTTGTGAGCAACCACGTGGGTGCTGGGAACTGAGCCTGGGACCTCTGAAGGGCAGCCAATGCTCTTAGTCGCTGAGCCGTCTCTCCAGCCCCAACCCAAACCTAATTCATTTTCTTTTTGAATCAGTCGGTGTGTTGTCAAGGCTGTCCTCAAGCACTGTCCTGCTTCAGCTTCCCAAGGAGGACTAGAAGTATGTACCTAGCCCCAGCTAAGCAGTTTATAGAATTAATTTGTAATTCCTGCATTTGTGTGGGTGTATGTGCACACGTGGAAGTCCGAGGACCACTCTGTAGAGACAGTTCTCCCTCCAGGTGGGGTTGGGGTGCAGCACAGGTCATCAGGAGAGTACAACAAGTGTCTTTATCTGCTACATCACCTTGATGGTGCTTATTTTACTCTGTGTGTGTGTGCGTGTGTGTGCGCGCGCACGTGCATGCGTGCACTCAAGCATGTGTGTGTATGAGTGTGGGGTGCTCCTATGCCATGTACTCCACGTGAAGCCAGAGGACGACTTATGGAAATCAGTTCTCTTTCTTTCTACGTGAGATTCAGGGATCAAACTCAGGCTGTCAGACATTCGGGACAAACTTCTCTGCCCACTGAGGCATCTACGATACCGTGAGCCATCCTGCTGTCCTCTAAGCAATTTTGTTAAGTGACGATAAGTTTCATTACATAAAATTGTGTATACTGGGGGCTGGAAAGATGGCTTAGTGGTTAAGAGCGCTGCTTGCTCTTCCAGAGGACCTGAGTTCAATTCCCAGCACCCACATGATGTTTCTAACCATCTGTAATAGGATCTGATGCCCTCTTCTGGCGTGCAGAGGGCTCATACATAAAATACAAATAAATTTTTAAAAGATTGGGTATTTCTGGCACACACCTGCAATGCAAGCACTCATTCTGAGGCAGAGGCAGGAGGATCTGAAGTTCATGAGTATTCTCAGCTATATTTCAAGTTCAAAGCCAGGGTGGGACACATATGACGCCATCTCAAAAACAACAAAAATGTCACTAAGACCTGGCTATCTAATACTGTAGTAAAAACTATTAAGAGCAGCAGCAAAGACACAGCAGTTAGAAGCTTTGGCTGCTCTGCCAGAGGACCCAGTGCCAAGCCCAGCACCCACAGGGCGGCTCACATCCCTCCACAACTCCAGCTCCAGGAAAAGTGAGGCTCTCTTCTGGGCTCCTCGAGTTCACTCTCAGATTATCAAAACAGTTACTGGTGGTGGTGGTACTAGAATTGTGCTGGATTATAAATTTCTTACAATCTCTCCAATTTTCTAGATACTCTCTATTTAATAACTGAAGAAAGCACTTCACTCAAACGCCATCCACACTGAAGTCGGTGACGGCTTCTTACCTCCATCAGCACTGCTGAGCATGCTAACCAGTGCTGGCATAAGCTGGAACTCAAAGGTCCTCTGGCCTCCACAGCCACCGCAGGCCGGGACCTCCGAGACGTCCGATGTGGGACAGGTCAGAAAGAGAGGCTCTCCACTCCACGAGTACCTAGGCAAGGAAGGGAAGAGGCACACGTCAGAGCCGCACGCAACAGCATCAGCATCCGGGGCCGCGGCGCAGCATCAGGAGCAGAGCCAGACAGCAAGCAAAGCCACACGTTAACGCTGGGCGCAACGCCACCAAAGGTCCTAGAGATGCGTGACCCCTTCGTGTGTTACAGTTCCCAACACATCTCCTTCTTCTGCTTTCCACAGATACTATTTCGTTTTATTTGACACAGGGTATCATGTGGAGATGCCGGCCCGAGCTCACTATGTAGCCCAGAGAGGACTGGGGAGACCCACCTGCCTAGTTATTCCCCTAACCCTCACAGATACCCACTCTCACCCGGAAGGGCCACCTATCCTCAAAGACTGCTCATCCATGAGTCCAAAGTGGCTGGAGGGTTAGGACAACGACTCACTTATCTTCAGCCTTGAGGGGGATGAGCCCTGCCCTGAGTTACTCCCTATTCTGTCTATTGGGTTCTAGTGCTCTGCCTCACCTTGAGAGGACAGATGACACATTTCTGAAAACAGAAAGGTTGCACTCGGACTTTACTGAAGTAGACGAGAATCACACGGACACACTCAAACCACATCAGCAAAAGTAGGCCTGTAAAGTTATTCAACACACCCACCTAACCAAGGAAGGCCTTGAAATCCTCATCTGGACCAACAAAGAGGACACCCGGGTGACCATGACCTGGGACACGACTGCCAGCTGCCCAGGGGTGTCACTCAGCTCAGTCCCAGCTGTAGACATGACCTACCACAGTGCCCGCCCTCCCGTCCTCCCTCCCTCCCTCCCGGCCCAGTCTCATTCCTCAGCTCCGTGGCCTCCACGGTCTTGCCCCCTGTCTCTACACTCCTGAGACCCAGATTCAAGCCTGTGACCCCACAGCCTGGCAAGATGTCTCCAGAAGCTCACCAACTGGGCTTGCTAGCATCATATCTAAAAATACCAGTGACCTCATCGGTATCTTCCCCAGCTCTCCAGCTCTGCCTCCAGTGAGGCTTTATCACACCTCTGTAGCCGTTGCCTACCTCACACACATACATGTATGTCTGCATGTGTGCAAACCATGCGCGGTGGAGCATAGATGTATGTCTGCATGTGTGCAAACCGTGTGCTGTGGGGCATAGATGCATGTCTGCATGTGTGCATACGATGTGATGTGGAGCACAGATGCATGTCTGCATGTGTGCATACCATGTGCTGTGGAGCATAGATGCATGTCTGCATGTGTGCATACGATGTGATGTGGAGCACAGATGCATGTCTGCATGTGTGCAAACCGTGTGCTGTGGAGCATACATGTATGTCTGCATGTGTGCAAACCATGTGCTGTGGGGCATAGATGCATGTCTGCATGTGTGCATGCCGTGTGCTGTGGAACATAGATGCATGTCTGCATGTGTGCATACCGTGTGCTGTGGAGCATAGATGCATGTCTGCATGTGTACATACGATGTGATGTGGAGCACAGATGCATGTCTGCATGTGTGCATACCGTGTGCTGTGGAGTATACATGTATGTCTGCATGTGTGCAAACCGTGTGCTGTGGAGCATAGATGTATGTCTGCATGTGTGCATACCATGTGCTGTGGAGCATACATGTATGTCTGCAAACCGTGTGCTGTGGAGCATAGATATATGTCTGCAAACCGTGTGCTGTGGAGCATAGATGCATATCTGCGTGTGCATACCGTGTGATATGGGGCATAGATGTATGTCTGCATGTATGCAAACCGTGTGCTGTGGGGCCTGAGCATCCATGTTATGATTAAGACTAGAAGCAAGGGGTGAAGAGCCCTGGCTGCTCTTCCAGAGGACCCGGGTTCAATTCCCAGTATCCACATGGCAGCTCACAACTGTCTGTAACTTCAACTCCAGGAGTTCCAATGCACATGAAATAAAAATAAATAAAAACTAAAAACTTTAAAAAAAAAAACAATCAATGTTTGCCAACAGCCACCTATCAAGGGAAATTGGCACAGCTTAGCTGTATAACCCCTTCTTAAGCATATTTTTAAAAAACCATCCATGGACTAGGCAGTGGTGGCAAACACCTATAATTCCAGCACTTGGGAGGCAGAGGCAGGTGGATCTCTGTGAGTTCGAGGCCAGCCTGGTCTACAGAACAAGTTCCAGGACAGCCTCCAAAACAATACAGAGAAACCCTGTCTCAAAAAAAAAAAAAAAAAAAAAAAAAAACCCACAAAATATCGCTATACTCTGAGCTTGGGCAACAAGAGATTTCAGAGGTGCCAGCCTGTTCTTGGTCTGCCCATTAATAAAAGGACTCATAACTTGTGTGTGTGTTTTGAAACAGGGTCTCTCTGGCTGTCCTAGAACTCATTCTGTAGAACAGGCTGGCCTTGAACTCAGAGATCCAGCTGCCTCTGCCTTCTGAATACTGGGACTAAAGGCATGCACTAGGACTCAGAAACTTTGAATTGGCTTAATCAGCATGGTTGTCAGTAACTATCTGGCATGGATGATTTCAATACCAAGTCCTTATAAAGTCTGAAGGAACTAGGATCATTACACACAGTCAGTGGGAAGGAATAAAAAGGGTTAAAGACATTTTGGAAAAGTCTAGCTATTTCTTTTAAAAAGCTGAAAGTTGGGACGGGGAAGATGGCTCAGCAATTAAGAGCACTTCTTGCTCTTGCAGAGGATCTGGGCTCAATTCCCAGCACCCACATGATGGCTCACAACCCTCCCTAACTCCAGCTCCAGGGGAATCCCATGCCTTCTTCTGGCTCCATGGGTACCCACAGACATGTGCATTTAAAGAAAGAGAAGCCGGTCGGTGGTGGCGCATGCCTTTAATCCCAGCACTCGGGAGGCAGAGGCAGGTGGATCTCTGTGAGTTCGAGGCTGGGCTGGACCGACAGCCTCCAAAACAATACAGGAAACCCTGTCTCGTAAAACCAAAAAGAAAGAAAGAAAGAGAGTGTGTGTGTCTCCTGAGCTGGAGAAGAAGGCTCAGTGGTTAAGAACAGAGGACTCACGTTCAGTTCCCAGCACTCACCACGGCCTCTCTCTTCTGGATTCTATGGTATCTGAAGTCACATGCACAAACACACACACATAATTAAAGATCATAAATACATTCTGAAGATGAGCTCCTCACTGTTGTGAGGCTGGCCAGGCCACCTTCCCACTGTACCCTGAGGAGTCCCTGGCACTGTAGATGCTTGTCAGCATGCTACCTCTGTGGTAAAACAGAGACCCATCGGGAGGCAGAGGCAGGTGGATCTCTGTGAGTTCCAGGCCAGGCTGGACCAACAGCCTCCAAAACAATACAGAGAGACCCTGTCTCATAAAAACCAAAAAAAAAAAAAAAACAAAAAACAAAAAACAAAAAAAAAAACAGAGAAACAGAGACCCAACACGCCTCCTTTACCTCAGGATCTGCTCCTGACAGGCCGCAATTCTCTTCATGAACTTGTAAAACGTCTGATCTCCACTTTTAATACTGGTCTTTTCATACTCTTCATCCCCACCGGCAGAGCAACTGAAGAAAGAAGCAGAGACCGCATGAGGTACGGAAGTCTAGAGAACCGGAGCGTTTGCTGTGGTGGCACTGGGGAGGCAGAGGCAGACGGGTCTCTGTGAGTTCAAGACCAGCCTGGTCTACAGAGTGAGTTCCAGGTTCCAGGACAGCCAGGGCTGCACAGAGAGACTCTGTCTTGAAAAACAAAACAACAACAAACCCCACAGAGAGATAACTAGAGCATGTTTATGTATTTATTTATTTGCAAGAGGAAGCAAAATGGTTTTCTTTCTCTACTTGTTAGTTATGTGTGTTGGGTTTGGTGCCCATGTGCCATAGCACCTGTAGAGGTCAACTTTTAAGAGCCTGTTCTTCCTCCTTTAGTGCTTTGGTTCACGGCCTTTCTAGCCATTTTAGGAATGAGAACAAGAGTCTGGAATGGCCTCAGAGTCTGAGGCAGCTCTGCAGCCAGAGCAGTCGTTAAACAAGGGGCGTTTCTTCTAACTCATCGCTCTCTGCTGTACAGACAAGTGAAGCCGGGCGGTGGTGGCCACACCTTCAATCCCAGCACTCGGGGGGCAGAGGCAGGCGGGTCTCTGTGAGCTCGAGGCCAGCCTGGTCTACAGAGTGAGTTCTAGGACAGCCAGGGCTGTCTCAAAAACAAACAAACAAAAAAGCCATATGAAAACAGAAGGCACTTGCTGCTAATTACAAAGACCCGAGTTCAATCCCAGAACCCACACAGGGAAAAAGAGGAGCAAGGTGTGCTCTGAACTTTACACATGTACCGTGGCCGCGTGCGCATACCTGCACTCGGAAACACACGCGCTCGCGCGTGCGCACAAATTCCTTGTCAGGAGGTTTTGAAACTAAAATCAGAAAAGAGGGCTGTGGGTACAGAGTGCTAGTCTACCACCAGCAAAGCCAGGGTTCGGTGTCAGCATCAGAAAGTAGAGGCAGAAGGATCAGGAATTCAAGGTCATCCTTCCCTACAAAGAGAGTTGGAGGCCAACCTGATCTACACCAGGCTCTGTCTCAAAATCAAAACAACAAGAACAGAAATCAAAACAGGGTCCAAGAGACGCCTCAGCGGGTTAAGGTGCTGGCTGCTGTCCCCAGAGCCCCCGTGGTGGAAGAAGAGCAGATTCTCCCCCATGCCTGACCTCCACATGTGTATGTCATGCGTGCATGCACACAAACGTGAAAAACTGTTAAAATCTGACCTCCACATGTGTACACCATACGTGCGTGCACATAAACGTGAAAAACTGTTAAAAACGAAAAGAGAACAGGGACCAAGGGCACAGCTCACGGTAAAATACTCTTCCCATGCTTCAGGCCCTGAGTTCAGCCCCTAGCACCCCGGAACACAACAGAAAACACAGCAAAGGCCAGAAAAAGAGGCTAAAGAGATGGGGAGGTCTTTTGTAACGCCAGCACGCACGGCAAACTGGTTTGCTCATCTAGGTTCAGGTCGTGAGGGCGCTCAGCCGCGTGTCAGCAGGTGACCGCAGGTTGACGGATTCAGATAGCCCTGGCCTGAGACTGCTTTCCTCACCCACGGAGAGCAGAACGGTAGAGCCCCACCCCATCCCTTCTCTCTACAACTCGCTGCAGGTACCGAGACAGGAAGGGACCGATCTCGGGAGCAAGTTCTCACCACAGGGAAAGCAGGTGCTCCATGTCCACGCCTTCTCTCTGCTGGTAGTCCCGCAGAAGGCTGTGGGCATGATCGAGGCCCGCGGAGTTCCTGTAGTCATCCTCGTCGGCGACACAGATGTAGTAGGGCTGGAACTGTGGCTCGTCAGAATGCCCCGGCAGCCCTTCCCCTGCAGGGGAGCGGGGAGTGACGGCCAGGGTGCTGTCCTGCAGGTGGAGAGCCTGGAGCTGCGCCGCCGTGCAGTCTGCAGCTCCGACACCATCACGATCGGGTCCCGGATCCGAGGTGAGTGGTGGTGGAGGTGTCTCCTCGCTGTCACTTCCCCAGTCCTGCGAGCCCTCACACCAGTTCTCAGCCGCAAGGCGGCTACCCTGTTTCTAGAAAGATGTCCAGTGAATGCAGGCAATCACACTTGGATGACTTCCGCTTCACCACCCATCCCTGTACCTTCCCCGGGGAGCCTGCACAGCAGCCCAGGCCTCTGGCACACTACAATTCAACTTCCTGGATTCCAGCCGCTCAAAGCATCTGCAGACTGGGGGTGGGGCTGCATCCACGTAATCCAAACACTCTTGGGGCAGAAGCAGACGGAGCTCTGTGAGTTCCAGGCCAGCCTGAGCCCCAGAGTGAGACCCGGTCTCCAAACAAACACACAAACAACAACCCCTCAGCAGAAGAGATGGCTGCGGGGTTAAGAGCATTTGTTGCTTTTCCAGAGGACCCAGGTTTGGGTGGCTCATAACCATCTCTTCCTCCAGTCACAGGGGATAAGATGCCATGATGTTGTCCTGCATGTATTGTAGGTACTAAACCAGGAAAAGACTGTTTCTGGAATTTCGTCTATGTTGTGGTCTGATGTTAACTGAAACAGAGTGTTGGTTCAAGACGCAGGGCTCACATTTGGCTGCTTGTAATACATCACAGAGCTTACTGACGGACTCGAGAAAGAGAGCCCCGGGGAAGAGGAGGCAGGGTCAGGAGCTTGCATGGGCCTTTTCCAGATGGGAAGTCAGTGGCGGTGTGGTTTTTGCAGTAATGTATGGTTATCTAGGGTTTTTATCTTTGATATTTATCCCCAAGTTTTATTTTCTAATAAATGGCAAAAGAAATCACTTTGAACTACATTTCCCAGACTCCTTAGCAGCTAAGATTTTTAGATTAGACATATTCAGGGGTTAGCTATTGAATTCATCTAAGAGAGGGAAGTAAACTTGAAGAAGAAAGCAATGCCATGAAGCAGGCTGGGCGTGGTGGCTCATGTCGGCACTGGGAAGGTTGGGGCACGATGATGGCCATGAGTTTGACGGCAGCCTGGGTGACACAGATTTCCAGGCTAGCCTGAGCTATGGATCCAGACAAACCAGAGAGAGAGGGACATAGAGAGAAAGGGGAAGAAGGAAAATGAAGACAAAGTGAGGTGTTCCGCGAACATAGGCAAAGCAAAAACGGTATACATATACCATGCTCTGTGACAAGGGCAGCATCCGTACGCCTGAGTGTCCTGGTGCACAAGGCAGCCTAGCAGACGGGCCGGCTTTCCAGAAGCTCTCCCGAGGCTATCAATAGAGCTGGTAAAGACTTACACGGTCTTGGCTTGACAGAATCAAAAGTAGTTTTTTTCTACTCCCCACACAACCACGGATGTGCCACACAGGCATGAACATGGACACCTCCCTGCATTGTGTTCAAGTGAGAAAGATCAGTAACCTCCATAGCTCAAGTGTAAACTAAAAGTCATAAGGACTGGAGAGATGGCTTGGCGGTTAAGAGCACTGGCTGCTCTTCCAGAGGGTCTGGGTTCATGCTCTCAGCACAGGAGATCAACTGTCTCCACGGGCACGCGCGTATCTTCACACACATATGTGTGACCGAATATAAAGTCTTTAAAAGTCACAAGGGGCTGGAAAGGTGGCTCAGTGGTTGGGAGCACTGACTGCTCTTCCAGAGGACCTGAGTTCGGTTCCCAGCACCCACATGGTGGCTCACAACCATCACTCCAGTTCCATGGGATCTGCCGTTCTTACATCAACGCACATAAAATATGTTTTTAAAGTATTTCAAGAAAGGCACAAAACTGCAAGAAAACAGGATTTGATGATTCTGAAAGACTTAAATTCATTCAATTGCACTTCTTTTTTTTTTTTTTCCAGAAAGTTTTCTCTGTTGCTTTGGAGGTTATCCTGGAACTCGCTCTGGAGACCAGGCTGGTCTCGAACTCACAGAGATCCGCCTGCCTCTGCCTCCCGAGTGCTGGGATTAAAGGCGTGCGCCACCAATGCCCGGCTCGGCTCAATTTTAAAAAACAGGTCTAAAAGTTTTGTCTTGGGGATCTGGAGAGATGGCTCCGCACAGCACCTGCATCAGGTAGCTCTCAAACGCCTGTGACTCCAGCTCAGTGGATCTGACACCCTCCTCTGGACTTTCACAGTTGAAGACACACACATAAATAAACAAAACTTTTGTAAGACTTGGTTTCTGTGTAACCCTGGCTGTCCTGGAACTGGCTCGCTCAACAGACCAGACTGGCCTCAAATTCAGAGACTCACCTGCCTCTGCCTCCTAAATGATGAGATCAAAGGCATGGGCCACCCCCGCTTCACTAAACAGAAAAAAAATTTAATTTTTATTTTACACGTATGGTTGTTTTGCCTGCGTGTGTGTGTGTGTCCCTGGTGCCACTGAAGCTAGCAGAAGGCACTGGAACTCCTGAAACTGGAGTTTACAGATGCTTTCAAGCAGCCTCCTGAGTGCTGAAAACAAATCAGTCGTGGGTCCTCTGGAAGAGCAACAAGTGATCTTAGCTGCTGAACGAGGCTCCAAAATAAAACTTTTTTTTAAACAACTGTCTTCAACAGGGAGTGGTGATGCACAGCGGTGACCACAGAAATCGGGAGGGTAAATCTAGGCCGCCCGGTTTCTGGCAGCTAAGTGTCAGCTCGGGCACCAGAGGAGACCAGCAAAGGGTTTCTTTTTAAACGAGTGCCGGGAAAACACGGCGTGCCGGATTCAGAGTCGCTTTACCTGGGCGTTGCGAGTCTCTGCCTCCGGCACTTGCAGGCACTGGGAGCGGAACACCTTCCAGCTTAGGGGCGAGAACGAGGTCGTGAGGGCTCCACCCGGGACGTCCAGCCCCACCTAGTCCTCCCCGACCCGGGCAGCCCGCTCCGGGACCCGGCCCGAGCCTCTGCTGCTGCGGCTGCGGCGGCGGCCGGGCTCCAGGACCTCCCCGACCCCTACCTGCGCGTCCCGCGGTCTCCGCAGGCCGGGCGGGCGCAGACGAACACGTGGAGGAGCCGGTGGAACGGGGAGCCTTCCAGCGGGCAGTACACCTGCACGACGAGCGCCAGCGGCTGCGCGCAGCGGCCGCAGCGCGGCCCCGGGGCGGCGACGGCGGGGAGGGCGTCCTGCGGGCGGGCGCGGAGCGTGAGCTCGGACCCCCGCGGGGACTGGGGCCCGCACCCCGCCTCCCCTCCCGCTGCCTCCCCACGCCGCTCACCGGGAGGCCGCCCAGCTTGCTAGCCGTCCAGGCGGCCGGCCCCCGGGGGCGGCCCTCCACCGCCGCGTCGCGAAGGCCCAGGAGCACCGGCTTCCCGGCGGCTGCCATGACCACCAGGGCCCCCGCGTGACCGCGCGGACCACAGGGGCGGGGCCCGACCGGGAGGGGCGGGGCGGGGCGCTCCCTGCGCGCACGCGCGCCCACGCCCCGCCTTGGACCGCTTGGACGGCCCCGCCCACACCCGGGTGGGCCCTGCGGATTGGCTTAAGGGGCGGGGGCCCCACGTGTCCTTTCCGGGCTCCGGCGGGAGTGCGGGGCTCGCCCTCGTCATCTCCTGGGGGTGGGGGTGGGTTGTTAAAAGTTTTTACCTGGAAGTTTAAAAACCTGGAGGCCGGGGAGGCAGAGGCGGGTGGATCTCTGTGAGTTCGAGGCCAGCCTGGTCTACAAGAGCAAAAACAATACAGAAAAACCCTGTCTCAAACAAACAAGTAAATAAATAAATAAAAAGATTTCGAGCACGTACCTATGTGACCCCAGTTGAGAAGGGCATCTGGTGCTCGTCCCCCCTTCTGTGGGTACCAGGGACACACACATGGTGTACGGGGAAAAAGTTTCACTGATGAGTTTTACTATACTTAAACTGCGCATCATTCAACGCCTTTGAAAAAAAACGTGCATTGCCTGACAAGGGTGGATGACACCTGTAATCCCAGCACTCTTAGACTTCACAGTGAAGTTCAGGCCAGCCTTGATTATGGTTTGAGACACATCTAAGACTTAAAAAATAAAAAATAATAAAGCCGCCCCTGAAAGCGGGACTGGAGAGGTAGCTCAGTGGAGTGGAGTGTGTCAGCACGAGTCTCCAGCAAGAATGAAAAAAAACCTGCTGTGGCAGTTTTTTGTTTTGTTTTGGTTTGGTTTGGTTTTTCGAGACAGGGTTTCTCTGTGGCTTTGGAGGCTGTCCTGGAACTCGCTTGGTAGTCCAGGCTGGTCTCGAACTCACAGAGATCCGCCTGCCTCTGCCTCCCGAGTGCTGGGATTAAAGGCGTGCGCCACCAACGGGTGCCGGCTGTGGCAGTTTATAATGGCAGGGCGTGCCAGGGACAGACAGGTAGGTGGGTTCCCTGAGGTCCAATGACACCTAGCCTCACGGGTGACTTTCAGGCTAGTGATGCTGTCTTAATAGAAGGGTTGACGTCACCTAGGCTATCCTATGTCCTACACACACACACAGGCCAGCAGAGGAGGCTGTAAATATACAACATATGTGATTGCTACAATGCGGGCAAAGCGTTATTCTAAGATCCTGCACCAGCCTTACGATGATTGCTCCCAGCCATACCCAGAGACTGGAGGTGAAACCAGCTCACTCCTCTGGTTAGTCGTAGCTCACCATTCTAACAGAATGGCAGACTTAGAGGCCGAGAAGTCTGACTGCGATGGTGTCTTCAGGTTGAATCTGGATGACTTTGTAGATGTTTCATCTCAGCTAGTATTTCTCAAGGTATAATGTGCCTGCATGTGATTTTAGGAATATATATACATGTGTGTGTATGTATACACATATATATATATAATAAAATTTGCATGAATGTGTAGCTATGTCTGCATGGGTGCAAGTACCTGAAAAGGCATTAGATCCCCTGTGGTGACCGGGACAGAAACTGGCTTCTTCTGCAACAGCAGTATATGCGCTAAATCACGGAGCCATCTCAGATCTCAAGGGCTATTTGTAAAACCCACCTAACAGACAAAATTCTGGCTTTTGCCAGCCCACTGTTCATTTTACCAGTCAAGACTTATTTTGGGCCAGGTGGCAGCGGCAGTGGCCAGCAATCCCAGCACTCAGGAGGCAAGCAGCAGGCAGATCTCTGGTTTAACGGAGCGAGTTCCAGGACAGGCTCCAAAGCTACACAGAGAGACTCTGTCTCCAACAGCACATGGCAATGTGGGAATGTCAGAAGACCGCTCATCTCCACAAATGTGGCAACCGCAGAACACACCCTCTTCAAAGTCACGTTTGTCTCCAACTAAGCCACACCCCCTGCTTTCCACCAAGTCCCCAACAGCGCCACCTGCTGGAGGCAAGCCCTTACCACCCGGACCTTGGGAAACTTTAAATGCAAACCCACGCCAAGACATCCTCCTATATCTGTTTACCTCTCACCACAAGTCATGCCTGCGTGTGCACGCGACGGAGACTGACCTCAAGTACAGCCTGCCCTTTTTTTTAAATTTGGTGACGTCTCCACTGTGCAGCCAGACAAACCTGGGACAGGCTAGCGACAGTTATCCCTGAGCATTTACAGTTCGCTCGTCATCGGGGGTGTGCTGCCTGGGGGTGGGGTCAGTTCACTCCTTCCACCCTTATATGGGTTTCACGGATTAGGCTTGAGTGACCAAGCTTGCGCGAGTCATGTGTTTTTTTATTCACTGGACCACAGTTAACATGATTTGGCCGTCACCATGTCCCATACCAAAGACTCACCTGACGGCCAGGACAAGAGTGGATTGGATGTGTGAGGTGCCAGCAAAACCCGTTTTGAGGGTTTTAGGCATGGCTCAGTAGTCAAGAGCACATGCTGCATCCAGGCAGTGGTGGCGCACGCCTTTAATCCCAGCGCTCAGGAGGCAGAGGTAGGAGGAGCTTTGTGAGTTCGAGGCCAGCCTGGTCTACACAGATAAGAGTTCCAGGACAACCTCCAAAAGCTACAGCAGTACCCTATCTCAAAAACAAACCAACAACAGAGCACTTGCTACTCTTGCAGAGGCCAGAGTTCTGTTCTCAACATAACTTGGGTAGCTCACAACCAACCACCTGTAAGTGCATTTCCAGGGGAATCTATCTGCAGCGTGTGTACACATTCACACAGACATAAACACACACGTTTAAAATGGTTCCATGCTGGACGGTGGTGGCGCACGCCTTTAGTCCCAGCACTCGGAGGCAGAGGCAGGCGGATCTCTGAGTTGGAGGCCGGGCTGGTCCGACAGCCTCCAAACAATACAGAGAAACCCTGTCTCGTAAAACCAAAAAAATAAAAATAAACAGTAAAAAGGTACTTGGCACCAAGCCTGTTGAATCCCCAGAACCAACATGGAAGTAACTTCGAGAAACTGTCCTGACCTACACACACACACACACACACACACACACACACACACACACACACACGAGAGTAACTTCGAGAAACTCCTCTGACCAACACACACACACTAAATGAGTATGTTTCAAATAAAGAGTTCATCCCTAGGTTTTGCCATCAAAACAATAATCGAACAAAAATCTAGCTGGGTAGCAGAAACTGTTTTCTCGGCCCCGGAGGTGAGGAAGAACAGACGATGAGACTTGGAGGTCAAGTCTGCAGGGCAGATGCCCGCCCCACTTGAAGAATGCCCCTCTGCTGCAGATGTGCTCGCCACCTCGTCAGGGGCCAGCCAGGGCACAAGCAGGGTCACCCGTGTCTGATAGGCAAAGCCCCACCTCAGGACACTAAGAGGCTGAGCCCGCGCCTCCTCTAAGGCATCTTTATTCTGACTGATAGGTGAGTACGGGTTGGAACGGGCAGACGCAGCAGCCCGCTCCACAGGGAGGGTGCAGCACGGAGAGCGGTGGACATGGCGATCCTCCCCAAAGCCCCGGTAGTCCAAGCCTGCGACGGGAGGTGTGCTGTGGGCAGGGGCGGGGGCAGGGGGCAGGGCCGTGCAGTGCCGTGAGTTTGACGACCAGGGACGTGGAGCGGTGGCGGGCGGCCGCGGCTGGCTTTATTCCACTTTGGTGTCCCGATGCTGTTTGATGAAGCTGATCAGCCCGTTGGTGGAGGAATCGTGTGAGGTCACGGCGGAGCTGCCCTCCAGCTCAGGTTCGATTTTCTTGGCCAGCTGCTTCCCCAGCTCCACCCTGCCAGGAAGGCGTGGAAGGGGAGAATGAATCCGGAGCCAAGCGGGAGGCACAACGGGCCCTCCCCCCCACCCACAACCCCGCCCCGAAACTCACCCCCACTGGTCGAAGCTGTTGATGTCCCAGATGACGCCCTGAACGAAGATCTTGTGTTCATACATGGCTGCAGAGGGAGGAGCAGGTGGCGTCCGTTAGGTAGGTCCATCCGTCCGTCCCTCCCTGTCCCATGTAACTGACCCCAAGCCTGTCAGTCCCCACTCACCAATCAAGGCTCCCAGGATGAATGGTGTGAGCTTGGTGAACACAATCGAGTTGGTCGGGCGATTTCCTTCGAAGACCTGCAGGCAGCCATTTGAGAAAAGAGTATTTGCCAGCATGTACTCTACGGGGGGACAGAGAAACCGGTCCCCAAGCTCTGGAGAGGAAAGGCGCTCTGTCCCAGAGGCTGGGACACGTCTATCTGGGGAGGAGACCGTCCCATTGTGTGGGACCCCCCTCAATGCCGTCCCTCTAGCTCCCCGTTATGTCACCCTAACGCTGAAGTTCCCGAGGAAGGCTGACCTTGTGTGGCAAGAGCTTCTCCAGGTCCTCCGGGCTCTTTCCTGCAGCCTGGAGCTCCTTCTTAGCCTCTTCCGTCGTCTTCCCCTTCATCAGGGCCTCTGTCTGGGCCAAGAAGTTGGCCAGGAGGATCTGACGAGAGAGACACAGTTACAGCCCCACCAGAGCCCGCCCGGCACGTCTCAGGCCGGGTCAGTTCCAGCATGTCAGGTGCCAGACGAGGGCAGGCAACAACGCTAACTTCACTCTTCTGTTTTCTTTCTTTCTTCTGGTTTTCTTCAGGATAGGGTTTCTCTGTATTGTTTTGGAGGCTGTCCTGGAACTCACTCTGTAGACCAGGCTGGTCTCGAACTCACAGAGATCCGCCTGCCTCTGCCTCCCGAGTGCTGGGATTAAAGGCGTGCGCCACCAACGCTCGGCCTGTGTTCTAGGTTTTAACCGTCAACTAGATGAAGCCTAAAGTCACCAGACGCGGGAGTTTCAACCGAGACTGCCCAGTTCAGACTGGCCCGTGCGGGATTTTGTCACGGTGTAGGAAGGCCCGGCCCGCCGTGGGCAGCACCATCCCTAGGCAGGTGGCCGTGGACTGTGTAGGAAAACCAGCTGGGCATGACGCCAAGCCAGCAAACACCATTCACGCATGTCCTGCCCTGTCTTCCCTTGATCACGGACCGTGACCTGAAGTAACCCTTTCTCCCCCCAGGCTTAGCAGCAGCAGAGATGGAACTAATAGAGGCCGGCCCCTTTTATGAGGTAGGAACCCAGCTCTGACAGCTGCTGGCTTCTGACTCTGGGAACACAGCAGGCTGTGCTCCACAGCAGTAAGTCTGGGGTCATCTGCTGTGGCAGCGAGAGAAATGGAGCTATGGCTGAGGCTGCAGGACGGCTCTGTCCCCCGGTCCCGGGGACGCACGCACGCGGGGGACCTGGACAGGCCTCTCACCTTGTGATGCAGACCTTTCCGTATGGGGTGCTGGGTCTGGACGGGGATGAGGAAGTCACAGGGTATCATCTTGGTACCTGTGAAGGGCGCAGCCGTCACCCACACAGCCCCAGGCCTCGGGAGCTGCCCACCGGAAGGCACCGCCCTGAGAGGGAGATTCCCCGCTGCCCCAGCCCCACCCTGCCAGGCACCGCACCCGCTCGCCCAGGACAAACGGGCCCTACCTTGGTGGATGAGCTGGTAGAATGCGTGTTGGCCGTTGGTCCCCGGCTCCCCCCCACACGATCGGGCCCGTCTGGTGGTCCACCCGGGCACCCGACTTGGTGACGTATTTGCCATTGGATTCCATGTCGCCCTGGAGTTGAGGACACAAAGTCACCCCTCTTTCTGAGCATTTCTCCCTTGCACGAACTGAACTGGGCCTGCATCCTTCCCGGGGTGCCCCAGCTTCATGCGAGGCTCCTGCAATGGTCCTCAGGCTCCTGAACCTTCTGGCTCAACTACCATGACCAGGAGGAGATGGATCTGGAGGCGGGGGTGGGGGAGGTGGGGGGGGTGGGAGTCTATTTATAAACAAGATCAGTTCTGCCTTTAGGTGGTTTGAGGTGACTGCTCCCTTGATCCAGGAAACCTTTCAAAGTCATGCAAACTGAGGTTCAAACCTTGTTCAGTTTTTTTTTTTGGGCAGGGGGATTTCGAGACAGGGTTTCTCTGTATTGTTTTGGAGGCTGTCCTGGAACTCGCTCTGTAGACCAGGCTGGCCTCGAACTCACAGAGATCCGCCCGCCTCTGCCTCCCGAGTGCCCAAACCTTAAGAACAATGATGAAGGGAGTTGGGAGACTGCTCAGTCGAGTGCTTCCTGCTCTTCCAGAGGACCCAGGTTCAATTCCCAGCACCCACACCAAGTAGCTCACAACCACCTTAACTTCGGGCGCCCCTGGGCACCAGGCACACACGTGTCACAAACACGTGCATACAAATACACATGAAAAGAAACGGGGAGGGGCTGGAGAGGCGGCTCAGAGGTTAAGAACACTGGCTGCTCTTCCAGAGGACCTGAGTTCAATTCCCAGCAACCACATGGTGGCTCAAAGCCATCTGTAATGAGATCTGGCGCCCTCTTCTGGCCTGCAGGGACACACGCAGGCAGAATACTGTGTACATAATACATAAAAATAAATGAATAAATAAATAAAAGAAACGGGGAGAGAGGAGACTGTGGGATTTTTGCTGCATGTGCTTACAAGTTCAGAGGTCAGCTGTTTAAATTCTCCGGTCACCGGACACGTCCAGGTGAACCAAGCACCCAAGATGGGCCCCGGTATAGGTCACACGGGGTCCCCAGCTACCACCACCACCCACCCAGGGCAGCAACAAATGAGAGCCCAAGAGGGAAGGCACGCCCACAACCAATCCAGGGCAAGCGTGGCCAGGGCACCCCTCACAAGGGTGGTGACATTCGGCCGCCGACAGCAAGGACGGGATAGGTCTCGGTTACCAAGACGTGCCGCAGCCGCAGCCGGTGCCTACCTGCTGGAAGTAAGCAGCAAAGCGGTGCATGTACTGGTCATAGGGCAGCATGGCGTGGGTCTCGCAGCCGAAGCAGTTGATGTACCAGACCCCCAGGAGGGCCAGCAGCACGGGGGCGTTCTTCTCCAGGGGCGCCTTGCGGAAGTGCTGGTCCTACGGGAACGAGGCGGGTGGGCGCTGGGGGGGGGAGGGAGCTGGGGGAGAGGAAGGAGGGAGGGGACGGGACCCAGGCCCCGCGTCACTCACCATCCAGTGAGCCCCGGAGAGCAGCTGCTCGAAGTTGTCAAAACCTGCGACACAAAAGCAGCATCAACAAGCGGCCGCCGCCCACAGTGTCTCCCTGGCAGCTGGTCAGTTTTTGTTTGGCGTTTCTCCGCGGCTAGGGAGTGTTGTATGTGGAGGAGGAGCCAAGCAGAAAACCTCGCTCCTCAGAGCTGGCCCGGGGACGCACAAAGCCAACCCTGGGTTCGTTCCTCCCCTGAACCAAAGGAATACACGTTTCTGTGCAGGAGCAGAGAGGCCGGAAGCCCGCAGGACGAGCCGGGCAGCCAGGGGTGCAAGCCTCAACGTCACGCTGCGACACGGCCTCCCCGGGGTGACTCAGAAACACACTCACCCACGTGCAGAGCAATGGAGAGTCCAATGGCTGACCACAGCGAGTAGCGGCCACCTACCCACTAGGAGAGAAGGAAACGGCGTTGAAGGAGGGCAGGCACACCCTACCCCCCTCCCTCCTGCCACACCCGCCCCCCAAAAGCCAATCTTCCACAGGTGCAGCCTGCAGGGTGGGACCCAACCCTACTTGGCCCAGTCAGACAGCACACCAGGCGCTAGGGACGCTCCACGCTGGCCAGCAAGGCAGACGACACGAGGGACACGTCCAGTCAACTACAGATGTTACCGTGGCATGGCGTGGCTGGCCTTTCCTTCCCGGCAGACCCAAAGGCCTCAAACCTCTCTCCGCTCCTGTCTCCTCAGCATTGGCAGACAGACAGCCTCCTACCTGTGCCAGCCTTTGCCTGCGCGGTGTTGGCAGAAGCAGGGCTAAACCCACCTCACCCATGACCCCGCCAGTCCCTGCTCTCTCAGCGCTGACAGAAAGGGCCCCCGATGTGCGCTAAACCTCGGATGGTGACATGCATACCCCTTCCCAACCCAATCTCCTCAGATGCTGGCGGACCAAGCCCTCGTACCTGCGCATACCTGCCTCAGACATGACGGGAGCCCCACACCTGGGCCTCCCTTACTCCTCAGGCACAGGTGGATTTAGAGCCTCATACCTGGGTCATGCCAATCTCTTCAGATACTGGCAGACCAAGCACTCCCGCCTGCGCTGAGCTTACCTGTCCAGACACCGAGAGACCCGGGTCCTGTCTCCTCAGAAGCTGATAGACAAGAACCTCATACCTGCACCTACCCTGTCTCCTCAGAAATTGATAAACCAGAGCCTCATACCTGCACCTACCCCGTCTCCTCAGAAATCGGTAGACCAGAACCTTGTACCTTCTCCTACCCTTTCTCCTCAGAAATTGGTAGACCAGACCCTCATACCTGCTCCTACCCTGTCTCCTCAAATTTGGTAGACCAGACCCTCATACCTGCTCCTACCCTGTCTCCTCAAATTTGGTAGACCAGACTCTCATACCTGCACCTACCCCGTCTCCTCAGAAATCGGTAGACCAGAACCTTATACCTGCTCCTACCCTGTCTCCTCAGACACTGACAGACCCTCATACCTGGGCCTACCCTGTCTCCTCAGAAATCGGTAGACCAGACCCTCATACCTGGGCCTACCCTATGTCCTCAGAAATCGGTAGACCAGACCCTCATACCTGGGCCTACCCTGTGTCCTCAGAAATCAGTAGACCAGACCCTCATACCTGGGCCTACCCTGTGTCCTCAGATCAGTAGACCAGACCCTCATACCTGGGCCTACCCTGTGTCCTCAGAAATCGGTAGACCAGACCCTCATACCTGGGCCTACCCTGTGTCCTCAGAAATCGGTAGACCAGACCCTCATACCTGGGCCTACCCTGTCTCCTCAGACACTGACAGACCCAGGGCCTCATTCAGACCCGTACCCACACTGTCCCCTTGACCAAGGACAGACCTATTAATTCATACCTGTGTCTACCTGTCTCCTAGATTACTGACAGACCCAGGGCCGCATCGTCATACTTACGATGTCTCTTTGGTCACCAGCAGACCCAAAACCTCACACCTGTACGCCCCATCTCCTCAGACACCGACAGGCCAACACCTCTACCCACCCTGTCTCCTCATAAACTGGCAGACTCGGAATCTCGGGCCGGTACCTACCACGACTTCTTGGTCACCGACACCCAGGGACTTGTCCCACCTGTCCCCTTGGTCCAGCTCGGACACAGCGGCTAAATACTCGCACCTACCGTGTCTCCTCACACACGGACAGGCTCAGAGCCCCAGGCCTGCACCCCCTTCTGTCTCCTCAGGCACCGACAGAACCACAGCCTCGTAACTGTACTCGCCCGGCCTCCTCAGACACAGAAAGGCAGAGCCTCCGACCCCCGTCTTGGACCAATTGTAAACAGAGTCGGATCTGAAGAACAAGCACCTGGCAGGCGGAGAAGCATTCCAGAGTCGCCCATGCCAGAGTGGCGTGGCGGGAGCAGCCATTCACAAGAGGACTGGCTCCCGGGAATACGACAGGAGCAAACGTCCCCTCTCGGAGTGTCTCGGGCTGACCCCCGGGACTAGAACCCCATTAGCTGCCCAGGGGAGGAAAGGCGCCAGCCCACACACGCACTAGCTGTCCTGTGGCGTTTGGGTGTCCTCTGGAAGCCTGAGGTACAGTCTGCAAGGTGGGGTGGGGGAAGGAGGGGAGCGGCGAGACTGGCTGGAGAGCGAGGCAGGAATGAAGACAGAGCCCACGGAAGCTGAGGTTTATCCCGAAATGACGACGCCCTGGACTGAGGGGCTGAGGAGGACCCACACAGGAGGCTCCCACAGGTGGCGCGGGAAGCATGAGAGATACCGCCAAGGTCCCTTGACAAGAATGACTCATCTGGGAGGACCCAGGTTTGGCAAGAGCCTGGCAACAGCGGCCATCTCCCAGGCCCCGTTAGGCGAGACGCGGACTCTCGGATCTTGCCTAGCAGACTCAAGTTTCCAGACTCGGTGGGCTGGGTGGGCGGCAGCCCTCACGCTGATGAGTTTAGCGTCAGACCCGGGCCGAGAGGAACAAGGTCAGATTTCACGCCCCGGGGAGCCTCGCCACCACCGAGCCCTCATAATGGTCCCGCCGAGTCCCTAGGGCGAGTCAGACTACACGCCAGCGAGCACGCGAACCCAGAGACACAGACACAGACACACGCACGCACGCACGGGCCCGGCTACAGATCCCCCTGCCCCTGCGACAGCCTCAATGAACGTAGCCACGGTTCCTGGAGCTTCTCCAGGTATACCCTACCTTTGCCTGAATCCCCTGCGAAGAGCTCAATCCTACCCACCCACATTCAACTCGTCGCCACCACAGCAGGCAGGACCAGCTCCCACACAGGCAATGCCGCGCCAACCTGCCCACCTGCGCTGGACGACGGCTCCTCAGGCCGCAATCAGTGGACGCCCCCCCCCCCACTTAAAGATTAATTCATTACATATGTGTGCATGTGTGCCTGCGGGCCAGGAGAGGGCGCCAGATCTCGTCACAGACGGCTGGGAGCCACCAAGTGGTTGCTGGGAATTGAACTCAGGTCCTCTGGAAGAGCAGCCGGGGCTCGTAACGGCCGAGTCACCTGTCCAGCTCCTCTTAGATTGACCTTGGCTCTCCTGATCCCAGGCCGCGGCTACGTACCTGTGCTGGACCCCTGGGTCTTCAGAGCACACCTGGGCAAGCTCTACCTACCAGCATTTGAGCCTGCCTCTCCAGAGTACATCTGGCAGGTCACCTGAGCCTAGCCCTGGCTCCTCACCCGCATGGCCGCTACCCCAAGCCCTGACCACGCTTCTCCAGGCTTCGCCCACAGAGACCCGGATATAACTCCTACCTTTGAGCAATTCCAGCTTTTGGAGAAGGCCAAACTCTACCTTACCAGCGTTGACCCTTCAGGCCCACGTTGGGCAGATGACAGTCTGCCTCTGACCCTGGCTCTCCAGGACCACCTAACTTCACCCACCGGCAAGTCTCACACTTCCAAACCTGGATCTGACAGGCCGGGTGTGGCGGCGGCGCGCGCCTGTAATCCCGGCACTCGGGAGGCAGAGGCAGGCGGATCTCTGTGAGTTCGAGGCCAGCCTGGTCTACAGAGCGAGTTCCAGGAGACCAGCTCTGCCTCTGGGTACAGCGGGCACCCTGGCTTCTTCTCGGTGAGTCACCGCTATCTACCGGGATGCTGACCTTGGCTCTTCGGACCACACCCGGAAGGCCAGCAAGACTCACGCCCGCTCGCTGGACCACACGCCGGATGGGTCAGGTAGCTCCACTTACCTATGAGACATTCTGGGCAGTCCAGACCATGCCCCACAGATCGCCCCGCATCTCCATCTACCTGACGACGCCGCCGAGTCCTCGCCCCCTATTCCTATCTGACGGGTCAGCTCCCTGCGTCTCACGATGGCTCCTTAGGCCTCAGCGACCCAGCCAGTTTTACGGCCCGGGTCCTCCACAGACGCGCACCGACAAACCCCGCATGACCACACGCTAGCGTGGCTCTCACCGAACCGGCAGAGCCAAGACTCCACGGGCCTCGCCCCAAGTCACAGTCCTCCTCCACATCCCCGCTCGGGCATGGACACACCCAACCTTACCAAGCGAGGCCGCACCCAGGAAGCCCAGAGACTCCGGCTCACGACACAGCTTCAGACGCGCCTTCACCCACCTTGCCTTACTGGGTTTCCTTAGACAACACCTCAGACGTCCAACCCTCCTTCGCCTCTGAGGCCTTCGCCGGTCGTGACTGACCCGAGGGAAAACCGCAGTACCGTCACATCAGCCTACCCCCGCTGGCTCTGCAGACTAACTCACCCGGTAAACCCGCACCGTGCGGGGCCAGGGCTGGCACACCGGGCCTTCCAGGCTCTTCCGTACCTTACCTGGGACATGAGGGCGGGCAAATCTGTCTCTTAGCAACCTCCCCCTGCCAGTCTTACCCCACTCACACCCGGAAGGGCCTGACGTCGGTGCCTTCTGGAAGCCTTAGGAGACCTCGGGCCACCTACCTGGGCGCCACCTGAGTGTTCCCGATGTCACCTAACGACACGGCCAGGCTTGGTTTCAATCGCTATGCTTTCACACACTTCCTGTGATGGGGGGGCACTTCCTGCGATGCCGGGGGGTGGTGGGGGGGTTGAAGCAGGGGCCAGGACCCTGCTGGGAGCTCCACCTCCAAGCCCAGCACCATCAGGCTCAATGTCCATACCAGACCAAGCCAGTTCCATACACGCGTGCCCAGCCTGGCTCCTCCTGCCCCAGGGGAAAACCAGTCACACACTGTGGTCCCGACTCCCGCTCCCGAGACCTGAGCCGCAAGACCCCGCCTAGCAGATGTCAGCACACCACGCATCAACAGACGTTACCTACCGGCCAATCTCAGGGTTTCCTACTGGAGCATTCAACGCAGGCCTTAGCTAACAATTCTCTCCCAGCCTTTATCTTCCACGAGTCTCTCAAACTGCACCCTAAAGACACAGGCCCTCTGCCGCAGAATGTTCTTTTTTTAATATTTTATTTATTTATTTACTTGTTATGTAATCTTCTGCCTGCACGCCAGAAGAGGGCGCCAGATCTCATCACAGATGGTCGTGAGCCACCATGTGGTTGCCGGGAACTGAACTCAGGACCTCTGGGAGAGCAGTCAGTGCTCTTAACCTCTGAGCCGTCTCTCCAGCCCCAGAATGCTCTTGTACACCGTGTGAATATACGTCACCGCGATTGGTTTAACAGAAGGGCGGGGTCAGAGGAATCGCCAGCCAGATGCAGAACGATGCGCAAAATGGGACGGAGATATAAGCCCCAACCAAGCCTCAGGGCGGCACACAGATTAGCAGAAACGGTTTCATCCTAAGAGTCAGGCGGTAACAAGCCCCGGCTATCGGCAGAGCCCTTGTAACTGACATGAAGTCTCTGGGCCCGTCATTTAAGTCACAGCGGCTGCAGGGAGGGGAAACTACCCCCTACGGCCCTCAGCGTCCCTGCTTGTGTTTGACCTGGGCACTGGCCCCACCCCCTTACGATGCCGCCGCCGCCGCCGCCCCATGACCTCAGAAGGGCTGGCCAGGATGCTGAGAGCCTGGGTTCACCTCATCTACTCCACCAGCTAACTACAGCCCAACCTCCATTTCCAGAAGGCACCGGAGGTCCTGATCTGTACACGCCTGGGACCATCTAGTTCTCTTCCTGCACAGCCGGCCTAGGTCACATGACCCTGACTTCAGACCTCAACTGTTACAACCTTTTTTTTTTTCCAGACAGGGTTCCTCTGTGGCTTTGGAGCCTGTCCTGGAACTCGCTCTGTAGACCAGGCTGGTCTCGAACTCACAGAGATCCGCCTGCCTCTGCCTCCCGAGGGCTGGGATTAAAGGCGTGCGCCACCACCGCCTGGCCAATTGTTAGAACTCTTTTTTTTTTTTTTGGTTGTTTACAAACAAGGTCTCACTACATAGCTCAGGCTGGCTCAGAACTCAGCATATAGCCCAGGCTGGCCTTGAACTTATGACCCGCCTGTCTCGGCCTCATGGGATTACAGAGGTGTGCCACCGTACCTGGATGACGTCATAGCTGCACTTACACTTTTCTTTGTCCTGGCAAGTCCTCTGATCACACTTGTACCTGTCCTCATTCCCTTTCAGTCCCGATTCTGGCTCCAGAGACCTCCGCCACGACCACACACACACACACACACACACACACACACACACACACACACACACACACACACACCACAGACTCCGTCCCACATACCTGAGGAGAGACAGCTTACACGTGTCGAGTCTCAGATGCCAAAATTAGCCGTGTGGAGCTGGACTCATGCTGGGACCCAGAGAGACTGCACACTCGCTAGCTTACCTCTGCTGGGTCCAGATGTCAGACCCGCCAGGCAGCCAATGTCAGACCGCAGGGGACGGAGCCCCCTCACTCACACATGCCTGCACCGGACAGACTCGAGGAATGGCCTCCCAGGCAGTGCTGGACACCTGAGAGACTAACTCCAGGATCTCCACACACCCCTGCTCCCGGGCCCTCAGACATTGCCTCCATCAGCAGTACCCACCCACATGCCTCCTCAGGCTGCTGGTGTGTGCGTGTGCGCGTGTGTGTGCGTGCGTGTGTGCGTGCATGTGCGCGTGGCCCGACCCGCCAGGCCTCCACTGCCGTCGCTGCCAGTCCTGTACCTAACCGAAACTCTTTGACCTCGCCTGCAAGGCTCAGCCCTGTCACAGTCCATCAACCTTCTGCACACTGGGCAGAGACGATGAGTGCCCCACCGCGCGGGGCTCTATGGCGCAGCAGGGGATGCCCACTCCTCCCTTGCCACCACTGGCTCAGGTGCCAAAGCTTGAGGACGCAGGGGAAAGGCCTGCACTGGTCGGAAGCCGCAGTCTCCCCCACGGGGATCCCTCCTCCGAGCCACTGGCTGTGTGCCAAGGACGGCGTACAGCCGGCCCCCCTAGACTCGAGCTGACTCATGCCCAGCGGACGGTCTGGGGCTCGGGGCTTCATTCTCCGTTGGAGATGGGTAGAGAAAAAAAGCTCCCAGGCCAAGTGCGGTCACGCGCGTGCCTGTAATCTAAGCACTTTAGGCCAAGCAGGTCACAAAGTCAAGCCCGGCCTAAGGGACACGGTGAGCTACGGGTCAGCCTGGGCTACACAGAGATCCTGCCTCAGAAATTCTTTAAGGGGGGACAGGAGCAGCCCAGTGGCAGAGTTTGGTATAGATCCTAGGCACCAACAACAAACTTTCCCTTATTCGTTTGATTTAAAGAAGAGGGCATTTTAGAGCTCCCACGCAAGGTTGCCCACTGGCCAATGACGCCACCAAGAAAAGCGCCTCCAGCCCAATGGCTGAGCGGAAGTGTCTAGTCCGGTGGACCCCAGGCAGTTGTTAGAGAGAGCACCTCGGCCCGGCCACAGCACCCCCAGAGCACACACCACGCCCACAGGAGCCCACACTCTGGCCTTCACAGTCCCCCCTCAGGCCAGCTGCGAGGCCAGCGCCCAGTCAAGGCTTCCTCCCGGCGAGCCCACCCATCTGTCTGTCCCACTGGGTGTCCTCCGTGCGGCGGCCCTACCACGTGGAGCGGGGCTCTGCTGTGCAAGCTAGCGTGCCCTAGACTTGGGGTCTCCTGCCTCCTCCCTGCGTGCCAGCCACCCACCCCACCCACCCCCGAAGTCTCCGGCCCTGCCGTCCCCTGTGGGTCTGTTCCCAAGACCCGCCTCGCCCTGCCCTTTGGCCTTTACGGACTGTGGCCGCCGACTGGAGAAAGGTCACGCCTGAGAATAACTCACCTCAGCTAGTGGCTCTGGTTACCTCACAGTGGGAGCGGCTGGAAGGCACCCAGGGGAGTGTCGCGCGTCTCCCCGCAAGCCGGAAGCGCTCCCCACAGACTGAGCCCCTGTCTTTCCCAAAGTCAGACAGACATGCAGCAAGCGCTCGAAAAAACGCTGACCTGACCTCAAAGGCCCCTCCTGTCGGCTCAAGGGCCATGACTTGGCTAAGGACACGCCAAGCACAGGAAATGCCTTACTTACATCCCAGAACTCGAACATGTTTTGAGGGTCAATCCCGAACTCCTTCACTTTGGTCTGGAAAGTACAAAGGGAGAGAGAGAGCATATGTTAGAGACGAGCGTAAGGGGTGACAATCGCCGCCCAGAAAGTGGCACTTCCCAACCCCATGAGGGGCGGGCGGGCGGGGTAGAGCAGGTTCTGAGCTGAGGGGGACACTCACTCCAGACCGGACACCAAGCCACCTCTTGGCCACCCCCCGCCACAACACACCAGGGGCCCCGCGCCTGGAGCGCCTCCTCTTGGTGGGTAAGAACCAGAGACACCAGGAGAGCCATCCCATCCCCCCCACACCCTGCTCGACTCTGGAGCTCAACACCAGAGGTCGTTCCCCCAGTCTGGGAAACAAAGCCTGGACCGCCACGCAGCCATCCCCCTTGGAAGGTGACACCACCCGAGGGTTCCCTGAGGAGACCAGTCTTGTTCTCAGGCGCCGAGGCCCTCAGGCAGGCAAAGCCAGCTGCCCCGCATCCAACCTCAGGGATGGCCACCGACAGCCTGAGCCCGGCCGGCTGAAATCGGACAAGGTGCTGGTTAGCCGCCTTGAGACACCTGGCTGGTGGTGGCGGTTGGAACGGGAAGGAGGGCGGCCAAGGGCCTGGCTGCAGGCACTGAGGGACACAGCAAGACCAGGAGGCCGTGCTCGAGTCTGTAGGTGAGTCTCCCCTACAGCACGCAGGCCAGACCAACCGTGAGCTGGCCACCACGGCTGCACCACCAAACATGATCCTTAGCCGGAATAAAAGGCCACATCTGGGGACGCTGGGGACACTGCTCTAGCGTTAGACCCAAGCTTGGCTCCTGTGAGACATCGGGCAGCTCATAACCAAGTCCTCATGCGTGTACGTACCCATGCCCCCCAATACACCCGCATACACATAAATAAACATAAAATGAGTCATAATAAAAGTCACTGGGAGCCGGGCGTTGGTGGTGCACGCCTTTAATACCAGCACTCGGGAGGCAGAGGCAGGCGGATCTCTGTGAGTTCGAGGCCAGCCTGGTCTACAGAGTGAGTGTCAGAACAGCCTCCAAAACAATACAGAGAAACCCTGTCTCTAAAACCAAAAGTCACTGGGGCTGGAGAGATGGCTCAGTGGTTAAGAGCACTGGCTGCTCTTCCAGGGGTCCAGAGTTCAATTCCCAGCAACCACACGGTGGCTCACAACCATCTGTAATGAGATCTGGCGCCCTCTTCTGGCCTGCAGACAGACATGCAAACAGAACACTGCACACAAAAATAAATCTCTAAAAAAAGCCACGCCAGGCGATGTAGCAATGCCTTAATCCCAGCTCTCAGGCAGCACAGGTGGAGCTCTGTGAGCTTGAGGCCATCCAGGACAGCCCGGGCTACACAGACAAGTCCTGTCAAAAGTTAGGGTTCATGACAACAGCACTTGCTATATAAGCCTGGAGATCTGAGTTTGACCCCAAGAACCCAGACAAAGGAGGCAGGACACACAGAAGTCGTGCTCTCACCTGCACTGTGACTAACACACACACACACACACACACACACACACACACACATGCACACACACAGCAAAACAATAAAAAAAGTTAATTAAAAAAAGGAGTTACATGCAGGGCTGGTGAGATGACTCAGTAGGTAGTTTGAAACCATTCCTAACTACAGTCCCAGGGATCTAATGCCCCTTTCTGACCTCCGTGAGCACCTGACATTCCTGTAGGGTACAGACACACATGCAAAACACTCTTACACATGAAATTTTAAAAAAAAGCAAGCACATCCATTTACCAGGTCTAAACAGCTTTAGTGAGAAACAAGATCTACCCGGCACCTCCCACATGGGGACGGGCATGTGACACAAGTGTGTCAGGCTGGCCTGGGGGACGGGGGACATCATGACCCTACTGACTCCGTGTCGTCCCTTAGCATCTTACAGACATTGGCGATGTAGGAAGCTCAGCCGGCTCTCGGTGAGCGCCTACGCCAGCCACCCAGCCACGATGCGGCCCTCCGTCAGGGATCGGGCTTTCCCTCGGGGGCACGCAGGCCGCCACTCTGGCACTTACCGTGTTCGTAGACAGCGCGACAAAGTGCTTTGCAACCGCAGATGGCTACGGGAGACAGAAGCAGATGATAGCAAACCTGATCCCAGAGGGGCCACCCAAGGGTGGGGATGCCCCCCCCACCCTACCCAGAGAAAACCAGATCCTACAGAGGATTGACTGTTCTCTCGCTTAGGCCCTGGGGCTGCTGTCAGAGGAGCCCGCAAAAGGTCAAGGACAAGAGGATGTGACGACAACCCTCACGCTCACGGGAGTTCAGGAGGGGCCCGGACTCCACAGCGAGTCCCTGTCACAAACCAGCAAACCACAAAAGAGGTGTGCACGGTCCACGAGTCAACCTGCCCATCCACACCCAAAGGCAAACACGGCCAAGGAGCAACCAGACTCCCCCAACGTAAAACGGGTGTGGTCCCCAGGGAGCAGAGGTGATCCCAAGGGCCAAGGGGACTTAAAGAAAGGGTTCCGTCCAACCCAGTATGGAAACTATTGAAAAATGACGGAAAGAAAGGGAGGCCCCTCGCCGCTCAGAGCGGGTTCTGCTTATGCCTGGGGGGGAGCCAAAGGTATAAAGAAAGGAGCCAAAAAGCCGACTCCTGCTCCCACCTTTGGGAGGGTGGGAACACAGGACTAGCACCACATGCCCCACCAACGTCATGGAGGGGGGGTAGAACTTGGTAAGCACACCGAACCCCCCCACCGGCAGGAGACCCACCCCACGCCCACTCACATCCTTGGCCGACGCGAGGAACCACTCCTTCGCCGTCTCCGCATTGGTGATGGTCTCCTGGGTGGTGAAGGTCTGCGACACAGGATGGGGCACTCAGTCCAGCCCCGGGGGTGGGGGGAGCGCGACGCCGGGGCGGGGCCGACACACCCACGCACGCACGCCTGCACACGCGCGCGCGCACACACACACACCAGGAAGGTTGCAGGCATCCATCAACATACCATCCGGGCACGGCCGGGCGGCAGCAGCCGTTCACATGGGGGGGGGGGAGGACCCCGCCCAAAACCCCACCCAAAACCCAAATCCTGCAGGTCAGGCATCTCCCAGGAAGAGAGGGGCTGAGCATATTCTGAGTTCTTCTCCAGTTCAGCCTAGGCTGGATTTCACAATTCAGTTGGAATTCTATTTTTCAATTTTATTGCATTTAGAGAGAGAGAGACAGACAAGACAGACAAGACAGACAAGACAGACAGACAGACAGACAGACAGAGAGAACGTGTGCACGAGAGTGCCATGGCACATGTGTTGGTGACAGGACAACCTTTGGGAGTAATTCTCCCCTACCGAACCCAGGTTGTCAGGCTTGGTGGCAAGCCCCGTTACCTGCTGAACCATCTTGCTGACTCCCCCCCGGAGGACTTTTTACTATCCTGTGTGTGTTGAGGTACATAGGGCACAAACGACAATAAAGAAACCGTTATGGGGGGGCTGGAGAGATGGCTCAGAGCTTAAGAGCACTGGCTGCCCTTCCAGAGGTCCTGAGTTCAATTCCCAGCAACCACATGGTGGCTCACAACCATCTGTCATGAGATCTGGCGCCCTCTCCTGGGGTGCAGACATACATGGAGGCAGGGTGTTATATTCATAATAAATAAATAAATAAATCTTTAAAAAAAAAACCGTTATGTTCTCGGATCAGCGCTCTGGAATCAAAAAGGTACAGCAACACGCCAGGCACGGTGCCTGCATTCCCAGTGCTCAGCTACAAAAGACCCTGTCTCAGAACTCTGGAAGGGGGGCTGGAGAGATGGCTCAGAGGTTAACAGCGCTGCATGTTCTTCCAGGGGACCGGAGTTCAGTTCTCAGCCACCACACGGTGGCTCGAAACCATCTATAATGAGGTCTGATGCCTTCTCCTGGGGTATAAGCATGTACACAGATAAGAAACTATGCTTAATAAATAAATAATTAAAAAAAAGAAAAAAAGAAGCCTTAGTCATTGGCTAACAGTTTAAAAAAAACTCAAGCCGGGCGTTGGTGGCGCATGCCTTTAATCCCAGCACTCGGGAGGCAGAGGCAGGCGAATCTCTGTGAGTTCGAGGCCAGCCTGGTCTACAGAGTGAGGTCCAGGACAGCCTCCAAAGCCACAGAGAAACCCTGTCTCGAAAAACCAAAAAAAAACCAAAAAAAAAAAAACCACCTCTGGACGGGGAGGGTGGTAAGGAAAGTGGGGAAAGAGAGAGAGAGAGAGAGAGAGAGAGAGAGAGAGAGAGAGAGAGAGAGAGAGAGAGAGAGAGAGAGAGAGAGAGAGAAGGTAACTGATGGATCTGCAAAGAAAGAAATATCTCCTGGCACTCCGGATGCCGAGGTAGGCAGATCAACGTAGCCTGCTCTACGGAGAGAATTCAAGGACAGCTACGGCAACAGAGACACCCTGTCTCAACTAAAACTAATAATAAATAATAAAGGAAGTATTAGAGCCTTATTATGTGAGGACGAGGACCTGTCTGTTATCTACTCTACAGCTCAGGGTGTGCGTGGCTACAGAGTGAATTCAAGGCTAGCTGGGTACGGAGTTCAGCGGTAGATTAGTTGGCTAGCATGTGTGAGACTGAGTTCAGTCAGCAGACACACACACACACACACAGTCAGCAGACAGACAGACAGACAGACAGACAGACAGACAGACACACACACACACACACACACACACAGTCAGCAGACACACGGCCCAGTCAGCAGACACAGGCACAGACAGACAGACAGACAGACAGACAGACACACACACACACACACACACACACACACACACACACAGTCAGCAGACACACGGCCCAGTCAGCAGACACAGGCACAGACAGACAGACAGACAGACAGACAGACAGACACACACACACACACACACACACACACACACGGCACAGAGCACATAAATTAAGTAGGTATGGCCTATGACAAGAGCCCAAACTGAACAGGCTCAGCCTTTTATTAGATAAAGCTCTTCTGCCGCCAGACACGGAACCACCTTAGGGCAGCCGCGTTGACGGGACTCACAGAGCACCATTCACTCAGAACCGGTCCTGGCAGCCCACAGCCCGGGGCAATCCACCCAGCCTCCCCACCCTCTCCAGCGCCAATACCTTGGAGGCGATTATAAACAGGGAAGACTCGGGGGTCAGGTTGGCCAGTGTTTTGGCAATGTGGGTTCCATCGATGTTAGACACGAACCAGATGCGGGGACCTCCTGCAGAGTAGGGCTTGAGAGCTTCAGTCACCATGAGGGGCCCCTGCGGGAAGAGAGGACAGGCTCTAGGGACTGACTGTCCCCTCCCTTCACCCCACCATCCCCAGGCGCGTTCCTCACCAGGTCAGAGCCTCCGATGCCGATGTTGACGATGTCCGTGATGGATCTGCCTGTGTAACCCTTCCACTCGCCACTCCGGACCCGCTGGCACAGAACCAGAGATATGATTAGCCCAATGCCCGCGGAGAGGCCGCGGCTCAAAAGCCCCGTGTGAGCCCTTCCGCCTCAGTGAAACTACTCAGGAGCCTCTGGAGGTCGCACTCTGTGACATACGCTATCCTGGTACACTATGCTGCTTTTATTGCTTTTTTTTTTCTCGAGACAGGGTTTCTCTGTATTGTTTTGGAGGCTGTCCTGGAATTCGCTCTGTAGACCAGGCTGGCCTCGAACTCACAGAGATCCGCCTGCCTCTGCCTCCCGAGTGCTGGGATTAAAGGCGTGTGCCACCAACACCCGGCTTACTATGCTGTTTAAACAGGGCAAACGGGGCTTGCTTGTCCCTGACTCCTTCCTAACTCTGTGACAGGGAGAAAGGAGAGTGGAGTCACTTGTTGTCTCGTGGTATAAAAATGTCTGCCCAGAGCTAGAGAGGTAACTCAGTGGTTTAAGAGCGTGGGCTGCTCTTGCAGAGGCCCCAAGTTCGGTACCCAGCACCCACACGGTGGCTCACAGCCCTCTCCAGTTCCAGGGGATCTGACGCCCTCTTCTGACCTCCACAGGCACCAGGCAAGCACACGGTGCACAATAACAGACACAGGCCCGAGCGCACACACACACACACACACACACACACACACAGGAAACTACAGCCAGCAGAGCTGCTTTCACAGGGCTTCCGCTCTCACTCTGGCTGGATATCGTAAGTGCACGCTTTGATGATGACCATACCCTGCCTGCTCAGCCAATCGGACGACCCCAGCTGTTCTGCGGGATGCCGTAAGCACCCATTGTGATGACTGGCTATCTGCTCGCCGTTTTTTAACTTCTGCTTGCTGCATACCTAATAGACTCACTTGTTCAAAGACCAAAAGCGTGTCTACAGCCGGACGTTGGTGGCGCACACCTTTAATCCCAGCACTCGGGAGGCAGAGGCAGGTGGATCTCTGTGAGTTCGAGGCTAGCCTGGTCTACAGAGCGAGTTCCAGGTCAGCCTCCAAAGCCACAGAGAAACCCTGTCTCGAGAAACCAAAAAAAAAAAAAAAAAGCATGTCTACTGTAGGCCATTCCCTGTATGAACACATTCTCCAGCAGATGGCCTGTATGTCCTCACTGACAAAGTGGGACTAGGAAGGCTCTCACAGGGAGGCTGGCGAAACTCTAAAACCGAACCTGGGTCCTCTGTCAAGCAGCCACGTCTACTCTCTGGGAGTCAGGTTCTGGTGCGACTCCTCAGCAACGCTCTGTCACTGAACTGCTGCAAGCCGTAGGATATGATTTCAGCTACAACTTTAACAAGGGGCTGGAGAGATGGCTCGGCAGTGGAGAGCACTGACTGCTCTTCCAGAGGACCCAGGTTCAGCGCCCGGCACCCACATGTGAAGGCAGCTTCGTAAGCATCTGCAGCTCCGGCCCATGGGATCTAACACTGTCCTCTAGCCTCTGGGCACTGTATGAATGCATACACACAGACACACAGAATAAAATATTGGAAACCTAGACAAACTGGATGTGGTAGCTTACGCTGGTAATCCCAGCATGTGCGAAGCTGGACTGTCATGAGTCCGAGATGACTCTGTCCCTAAACAAAAATAAACCTAACGCTTGGACTGAATGCTCTAAGAGTTAAGTGAAACCCCAGAACCGATTGTACGACCCTGAGGTGGCTGCTGGTATGGGTTTAAGGAAAGGGCTGGAAAGTGTTACTGGAAATCGTAGGGAAAGGATGTTTGCGGGTCAGGCTTGGTGGTCCACGCCTGTAACCCCAGCGCCCACAGCTGCACTCACATGCACATACCCACAGAGACACGCAAACATACACAACAAAAAGAAAACCTGCTTTTAAAATAATTTATTTTCATTTATGTGCATTGGTGTTTTGCCTGCAGGTAGTTTGCATGAGGGCGTCAGATCCCCCTGGAAGAGAAGCTACACACAGCCGTGAGCCGCCATGTGGGTGCTGGGAATCGAACTCAGGACCTCTGGAAGAGCAGCCAGTGCTCTTAGCCCTTGAGCCATCTCTCCAGTCCCTCAAATAAACCTTTTAAAACCCCTTTGTTTCCAGGCGAGGTGGTGCACTCGTGGGAGGCAGGGGCAGGTAGATCTCTATGAGCCTGACCTACAAAAACTGAATTCCAGGATAGCCGGGGCTACGTAGGGAAACCCTGGCTGGGGATGCAGCTTGTCTAGGTTTGTGACAACCGAGGGAACGGATTCCCCTGACCTCCGCCTGCACCGTGGCCTGTGTGCCCGAGCACAAGCAAGTGCGTGCAAGAACAGCGAGTTTTATAGTAGCTTTAGGATCTCACCTAGAAGAATTCTGTGCACACAGCTATGTCTAGCAGACTGACACCCCCCCACAGAAGCTTCTTAAGGAGTCTTTTAAGACTGTAACCACCTGAACTGAATGGAGCTAAGTGAGGCACATAAGAGACACTCGGAGACCTATTACTGTTCATGTCCAATCTCAGTCCAAGGTTCACTAAAACAAAGTACTTCCCCTTCCACACAAATTATGAGACACGCCGTTAACATAATCTTCCCCTGGGGCTTTAGAACATACACTACTTTTTTTGGGGGGGGGGCTTTTTCGAGACAATAGTTTCTCTGTGTATCCTAGGCTGTCCTGGCATTCACTCTGTACACCAGGCTGGCCTCGAACTCACAGACATCCGCCTGCCTCTGCCTCCCGAGTGCTGGGATTAAAGGCGTGCGCCACCCCTGCCCAGCACGCCGTTTCTTTTCTGTTGCTGTATTGTTGTTTTGTGCTTGGGAAGTAGTGCCATTACCGGATGCCAGGCAGCCATAGCTACCAGCAGTATGGATAAATGATAAGTTTTTCCTTTTGCTTGTTGCTTGATTATTGTAAATTTTCAACTGACGGCACATTTATGAGGCATGCTGTGATATTTTGATATATGGGTATAAGTAACAATTGGGTCAGACTGATTGGTAGATTCATCACCTCAAACATTATCTCTTTTCAAGCGCTTGCCCGTCACACGCCAGACTCTGAATTCAACTCCCAGGATCAGAAAGACAGACCAACAGGGTTATAACGTCTTTTCTGTCGTGTTGGCTGGTTTGAGGGATTCACTATCCAGCCTAGAACGGCAAGGACCTGTTGACTCTCCTGCCTCACCTTCCCCACTGCTGGGATCATCGGCATGAACCTCTGTGCCTGTTTACTTTTGAGAGAACTAGGGAAGTAGAATTTCTCACCGGGAGTGCGTTGGTGAGCAGGGTTTCTGTTTTGTTTTGAGAAAGTCTGGCCAGGGACTGTCAATCCTACTTCAGCCTTCTAAGTGCTGGGATTATGGGCATGGTCCACCAGAACCAAGCCTCATATTTTGAACTAAGAATACCCAGTCAGCCTGAGTCAGCCAAGCGGACAGCCAGCTGTAAGGGAATATCATCCTGCATCAGCTCTGGAGAGACCGATAGCACCCAGCATGCCTGAGCTTACACAGGATGAACAAGGGACCGGGGTCCACTCTGCCCCACACAGCAGAGGGCTGAGGATGTCCTTCCTCACACACAGGGCTCCTAGCCTCCCTCATCCCAAGAAGCCCGGCTTCCAGGTGGCTGCCGGTGTCATTTTCAAGTCTGGAAGTGGCTCTTGGCCAAGGCACGCAGACTTTGACCAGCCACACACGGGAGCTCCTGTGAGCTGCTGCTTTCAGGCACAAACCCAGAGCAGTCACAGCTGACCAGACGATCAGGATCTGAGCATGCCCATCCCATGCAGATACACAAATGCACGTACCCACACGCAGGATGGTGACCCAGAGGTGTCTTTTACGTTTTCCTAGCGTACATAAGCTGCAGGCAGCGGAAGCAGATCATAGCCCAGTTGCTAGAGTACGTTCCTATTATGTGAAGCCTCAAGCTGACACTCCCTACCCCTGCCACCCCCACACCACACAACAGGCTGAGGTCCCAGACCTTGGAAGATGGAGAGAGAGAGCCCGCTCACTCTGAAAAGAGCTGAGGGAAATTCCGGACTCAGCGGAGATGCCAGGGTCGGCAATCACACAGGTCACCCCCACCTGAGGCTGCAGCAGGGCCTACACCCTGCCTCTAGGGAAAGCAGTAGGGCCAGATTCCTGAACACACACACACACACACACACACTCACACACACCTTCTAGGCTAGCATTAGCTCACACACACACACACACACACACACACACACGCATGCACGCATACACACACTGCCTAGGCTAGCATCGGCTAGCTCACACACAGTCACACACGCATGCACACACACACGCATGCACGCACACACACGCATGCACGCACGGTCTAGGCCAGCATCGGCTTACCTGGCAGAAAGACTTCATCTTCTCCAGAACCCTGTTGACCTCTGGCATCACGTCCTTGCCATCCACCACAATGGGGGTGTTGGACCGGTTCCGGAGGGCCACGTGCAGCACTGCCCGGTCCTAGAGCCGAAGGTTGGAGAATGAGGAACTACTTACTACACACCCTAGTGGTCCCAGCGGGGCACGGAACAGCGTGGCTCGGCCCCCGTGCACCAGCCGAGCGGGTCCCCGGACACCCGTTACCACCACAGTCTAGTACAGAGAACCCACCTCATGCTTTGGGAGTGACTGAGGACAGGGAGCTTTGCAAGCCGTGGACAGTCTGAAGCAGAGCGGGACCTGAACACGCCTAAAAGGCTTCCCATGCCTGAAGGACCCCGGGGGCATTAAAGCCAGAAGAGAGCAGACTGGCCAAAGGCTTAGTGATGACAAGCAGAGATAAGCAATGAACCCCTTCGGCGGACCAGCCACCGGAAAGCCTAGCGCAGCCTCAGCCCTCCTGATGCGAGGACCTCGCGTCTGTTGCACCTTCTCAAACCGTCCAGAGGCCCCAGGATGTGTGTGAAGCAAGACCAGCAACCCAACGGCCTCACGGCCACAACTGCCACTAACCAAAACTTCACTTGTCACTGAAGCCGGTGACAAGCGCCAAGCAGAGAGCAATGGTGCATCTAGCTGAAGGCAACGGCAGTCTTGGGGAGGAAACGGGTGAAAACGTCCCAGACCGCCAGGAAAGCGATGGCCATTCATGCAGGTTCCTTCTGAGTGGCAGGGCCCGATGCCAGCCCCCCCACCCTGTCTAGCCCCACAACTCCCCCATGTGCCTTCAGCAAAGGCACCCCTGCAGGAAGCCCTCCCTCCTTGACTGTGGCCCGCCCTCAGTGCAAGATCAGCTGCTTCTAATGGCCTCTCTGAGCTCCGAGCCTCAGACCCCTCGCACGTAAAAAGACCCAGGGCTGGACACAAGGCAGTCAAGAGCACTGGCTCGGTCCTCTGCCAAAGGGCCGGAGAGTGATCCGCGGCCCACACGACGGCGGCAACTCGCCACCGGTGCCAGGAGAAACCGACACCCACACCATCAAAATAAATAGATTAAAAATTCCCGGACGAGCAAGTGTGGGGCGCCGATTGTGCCTGCTGGCTCCTGCTTGCCTCAACCCCGCTTGTTACTCACGCCCGCTGCCAGAGAGACTACAGGCTCTTGTCACTAGTGTCAACTTGCAGCAAGGACCCACCAAGAGTAGCAAGGCTGAAATTCTCCAAGAAAACGCCTGAGCAAGCCTTAAGTTAATCCCTCCCTGGACGGACACCAGGAACTGTTCCAATCGGCCGGCCAAGTGCAGCCGCCAGTCTTGGGGGGAAGACACACCCCAAAGCTCTGCAAACACACACACACACCTGCCAAACGAGAAGCCTTTTAGCACCTTCCTGAGGCAAAAGCATTGCTTAAGAATAACGGTGAAGAGCCAGGCATTGGTGGCGCATTCCTTTAATCCCAGCACTCGGGAGGCAGAGGCAGGCGGATCTCTGAGTTCGAGGCCAGCCTGGTCTACAGAGCGAGTTCCAGGACAGCCTCCAAAGCAATACAGAGAAACCCTTTCTCGAAACCCCCCCCAAAAAAGAGTAACGGAGAAGTCGTGGGGCGGTGGATGGTGACAGTCTTGACGAGAGCAAAAGGGAAGGAATTGGCCTGCGCTGGGTAGGTGGATGATACCCACTCTCACTGCTCACCTCGGTGTAGTTGATCTTCACGCCGTTGAACATGTTGTCCCGTGCAGCCTCCACGCCCCTGGACTTAGCCTAGGAGGAGAAGACACTGAGGCCTCGTGTCCCGGACCCACTGGCCAAAGTCCAAAACCCCCGGAGAGGCTGCCTTGGATGGTCAGGGCCTGTTTCCATCTCCATTGCCTTCCAAGAGTCTGCTCAAAGAGCAGGCCCTGGAGACCCCTGGGAGCCCGGAACCCAAGCAACCCCCACACCCGAGCCAGAGATCACGGTTCCCCGAAGTGATCATTACCAGGTCCACCAGCATCTGCATCACCTCCTTGTTCACCAGGTTCTTGGAGTAATCCACCAGAATATGTCCGTGGTTGGTGTTGAGGTTCAGGCTGCGGGAAGACACAGCAGCTGCTGGCCACGCCCCAGCCCACCCCCCATGTCTACCGCGCTGGCCGCAGGCGCAGCGCCTGTTGCCTAGGACGCACAGCGGGAGAAGCCATGCCACAGAACCAAGGCGCGGGCAGATCCCGGGCTAGGAGCACGGTCTAGACGGAGGAAGGTGCTGACCCACGCCCCACCCACTCAGGGCCTCCCCTCCGCGCTCCCGTGTTTCAAACTTGCTAGGGAACACCAATGCAGAAGCGTGGGGGCTTCCATGTAGCCAGGAGCCACAGGTGGTCATCTCAAGTCCCCCGCCTTCCAGCATCAGGAGACAAGGAATACCCGGATGCATCACATGCAAGCTTCCCTCCACCCTCCCTTCTTCCATTTAGCGGTCGCTCACGGATGCCTCTTGCGTCGCAGTCTCCTCCACGGCTCTATTTTTACACCGTGGCTCCCAGCAAACCTCAGCCTACCCACCCTTCCCGACCCAAGCCCTCGAGAAACAGGTGGGAGGCGACAGCTCTCTCGCGCCTGTCGCAGCAGCAAGGAAGGGCTCCTCCTCCTCCTCCTCCCCCTCCCGGGTGGCTAGAAATCCCTTCTCCAGTGGCTGGGACTGGAAGGCGAGGGCGAAGGGACAGGGGTGTCCTCGTGGAGGGGCGCGGCGCCCCTCCTCATGACTAAGCAGCCCCGGCCCTGCAGCGAGCACGCGGGCCCCAAGTGCCCTCTCCAAGGAGGGGTCAAGGACAACGTGCGACCCCGATCTGGGCCCCCGTGGGGCGGCTGGGGGGTGGGGTGGTGGATCCCGGGAGCCCCCGTGGCCCCATCCCTGCGCGCGCACCTGAAGTGGTTGAAGCGCTCCGGGTCCGCCTCAAAAAGGCTCCGCAGGTTGAGGTCGCCGAGGTTCGCGCGGTGCCATTCGTGCAGCTTCTGGAACTGCGGGTTCCGGGTGAGCGCGGCCATGGCGGGACCGGAGAAGTACACGGAGCGGGACGTGCGCGGAAGAGGAAGGAAGAAGGAGCGGCAGCGCGCAGCGAGCTCGGGGACCGTGCGCGCAGCGCTCTTTATGGCGCAGGCGTCCGGCCCCGCCCCTCCTGGCCACACCTCCCTCCGGAGCCCCGGCCCCGCCCCGCCGCTGCCCTCCGCGCCCGCTATGCGACCTTGCCAGCGGCTGCAGATCTGGGGACCTCTGCTGGTCATTGGCGATGTCCCTTGCCTGGCTTCTGCCCGGAAGTGACTTGAGGAAGGGCAGAGGCGGAGTTTCCCATGCCTGGTCGGCTTCCTTCTTTCATTCATTTATTCAATTAAGGAAAAAAAGAAAACCTCTATAGAACAAAACTACAGAACTCTCCCTCTAACTCTCGATTATGGTGCTGCAAGTATTGTGGATACATAAACCAGATAAGCAAATAGGATTTATGGAATTCCAGAGCTGGCAAGTGCTCCCGAGAAGAGGCAAACTGGACTGGGCAGGAGACAGGGGTCGGTGTGGCTAAGAGCACATATTGCATAGATCTCTTGCAGGGGACCTGAACTGGGTTCCCAGAAGCCACACAGGGCAGCTGACAACAGCCTGTAACTCCTGCTGCAGGTGCCTTTGAATTCCAAAGGCACTCGCATTCTCCTGCACACATAGTTAGTAATAAACTTATACGCATGTACTTAAAGGTATATTGGAAATGAGCAATGTTAAATAGACGATTAAAAGGAAAAGACTCGTCCTTTATTATGACAGCAAAATATTGAAAGGGAAGCAACGGGCCAGTTGGCCACCTGGAAGGAAAGTGTTCTGTCAAAGGATACAGGAACTGCAAGATCAGAGAAGATCACCTGTAGCAGCCCCCGAGAACAGAAGGCTCACATGGCCAGAGCCAAGCAGATGAGGAGAAAGCCATAGAGGGTGACATTAGATAAAGAGTCCACCCAGTGGCTTGCAAATCATTGCGAGGGTGTTGATTATTGTTTAGATAGGACAAGTCCCTGAAAGACTGAACAGAGCAGGGACTTCATGTGACACACAGTATAAAGGGTCAGCGTGACACCGGAGGTCAGTGAAATAAACTGGGTCCGGAGGGAGGGAGGCAGCTTCCGGCAAGGCAGGAGGAGGAGGGCACGGAGGACTGAATAAGTGAAAAATCCACAATTGCCTGTCGAGAAAGGTCACGATACCCAGTTTGGGGATCCAGCTTCCTGGGGGGAAAATGGGATTCTCACCCACAATTCCGGTGAGGAGCAAGGAAGACTTGCCATGGGAAAGCGTGGGTGAGGTGTAGGGGACCATTTTTCTAGATGGGGTGGCAGTATCATCCCAACACATGGGTGGGAAGAGAGGCAGAAAGATCAGGAGTTCAAAGCCAGTATCAGCAGTGTTTGAAGCCAGTCAGAATGTCTGAAAGACAAAACAAAACAAAAAAAACCCAAACAAACAAACAAAAAAGGAAACGGAGGAGAGAGTTCAGGGAAGCACTTGCCCTGGAGATGAGGACACATTTGCTCTCCTTGTAAAAAGTCGTGCAGGGTGGCCTCTTGCAATCTCAATGCTAGGGAGGCAGAGGCAGGAGGATCCTAGGGTTCAATGGCCAGCGAGCTTCAGCGGTAAGCCCCAGGTCTCACCAAGAGACCCTGCCTCAAAAAAAGAAGCCGAAAAATATATTAATAAGCCTGGCAGTGGTGGTACACACCTTTGTTCCAGTACTCCGGAGGCAGAGGCAGGAGGAGGCCAGCCTGGTCTACATTCTGAGTTCCAGGACAGCAAGATAGATAGATAATAAATAGCTCATCAGCCAATCAGCCAAAGGCACTTGCTGCCAAGGTTATCAATCTAACTTTGATCCCTGGAATCCACATAACAGAAAGGAAGGAACTCCCATAAATTGTACTTTGACCACAGGCACACCGTGGCACACCCCCTTCAAATAAGTAAGTGTAATTAAAAATAAAGTGGCAGACAGCAGTCCTAAGGGACAGTGCTCTAAGCTGTTCTCTGGACTCCATGTGAACTTGCACGAGTATACACACACACACACACACACACACACACACACACACACACACACACACCACAGCAATAATAAAAATCACTCCCACCCGGAACCTCCACTAACAAGAATGCCAGTCTTAGCTGCAACTGCACCAGGGATCCACAGACTCTGGCCCAGCAGGGTCCAAAGATTTTGTAACAGGTGCTTTTGATGATGACCGATGAGGCTTTCTCCTGCCCTTAGTCTTCCTGTTCCGAGGAATTATCAGAGACAATGGACTCAGGACCAACCAACTTCCCTGCTCAGCCGTCTTTGCTGAATGACCCCTAGAGATAGGGCTCCCCTTGGTCTTTGTGGTGCTTTGAGCCGTCGTTTCTTTTTCTTTCTTTTTTTTTTTTTTTTAATGTAATCTGGCCTGATGGTGGTAGTGGCTGATGCTTTTAATCCCAGCACTCGGGGGACAGAGGGCAGGTGGATCTCTGAGTTCCAGGCCAGCCTGGTCTATAGAGTGAGTTCCTAGCAGATCTTTTTAAAAAGGGCATGTGTGGTGATTGGCAGGTAGGTGACTTGCAGTTGTACCCAAGTATGGGAGTGCACACCTACAACCCCAGCACTCTGGAGGCTCAGGCTGCATCTTTTGTTGTTGTTGGTTTTTTGAGGCAGGGTTTCTCTGCGGTTTTGAAGGCTGTCCTGGAACTCTAAACCAGGCTGACCTCGAACTCACAGAGATCTGCCTGCCTCTACCTCCAGAGTGTTGGGATTAAAGGCATGCACCCGGCTTTTTTCTTTTTTATGTTTTTTGTTTTGTTTTTCTGTCTCAAAAAATTAAACAATTATTCTGGGGATCCAGAAATAATCACATATATGATTTTTTTTTTAAGGAAAACCTTATTTTTTATTCCCACCGTAACAACCAGGGCATTTTATGCCAAGCACTGCAAACCACAGAGTAAAGGCTTCGGTCAGGGAGGGGCAAAAGAACCCTGGGCCAGTGAACATTCTTGGGATCATTACAGACCGGGACGAAGCACCAACCTCTAGAAAACCTGGCCCAGAAAGTGCAGGAGAGCCTGCTCAAGTCAGTCAGCTGCCTTCAGCAGGATGACCTAGCCCACGCACCGGATCACAGGAGGATTTGACAGTAGAGACAGATTTAGAAAATCCCGTTAAGGACCGACATTCTCTACAACGCAGCCCTGATAAAGCCCTTGAGTTTTGTGAAGCTGGCACCTCCCAGCCTTTGGCGGGAAGCAAAGAAGAGCTGCGTGCTAAAGATGGGGAAGCTGAGGCCAGGGGATCTGGCCAGATCCTGCCTTGATTATAAAGTCTGCCCAGCTGTGGGGTTGTAGACCGCGAAGAGGGGATGCGCCGGGCCGGGCCGGGCGGGGGGAAGATGGGAAGCCGGGGCGAGCGGCTCCGAGGCTGCCAAGCCGCCGGAGATGCTGAGTCACAGGGCCGCGAAGGCTGGGGAGCGCGCCCCTCTGGGCGGGGCGGAGCCCCGGGCACGCGCACGCATTGCACCGGGCGAGGCCACGCGCAGGGCGGTCGCGAGCACACGCCGTACCTGGGCGAGCCGCGTGTAGTCCGGCACGTCCGGGGAGGGGGCGGGGCAGGGCGAGGGCCCGTGCGCATGTGCGGGCGCAGGGTCGGAGCTGCGTGGTGAGAGGACTTAGAAGACGCCTGCGTTTGCACGTCTGGCATGGTTGGGGAAAAAAAAAAAAAACCAAACCACTGCGGTGCGCATGCCCCGGGTGCGGAGGACGCACGCTTGCGCTCTCCGGGGATAGTGCACGAGGCAGGGGGGCGCGTGTCGATGCCCCCGCCGGGCTGCGTGGTGTCTAGCCTTGGCTACAATGGAACCCCCCCCCCCACACACACACTGAAAGCACAGAACAGGGCACATAATTCCGACGGCAATTCCCCTTCCAGTGCCGATGGAATTCAGCCCAGTCGAGAGCCTTACGTCAGGCCTGATTTTTTTTTTCCCCTCCGAGTTAGAATCTGCAAATCCTGGCCCCGGTAACCCCTTTCTGCCGCCAGCTGCCCGAGGAGGGTCTGGGAATCGTGCCCTTTCTGCCGGGAGAACTCATGCAACCGTCAGATTCCTGGGCACCACGGAGTGTGCTGCAGGGGCAAGCCGAGGCAGAGAGAGAGAGAGGATTTCCTGAGAGCCAAGCTGGAGCTTTAGAGCGGCGGCTCTCCGCCTTCCTACTGCTGCGACCCCCTAACGTTAGTTTCCTCATGCTGTGGCGACCCCCCGGACCATAGCACCATTTTCTCTGCTACTTCGTTAACTGTGGTTTTGTTACTGCTATGAATTCTAAAGTCAAATTATGTGTTTTCCGAGGGTCTTAAGCGACCCCCAGAGGGGTCGGGACCCACAGTGTGAGAACCACTGCTTTAGAGCCACAGGGTAAGCAGCTGGAGGGAGGGGGTTAAGGAAGTGTGGGGAGGGGTGGGGGCCTGGGGAGAGCGCCTAGCGGCAGTGATGTAAAGGATATGCTCTTGCGGAGACTGTTCACAGGACCCCATGATTTACTTAAGGACGTTTCTAGAATGGCTGTTGGCACTCCTACCAAGGATGGGGAAAACGGGGTTGTCTCCGCTGTAGGACAGGAACAAGGACTGCAGGAATCTTTGCATGCTAGCGCGTGGCCCCGTGGGAAGTGAGCTTGGCATTAGTCCTTCCTGCCACCTAGGCCCACATTCCCAACTGGGTAACCAACCCAAGAACAGCAGTAAGGGCAAATCCAGGATCCAGTCAGATAGGCTCTTTCCCTGGACTCCTCCGCCATGCTGCCCACCCGCATGGCCTCTTGACAATCATGGAGCTGGACCCCGTTATCTCTCTGTTTCAGATCAGGTGGATGGCGGGAGTGGCCTACCCAGCAGAGCAGGCTAAACCCACGGTGACGGTGACGAGGTACAGAGTTCCCATGGAGGGAAAGGAAGGTCCCTAGCTCCCCAGGACCACAACTGCGGGGGTGCGCCTCCATTTCTCAGACTGGCTGAGGCCTCCCAAGCCCTCCAGGGGCACGGGGAGTAACATCTCTACTTCCATTCAGTCCCATCAGGAGACGGTGGAGCTATGATGCTCCTTTCATTACCACTGATGGAGTCAGAAGCAGATAGCACGTTAGTCCACCAGGAACACGGTTGGTTTACTTACTGGCACTGGGGACAAAACTCGGGGCCTTGGGCTGGTTACTGAGCTCATGGTCTACCACCGAAGTACAACCCGATCGCCCGCATGCTGTGTTCGAGACAGGGTCTTACATAACCCAGGCTGGCTTTGCACTGACGCTCTTCTACCTGCCAACGGCTGGGATTGCCGTTTACTGAGAAACAGGGCAGAAAAACCCCAGCATTCCTGGGTTTGCTCCTTGGAAAGGCTGTTAGGGCCGGTCACAGCCCACATCCCTCAAGGGACAGGCTTCGCCTGCCCATGCATCCCCTGATTGAGTGGTCCTTCCCTTTGACGGGTCTGAGACTCAGAGGGCAAGCTGACCTGGAAGCCGGCTCCTGCACAGCCTTGCCAAGTGAGGTACGGCTTCTGACTGACGTGTGTCTGCTGCGGTTAATTTTAAATAAGATACGGAGTATTATTAAATGTATATTTTAATAAAGCCAATAGTTATTTTACTTATAGGAGCTTTAAAAGGAAGATACAAAATGTAGAGTTCCAGTTTGGAAGGTCACAACTATTCACATGATGTCCTGCTGATGCCGAGCAAGGCAGCCATGCTTTGGCCGTGCTGAGGACACGCTCACACGCACATACATGCGCTCTGGCGAGAAGAAGCCTCTGCCAAGCGCAGCACCTGGGGTTACCAGTGTTCAGGGCAAGTCGGTGCTACAGGCGGCAGCACCCACGTGGACACTATACAAACCGCTTCACACGGTCTCACGGCCATGGAGATGCAGTGTCTTCCTTAACAGAGAAGAGCAGACCGGGGATGACAGTTAGTGTCATCTGGGCCGGGGCACAGGGAGAGACCTTGGCCCAGGGTGAGGTCTTCGGGAGGCACTATGAAAATGAGAGAACTGCAGTGGACTAGAACTCAACACACAGGGCGCTGTGGACACGTTACCCAAGGAGATAGAAACTTTTCACAAGTAAAACAGCCACAAGGAACTCGGAACAGATTGGTGCGCACAGTGTGACAGTTAACACAGACAGCAGCCACACAGGGCTGCTGTAAAGTACGTGCCTGGAAAACTCTATGTACAAAATAGTTCTCTGTAAACATGGTGAGGTGAAATCTGAACCCTCGGAGAAGGCTCGTCAGCACAGGCAGACGTGGCACCCGCCCCCACACAGCACAAATGACAACAGCCGAGGCCTCCAACAGCCTGGACACAGTACTAAGACGCAGGTGGCTGGGCTCGGACACCCGACAGGTCCTCTATAATATTCTTGTGTGTGAATGTGTGTGTGCATATGTGTGGTGTGTAGACATAGATTCTTTTTGGTATTTTTAAATATAAATTTATCTGTAGAAAATGAGAACATAAATGTGCTATTACAATCTTTGCTGGAAAAGCTTACATGGTGTTAGAAAGAATAAACCATTTATTAGTAGTTAACATATATTAAAATGGTTTAATGATTTAAGAAAATATAAAAAAAATTAATACTGTCAAACTTTCATACCAGAAAATATCATGGATTTTTCTCAATTAGACATTTTCAAAGATGAAATATGAAAATTTTAAATAAGTTTTATATAAAGAACTTTCTGCAACCTCAATTAATATATAGTGGGAAGTGTCTACTCTATATAGATATATTTATTATTATTTCTCAATTTAAGCACCATTCAATTCTTCTGGATCCATTCTGGCTGGAAAATATCCCCAAATCTGTTTAATGGCACATGTTAACTAAAAGTGAGGTGGTTTTTTTTGTTGCTGTTGACTAAACGAAGACTTTGAACTCCTGTCTACATCATAATTCTTTTGTCTTTTCAGCCCCCTTGCCAATGTCACTGCGGTTCTGAGTGCGGGGTCATGGTGCAACCCCTCCCCACAGTTGCTTCCTTCGAGGAGTGCGGTACTGCCTCGGTCACGGTGGGAGGATCCGAGGGCAGCAGGGCAGCTCCCCAGTCCTGCCCCTGCAAACCCCGTGAGCCCGCACCCCTGGCTGCGTCTGACCAGAGGGGCTGCCCACGCGCGGGAAGCCAGGTGGCTGTTCCTGATCACGATGTCTGGTATAAGCTCAAACGAAGGCAGTGCTGGGCTAACCTCAGCCAGGGTACCTGGGCTTGTACAACAGTCAATGTGTTTTAGGCAGGAGGCGTGTTTAACTGAGAATCTACATGAGAAGTATCTATAACCAGTGACAGGAGTGATCCCACTCATGTGTTAAAGAGGAGGAGAGTGTCAGAGAATGGTCGGTTTTGTTCTCAGCCTGCCGGCCTCATGCCGTTCCCAAGAGCAGGACCGACAACCTTCCGACTGCGTCCCCAGAGTGGCCTCTGGCCGCCTGCACCAGGGTTACCTGCGGTGCTTATTAAGCGTGCAGACTGCCAGCATCCCCTGAGTGTCAGAGATCTCCATCTTCAACTGTCTCCCAAGGGTCCGCTACCTTCAAAGTTTGAGAAATCAGGCTTTAAAGACTTGGAGCTGCCAATCACCTCTGACCCAAGGAACATTTCTGTCCCTGCGACAGGGGTGCACTGGTCCTTCTGGGGGCTAGTGTCAGCCCTGCAGCCCTGGGGACAGTTGCCCCAACAGCCTTGACGGGCAGGAGGGCAGCTGTGCTCAGTACTGGGGCAGATAGGCTGTCCTGCGCTCAGCCTTCCCAGGGAAGGCCTTGAAGCCCTTGGGTGCCACCGCCTTATGTGCTGGTGGAGGCGGGGGCTGGGGAGCCGGCTGCACATAGGGGAAGGAGGCAGCGCTGCAGTCGCTGGCTGCGGCCCACACGGGGGACTGCAGCATCTGCATGGTGTCGTTCCACTGGCTGCCGGGGCTGGCGACTGTGAAGAGCGGCGCGGCGGGGCTGGGCGTCGTGCTGGGCAGTGGGGAGGGGTGCTGCCACGGTGCTTTGGGGGGCCACGTTTTTGTTTTGTTATCCTGGGAAACAGAAGAGAGTTCTCAGTGACACAGCTAGCAGGTTGTCATGGTGTCCCTCCCACCCTTCTTTCCACGTAGGGGACATAGGGGACGGGTGCGGGCGCCAGCCTCCACAGTTCTTCCAGCCACGGCAGCACTCGGTGCCTGCACAATGCCCGCACTGAGTCCGTGTCTGATACAGGTATGCGAGCAACTTTCCCAGCGCGGGGACAGTTAGGGGTCTCCCACCACCACTCCTTCCTTATGTTTAACTGATCTGAACAGCGGGTGTGGCGAGTGCCTCTCACACTGATGAACGGCCCCAGAGCTTCCTCTCAGCTGAGGTGATCCTATCTCATCATTTAGACAAGAAGCACAGAAGCTAATCCCCCACAAAGATGGCCCAGGTCTTTTCCACAGCCGGCTCCCAGTACCTGGTTCCCGTCCTCCACGGCGGTGAGGAGAGGTGGGGAGGGCAGGGTGCTGGTCTCCTGCTCTCCACTGCTGTGTTTCCTGCAAGAGTCAAGAGCTCAGAGCAATGGCCACTTGGCTTCACTGTAAGTGACTGGCTGTGGTGAGGAGGACTTGTCCACCAAGGTCGTGTGGCCTGGGAGCCTGCATGCCTATGGGGCCCTTGGAGGAAGTGGGCACGAGTTGTGGCCAGCATGGAGATGGCGCTGGCTGTCCCCACAACTTTCTGAGTTAACCCCCTTTGGCTTCTCATTAATTTACTCAATAGTTACTTGAAATGTTTAACATGCACTAGGTATGTTTGGGACTTGAATAAAACATTCTAGAAAAACAAAAAGCATGCTAGCTTTACGCTGCTGATCAAAGGGGCAAGAAGCAGCAGATCTGAACCAGAACTCCTCTCCACAGGGACAGACCTCACGGGCGACTTCTGCCAGCGTCCCACCGGCCCATCACAGATCTTGCAACCCCAGGCCAACCTCTTCCTCGTGGAAGACACATCTTGAAAGTGTCTCCAAAAGACTGTGTCTTCCACCTGTCATGGGGCAAGCTGGCAGGCGCAATGCTTCTGGCTTTCCCAGAGGCAGAGCTGGTTTGGCAATCTCCTTACCTTCTCTGTTTGACAGCAGCAACAAGGTCAGGCCCTGAAAACATGGAGAACAGGCTGTCCCCATTGGCTGAAGAGGTCTCATCGCTGGAGCTGGCCGAGTCTCCCTGAGCACCTGACCAGCCGCTGTGCAGGCTGTCCCTGAGAGTGGAGAGAAATTGGTCAAGGATCCCACAGTCTTCCCACTGTCACTCCCGGCCAAAACTTGGCATGTCTTGTCTTCCCTTTCTCTTCAAAAGTAATGGTGTCATTACTCCCTTTCTCGGAAGCCTGTGGCTGGTATGCAATTGGCTTTAGAGAAAAGTAAAGTGGGGATTATCAACAGGAAGCGATGAGACACGAATTCACAATCCTCTTAAACGTTTATCTATCTGTGCCCGTATAAGTGTATGGGGGCCACCCGTGTGCAGGTGCCCTCAGAGGCCAGAAGAAGAGGGGTCAGTTCCCTTGAACTGAAGTTATCAATGGTTGTGAGCCACCACATGCATGCTAGGAACCGTCTGGGTCCTCTGCAAAACCAGTAAGTGCTCTCCAGTCACTGAGCCATCTCTCCAGTCCCTATTAGTTTTACGCCCTCTGAAGTAAGGTTTCTCTAGGTACTATGCAGCCCATGCTGCCTTCAACTCTGACCGTTGCTGTGTGAGCACAGACCACGGCGTGTCCCACCGCGCCCCACCTCCAGGACTGTCCATGCACTGGAACCGGAGCTGTGCTGGGGTGGAGCTCAGGCGCTGCGCTTGCTGGGTACGCACGCTGCCGCAGAGCCACACCCCAGGCCTCCTGTGCCCTCTGTGGGCTGTAATAACCGCATTCTAACCTCCCGGGTTTCACACCCAGACTCCTTTCACCAGAGACCACACGAAACACCGTTAACTGAGGTCCCTGCTCTAGGAGGGGAAAGGCTCGTTTGCTTTCTCTTGCTTGACTCCTAGGTTAGTATTTACAAGTCTCAAGAGGTAAAACATTTTAATGTAAAAATATTTACAAATCTCACATGTGCGCTGCTTTGCAAGAGGCCGGCTATGTTTAGGCAGTCATGCGTAGCTGAGGTGCATTGTGTGGGGACATCATACCCCCTGGCACCGTGTATTAGGGTCTGACCACACCACACTTTCACTGCCCGGTGACACTAATGAAAACCAGTGAGCCCCCCACCCCCCCCCAACAGGCCGCAAGGGCATCCAGATCCCAAACTGGCTTCCTTACGGTAGGCAGAACTCACCCTTCCGTGAAGAACTCTGGCAAAGGCCAGGTCCGGTGGGCATCATCCATGGGTGGCCAGTGGCCCCGGGGGTGGCCCGGCCGGCGGCCATGCTGGGCTTGCCTCTTCTGCTGCATTGCCTGGCTCACTCCTGCCACGTAGCGAGCAAACTCTGGGTCTGAGCCCACTGTGTTGAAGCAAAGGGGAAATCAGGAGTTAAGGCCCGATCGGCCTCGTCCTTTCTTCCCCCCGAGAATGAGCTGGCGGACACACGGTAAGGTGCAGAGATCCTGCCCATTATTTGGTTGCAGGCTACAGCCACTCCCTGCAGCAAGATGGCGCTCAGGGCATGCAGCTCTGAGCCTGGGGTTGGCACGTGGGGCTGTCAGCAGGACTTATGCCTGGGCTGGGTGTGACGAGGACAGAGGAGGAAACTCCAAACTGTCCACAGCCACTTTGTTTTTGCTTCTTGAGAAAAGTTTTACCGGGTATCTACAAATAGACTATATAGCAGGCTGGGCAGAACGCTCAGTGAACCCCCTACTCACTCCCCTAAAGCTGTTTTTTTGTTGTTTGTTTGTTTGTTTTTCGAGACAGGGTTTCTCTGTGTAAACAGTCCTGGCTGTCTTAGAACTCTCTCTATAGACCAGGCTGGCCTCGAACTCGAAGAGATCCTCCTGTATCTGTCTCCTGAGTGCTAGGATTAAAGGCATGCACCACTTGGTCCCAGCTCCAAAGCTAAATTTTTAATTTATTTTTATTTTATTTGCATTGGTGCTTTTCCTGCATGTATATCTGTGTGAGAGTATCAGACTTGTAGATACAGACAGTTGTGAGCTGCCATGTGGGTGCTGGGAATTGAACCTAGGTCCTCTGGAAGAGCAGTCAGTGCTCTTAATCATTAAGCATCTCTCCAGCCCCCAAAGCTAAAATTTTAACACAAGTAGGAATTATCTTTAAAAAAATGTTAAGGGGCTGGAAAGATGGCTGAGCAATTAAGAGTACTTGTTGCTTTTGTGGAAGGCCTGGGTTCAATTCCTAGCGCCCACAGGATGGCTCACACCCAGCCATAATTCCAGGCACTTATGTGGTGCACATTCATACACATAACAATCTAAACTTTAGTTTTCAAAAATTTGTGTGTATGGGACTGGAGAAATAGCTCCTGGTTAAGAACATTTGTTGCTTTTTGTAGAGGGTCGATTTGATTCCAAGCACCCACACGGTGGCTCCCAGCCCCCCACAACTCCAATTCCAGAAGGCATCTTCTGACTTTCACAGGTACCAAGCATGCATGTGGTGCGCACACATATGCACAGGCAAACCATTCATACACATAACATTTAAAAAGGCTTCTCAGTGTGTGTGCGTGTGCGTGTGTGTGTGCGTGTGCGTGTGTGCGTGTGTGTGTGTGCGTGCGTGCGTGTGTGCGTGCGTGTGTGCGCGTGTGTGCGTGCGTGCGTGTGTGTGTGTGTGTGTGTGTGTGTGTGTGTATGCCCTGGTCTGACAGCTAGCCAATGGCACTAATCCCCCGGAGCTGGAGTTACGGAGGTTCAGAGGTGTAGAACTGCCAGGCATGAGTTTTGGGAACTAAACTCAGGTCCTCTGGAAGAGCAGCGGGTGCTCATAATAGCTGAGCCACCTTTACAGACTGACTTAAAATTTCCAATGTCTTGCTACTATGAATTTAGAGTATTTAACAACTTAAGAGAATCACATGATGATTTTTGACCAACTACATGATGGGATTTGGCTAAGCCAGATAGTGGTTCCGTGTCACTGCCACTCAAGCTGAACTTGGGGCCAGTTGTTTCCTTGGGCACTGGGCAACAGACTGGCTTGTTCAGTGTGAAGACAACTGTGACAAAGACCAAATTTCAGAATGCAGTAAGATGTGGCTGGACACACTCTTCACAGGGCTGAACAACGCTGTGCAGGGCAGCAAACACCCCAAACCAGAGGAGAAGCATTTGGAGATGTGTCAACAAGAAGGGGACAGGTGGGCCAGGGATACGGTCCAGCTGTAGAGGGTCTGCCTAACATGCACGAGGACCAAAGACGGAACTCTAAGTGGAAGTGAGCCCACCCTGCACACCGTGACCCTTCAGGCTGGCAGAGACTGCAGCGTGACCCTATGAAGATGCCTATTCGGAAGGGAAGGGCCAGCGAGGGGAGGGCCAAGCGAGGCAGCTATGAGCAAAACGCTCAAGGACACAGCTTTGAAAGTGTCACGAGCCCAGTGGATGTGGTGCAGGCCTTTGACCCCAGCAATCAGGAGGCAGAAGCAGGTGATCTCTGTGAGCTCGAGGCCAGCCTGGTTAGTCTACAGAGCGAGTTCCACGACAACCAAAACTACACCAAGAAACTCTGCTTTAAAGAGAAAGAAAGGAACGAAAGGCAAAGGATCGGGGCTCTCGATGGATAAGGTGCCCCTTACCTCCTCCGTCACTTCCCTCTCCCCGGCACCCGCCTCCAGACGGCGGGAGGACCCCAAGGGCGGCTGTGGGCCGGGGTGGGTGCTCCCAAGGAGAGCATACGAGTATATGCACGCATGAACCTTCACAAGGCTGTGGCAGACAAGCCTCTGAGAGTTCATCAGCAGCTGCGCTGCACTCTTAAGCGGGGTGAGCAGTGGGAAGGCCGCAGGCCCTACCTGCAGGATCAAAAGGCAGAATCTCCCCCAGCATTCCGAAGACCCCGTCAGTTTGGTCACGGTTTGGCCAGGTGTTATTCCTAGGTCCCTGCGGCTTCTGTCCCAAGACTTCTGACATCATGTTGTCCATATAGCTGCTCACGAGGCCCAAGCTGTACAAGTCAGAGCTGAGATCAGACACGCCGGGCCACTGGCCAAGAGGAGACAGAGCCGCTGCCACTGGCGGCGCTGGCTGCTGAGATGAACCATGGACCCACTTGCCAGGCGCCCGAGGCTGGGGTGGAGTCTGCTGCGATCCGATGGGTTGCAGCAGGTGCTGGTAGTACTGGACCTGGGGCTGCTGTTGCTTTGGAGACTGCTGCTGAGGAGCCAGGCCCTGCTGGGGGGCCAGAGGTGTGTGCGCTCCAGCCTGGGGTGTCCGCAGTGGAGGGGCCAGTGGCAGTGACGGCTGCTGTGGTTGAATGGCTCCTGCCTTCTGGTCAGTCGCCATGGCAGTGGCAGCAGAATTACGCCTTGTCACTAGTGGGGACCCCTGATGTGACTGGCCCATGTTAAAGCCTGAGAGAAAATCTATCACTTCCTGCATTTCCTGGTCAGTGGGTAAGTTCATGCCCTTCTCGTCCTTGCCATCATCCCCGTGCAGGAAGGTGTCATGTCTCTCCAGGAGAAAACCGTTGGCCATTGGGTTACTGGAGCTCTGGGCCGACTGGGAAGGGTCTGTAGTCCTGGGGAAGTTGCCAATGTTCAAAATGCTCTGCAGCCGGGTATCCACGCTGCCCGGCATCTTGGCCTTCTCCTCTGAGCACCCGGCTGCGAAGACGGTTTTGGAATAGTGGGCGCTGCCGGAGCTGCTGCACGACACCTTCTTGGTGAACCGAGACGTCAGTTTGGAGAAGGTCTTCTGCAGGCCTGAGGATTTGCTCCCATTTCCAGGCGGCAGGTCAGCCTGGTTCCCAAAGTCACAGATGTCCCTTTGTAGCTGGATCTGTATACAGGGTAAAGCTTGTTCCCTATTTGAATGGGAGAAACAGAAAAGAGAAAGGCCGTCACCAGCTGAGAACGAGAGCCTGTTACTCCTGACTGCTGGCATGTGATATTTTAAGTTCCAGACTGAGCAATGAGTTAAGGGAGTCAGGGAGGGGAGTGGAGAAGGGACAAGGACGTGCCTGACTTTGAGAAAAAGACCTTCAGCCTGACATCAACCAGTCATGGGGGAACTGGAGCCTCCACCAACAGCAATGCTATAGGTAGGTAAGACTGGGCACTTTCTGGATCACTGACTGATGGGGAGGGCCCAGCACACTACGGGCAGCGCTACCCCTGGCAAGTGGTCCTGGTTTGCACAAGAGAGCAGACTCTGCAAGCCATAGAGCAAGTCAATCAACAGCAGTCCTAGGTCTCCAGTTCACCTCCGCCTCCGGGCTCCTGCCGTGGCTTCCCTAGATGACGGACAGTGTACTGTGAGCCCAAGGAGCCGTATTCTCCCCTAGCTGCTTTGGTCATGGTCTTTACCACAGCAGCAGAAGGGAAACTAGGTCAGGTGGATGCTGGGTCCATCTGCTTCATACACAAGTAGATGAATACCCGGGTCTACACAAGGCCGTGAGGCGGTAGCGTCTGCAGTTGGAGTGAAGCCTACGTGAGGCACATGAGAGCAGGGCTGGCTAGCGTGGAGGTGTAACGGGCTGATTCCACAGGAAAACAGAGGGCAAATGCAAACAGCAGGAGGCCGGGCTGTGTCAGGACCACCATGTTGATGTGCTGATGCTGTTACTTCCAAGAAGTTCAGGGCTCTCCCTCCCTCCCTCCCTCCCTCCCTCCCTCCCTCCCTCCCTCCCTCCCTCCCTCCCTCCCTCCCTCCCTCCCTCCCTCCCTCCCTCCCTCCCTCCCTCCCTCTCTCTCTCTCTCAGACCAGGCCAGGCTGGCTTCGCACTCAGAGATCTACCCGCCTCTGCCTCCCAAATTCAACTGCTAGGATTGAAGACGTGTGACAGGGCCTGACCCTGAGTACTTCTTTTTTCTTTTCTTTTCTTTTGGTTTTGCGAGACAGGGTTTCTCTGAGTAGTTTGGGAACCTGTCCTGGAACTCCCTCTGGGCACTTTTTCTACTGCAGGAGAATACTACAGATAAGCATCACACGAGGCTGACGAGGCTGCTATGGCCCTTGACAAGACAGTTCACTGAACTCATGTGTTAGGAGGACAAAGCTGGGTGTGCTGGTTTCTCATCCCTAGGAGTCAAGGTAAGTGGCTTGCAGAAGTTCAAGGCCAATTTGGACTACACAGTAAGTTTGAGGCCAGCCTGAGGTACAATGGCATCTGTCGGGAGAGAAGAGGGCACTGAAAAGACGCAGTCAGCACAGGGCACACCAAGACCAAGTTCTCAGCACAAAAGTTAATTTGCCTCAGAGAGACGGCTGGGAGGAAAGGGGCACAGGAGAGGGAGAAGGGTTTTTTCCCCAAGGGGCAAAGGACTGCCCTGCATAGAGAGGAGACAGACCCACAGACAAATGGCAGGAAAAAGGGAGGGGAACCCCGTGCTAGGATGCTGGTTTGTTTTGATTGGGCATGTAAATTAGGGCAGCCCAAAGGAGGCTCTTTTTTCTTATTTTGGTTTTTCAAGACAGTTCTGTGTGTAGCTCGGCTGTCCCTCTATGTAGACCAGGCTGGCCTCGAACTCACAGAGATCCACCTGCCTCTGTCTCCCATGCGCTGGGACTAAAGGCGTGTGCCTTCTTGCTTTAGTTACCATACATTCTGTGGCTGAGCACACATGGATTGTATGGTTGTGTATGGCTATATTGCTCCTGCCTGTGGATCTCAGACGCAAATCATTTGTACAGCTAGTTCAAGTGACTGGAGGGGACACCAACCTCCCCGCCCTCCAGCGGTTTAGGTCCAACACTGCTGTGTAAAGCACATCCACCAGACCCAGGGTCTTCTCAGGATCCAGGCTCCTCTGCAGCAGGGACATTGTGGCAGGGTCTTCCTTCAGGCACCTAGGCACAAACCAGGTGACATTAGTCTTGGTACTCAGAGAAAGCATTGTCGAAAAGACTACAACTTAGGAACTTTTAGCATAAAAAAAAAAACAAAACCCCAGCCGGGCGTTGGTGGCACACGCCTTTAGTCCCAGCACTCGGGAGGCAGAGGCAGGAGGATCTCTGTGAGTTCGAGGCCAGCCTGGTCTACAGAGCAAGTTCTAGGACAGCCTGCAAAACAATACAGAGAAACCCTGTCTCAAAAAAACAAAAACAAAAACAAAACCCTAATACAAAAAACAGGGAGTGCCAGGTTTGGTAGTGCAGGACTTTGAGTCCCAGCAGGCGGATGTCTGTGAGTTTAAGGCCAGTCTGGTGTACACAGGAACTTCCAGGACAGCCAAGAGAGAAAGGTGTCACACACGCTCCCAGGAAAAACCCCATCCGCCCCAGGGAGTACAGGAACAAAGTGCAACACTAGAATCCCTGTGTGAAGAGAAAGTACCGGCACACGGGCCTCTCCACGGGAGCATGCCCCAAAGAGCAGACTCAGACAAGGCCTGACACAAACGGGCAGCGTGGCTGTAGAAAGAAGAGCACATTTAGGTAAGCCAAACTTTCCACTGTAAGAGGAGAACGTTGTATGTCAAGACGCTTTCAGAGCACGTAGTGCACATCTAACTAAAGAAAACCTTAGCTGAATCCGGTTTCCTATTTATTTCATGTAACTTCTTGGATGGCAGCAAAAGTAGATACGGGCTCTCTCAGCGGCTGAGACCTTCTGCACGCGGCTGGGCTCTGCCTCCAGCTCCGACACTGACCTTCTCAACTCTGACAACCCCACAATGACAGGGATGCTAGAAGTACCATTTGTTCTAGTTTGATCCAAATAAGGAGCTTTATTTATTTTATTTTATTTTTGCTTGGTTATCGAGACTGGGTTTCTCTGTGTATCCCTGGCATCCTGGAACTCACTCTGTAGATCAGGCTGGCCTCAAACTCAGGGATCCACCTGTTTCTGCCTCCCGAGGGCTGGGACTAAAGGTGGCACCACCCCCTCCCAGTGACACAGAGTATTTAAATCCCTTGGAATTCCTTGGTGATGTGGGTGTTTTGGTGGTGTCAGGGATGGAACCAAGAGGAACCCAGATGTTGGACACAGCTCGGCTCCAGCCTGCTTTCACCCTACTGACACTGTCTGCGGATGGACGCCGGGGCAGCAGCAGGATGGGGTCTGATCACTAGATAGACCAGACCACCCCGCTAGACGCTTGGGAAGAGCTTAACACCACTTTCCCAGTGTGTGGAGGTGGCGGGAGAGCTTGAGACCAGGTGCTAATCCACCGCGCCTGCATGGCACTAAGACTGGAGACCTTCCACTCACGGTGCTAGTAGTGGATATGCTTGGAGAGGATGGGGCTTCATGACCTTCCCATATAGCTTTCCATGGAGCCTCCTTTTGGCTCATCTGTCCCCACTGAGGTATCCTTTGTAATCAGCCCATACTCCATGTTCCTGGGTTCCAGGAGCCATTACAACAAATTATCAAACTTGAGGAACAGATTATGGGAACTCCACAATTACAGTTGCTTGGTTAGAAAGGACAGGTAACATCCTGGGCTTGGGTATGACGTGGGAAGGAGATTTGTGGGGCGGAGCCATTAACCTAACTGGGCTTCATGTTAACTTTGGGTGGTTTACATCGAATTCAAGTGTAGGTTACCAGTGTCTGCAGAAAAATCAGAGAATTGCGTGGTGTGGGAAGACCAGTGTTTGCTAAGTGTCTGTGAATATGGGACTTTGTAGGTCCCCACGGATTTCTCTGTCTAGACTGTCTAGCGGGAAGAGGTTAATGTGATGGTTGTTTTTTTCTTTCTTTCTTTTTTTTTTAAGAATTATTTTATGAGCCAGGCATTGGTGGTGCATGCCTTTAATCTCAGCACTCAGGAGACAGAGGCAGGTGGATCTCTGTGAGTTCCAGGCCAGCCTCCAAAACAATACAGAGAAACCCTGTCTCGAAAAAAAAGAAAAGACTTATTTTATGTATGAGTGCTGCCCCCATTTCTATGTAGCGTGTCCATGCTTGTTGTCCATGGAGGTCAGAGACACTATTAGAACCCCTGAAATAGGGTCACAGATGGCTGGGAACCACAATGTGGGTGCTGGGAACCAAACCCAGGTCTTCTGCAAGAGCAGCTTTTAACTGCTGAGCTAACACTCCAGTCTCCTCCTACCCAACCTCCATTTTAAACTCTTGAAATAAGAGTCTTGCTGTCGCCTTCTGAGTGCTAGGATAGGAAGTGTGGGCTACACCACCTGGCATTTTATCAAACTTAGACACAGCCCAAGCCAAGGGCCTTTATGTCCGAATTACTCTCCCTCTCACTAGGCTTTCAAGGGCCTCTGTCGCCTGGCCCCTAAGGTCTTCCCTCTTCTGACTAGGTTTGCCACACCTGAGGGCTTTTGCTCTGCACAGCTCCCGAAACAGCCAATCACCGCTAACCCATCTCCACTGTCCACAGCAAGCCTCTCCGAGTTGGAGAGCCAGCTAACTAACGGAGAAACAGGCTTCCTGCCAGTTCCTGGGCCTTTTGCAGCCACTGAGAGGGGGCAGCAGTACTCCCAACATGACTTGGCTAGGGACGAAACTTAAGTATGGGGATGAGAACCGGCCTGATGCTGGACTCTTAGGAGATCTTGCTTACCCAAACAGACCAAGATTTGGACACCCAGTTCCCTCAGCGGAACAACTGACTACCGGGACATACCTGTTCCAGGTCCCTCAGCCCACTTCTAATTGAGCCTGGGCTCACCACTGTGGTTTTACAAACTAAGAGATCATTTGCTGCTCAGACAAAAGGAGTGCTATAGTTCCTTGTAATTTATTTTCTGAGAAATTAACAAATTAAGGTTATGCATTAGCTTCGAATGCTGACCAATAAAACCCTGTAAGGTTGCCCAGGAGTCTAGATGACAAACCTCTGAGACTCACTTAAGCCTTGTACCTGTATTTTAAATCAAAACCCCGGTTTTCCCAAGGCTCTGGAACTCTTGGCTGCCACAATTCCCCACCACCATCTCTGACTGAGTCAGTCTGCTCCCCAAACTTTCACGATGGGTGTGCCTTCTGTATGGCTTCCTCCAAATGCTCTCAGCATGGCCTCTCATCTCCAGTTAAACATTACAGCCTCAAAGGGATGCTTCCTGACTGACCTCTCTCCAAAATAGGCCCCTGCCTTCTCTGTGACACTCGTCACCCCCTTGTCCTTCCCAAGTCACCTCTTATATGTGCCTTTCCTGCCTTCTCCCTTACAAAGACATTGAACACAAGGAAGGCCCTCTGTCTTACCTGCGATCAGCTTCAAAGAGTGTCTGTTACATAGCAAGTAATCAGTAAGTACATATCGAAAGAAACAACAACAGCTTAAATATACAGAAAGTAGCAGCTTTAAATGTTTTCCTTTTCCTTCGCTCTCTAGACAGGGATTCCCTCTGCGTTCCAGGCTGGCCTGGAACTTGCTGTGGAGTTCTATCATCAAATAATGCTAGTCTATCAACGAATTCACGGTAATGCAGCCTTCTTCTTAGTGTGAACCATCGTGCCTGGCTACAAGGGGCTATTTTGTTGGAAGAAAAAAACTACCTAGCAACTAGATACTAAAAAGCATAGAACATAGTATCATATTTTTACCACTGCCCCCCCAAATAAGATTTATTTCTTTCTGTTTGATGTGTATGAGTTTTTGCCTAAATGGATGAGCATGCCGAGTACTCAAAGGGCGGTAGAGGGTGTAGGCTTGCCTGCAGCTGGGATTATGGACAACTGCAAGTTGCTATAAGGGTGTGAACTGACTGGTCTGTGTGTCAACTTGACACAGGCTGGAGTCATCAGAGGAAGGAGCCTAGCTAAGGAAACACCTCCATGAGATGCAGCTGTAAGGCATTTTCTCATTTAGTGATCAATGGGAGAGGACCCAGGCCACAGTGAGTGGTGCCGTCCCTGGGCGGCTGGTCCTGGGCTCTATAAGAAAGAAGGCTGAGAGAGCCATGGGGAAGCAAGCCATGAGCAGCTCCCCTGCATGGCCTCTGCATCAGCTCCTGCCTTCGGGATCCTGCCCTGCTTGAGTTCCTGTCCTGACTTCCTTCAGTGATGAACAGCAATGCTGAAGTGTAAACCAAATAAACCCTTCCCTCCCCAACTTGCCTTTTGGTCATGGGGTTTGGTTGCAGCAACAGAAACACAAACTAAGACAAGATACTAGGAAACAAACCCCATGACGGGGCTTCACCCCTCCCCCTCAACGACAGGGTTTCTCTGTGTAGCCCTGGCTCTCCTGGAACTAACTCTAGACCAGGCTAGCCTTGAACTCAGAGATTTGCCAACTTCTGCCTTCCTGAGTGCTGGGTTAAAGGTGTGCTCCACCATGCCTGGCTTTAGGATAAACTTTGAGTTTATATTACTTATTGTGTGTATGTGGGTGCATGTGTCCAAAGGGAGAGGGCAGATGACAACTTTCAGGAGCTGGCTCTTCCCTTCTCCCATCGGCTCCCGGGACTGAATGAGGATGTCAGGATTGTAGGCTTATACAATGAGCTGTCGTGCCGGCGCTCAGTTGTTTGTGTTTTTATCACTATATTTATTTAGTTACTTAAGGCGCACGTGCGTGTGAGCGTGCGTGCGTGCGTGCGTCCAGGAGTACAAAGGGGCACGAGGGGACAGTGTGGGAGCTGGTTCTCTCCCCCCACCATGTGGGTCCAGGAGTTACACTCAGGTTACCAGGCTTGGTGGCAAGAGCCTGCTGAGCCGTCTTGCAGGCCTCGTTTGTTTCTTCTGTTAGAAGCTCATGTGGCCCAGGTGGGCCTTAAATTTGCCATGCAGCTGCCTCTGATTCCTGAGTACTGGAATCCACTTTCACACGAAATAATGTATTTAAGATTTGTATTATTATAATTTGAGGTAAGATCTTATTACATAATTCTGGCTGGCCTGAACTTGCTATGCAAAGCAGGCTGACTTTAAATTCGCAAGGTCCTCCTGTGCCTGCCTCCTGAGTGCTAAGATTAGGTGTGAACCACTATGTCTGGCTTTATCACTTTTAATTATGAGTATGTGTGTGAGACTGCAGGTGACTCAGTGTCTAAAGAGGTGGGAGGCACTGACTCCTGTGGAACTGGAATTTTGACAAATGGTTGTGAGCTACTAAGACGGGTGCTGCAAACTGAACTCAGGTCCTCTGCGGAAAGTGCTGTTAATAGCTGAGCCATCTTTGCCAGCCATGCTTGCTTTAAAAAACTGTTTTCTGTTTTTACCAGTGTGTGTGTGTGTGTGTGCGCGTGCGTGCGTGCGTGCACGTGTGCTCACGTGTGTTCATGTGCGCCATGCACTCTCGTGGAGGTAACAACTTTGGAGCTGCTCCGTGGGCGGGCAGGCCTTCACCGTCGCTCTTTAAGCGCTCAGCCCCGGGTCTAGTTTGCTGGCCCCGCTTCATTAAGAGGCTTCTCCACTCGGATCACTGCACTCTGTTTACTGTATCTGCCTCCTCAGCCCCACCCTCACCACCCTGACAGTCATCCTCCTTCCGTTATATAATGTATCGATGTGTGGGGAACGTGATAAGATATTTGTGTGAGAGAGGCAGGCAGGGAAGGCTGTGCTGTGCATGCAGCCCGTAGTGTTTAAGTGGCGATCCTTCTGTCGGCCTCCTAGCTGGCAGGAAGACGGGCACGTACCACTATGGCTGGTTGAATATATTCTTGACTAGTTTGCTGACAAGTATTTTCCCAAGAATGAAGTAACGTGGTCCAGCTTCAGCCTTTCCAATGAGCACAGACTTGTATTGTAAAATGCTCAAAATCCAAACCTTTTTGATGCTAGTAATGACAATACAAGTGGAAAATTACACAGTTGCTCTCATGTGCAAGGTCATAGTGGAAATGCAGGAAAATTACAAATACTGTATAAAACCAGTGCTGGCCTAGAGGCATAGCTGTCTGAGACACAGATGAATTGTGTGCTTACATTTCAGTTTCATCCTCAAATTACCTCATCATATCTACATGCAAGCACTTTAAAAACAGAACCACAGCAAATGACAGTTACAATCTGAAATACTGCTGGTCTCCAGCAGGTCATATAGGAGATACTTGATCTTAGCTTCCAAGAGAAAAACCAAAACCCCAAACTAAAAAAAAAAACAAAAAACAAAAAAACCCCCGTATACTTTTTCATCATTACCAAAATTAAACAGCAGAGGGCGCCTTTGCAAGGAATTACAGCCTACAAGACCATTTCAAGAGGTACAATGAATTGCAAAGGAAATGAACCACACAGCAGTGTTTTGGTAGAAAACTAAAAAGTTTAGTGGTACCTGCTGACAGTCACCCAACTGTATAAAAGTTATGTCTGTTTTTCTCAAGGATCCTTATAAAGTTTAATTTTTTCAGTGAGCCAGGCATGGTGACATACTTGAACCTGAGTTCAAGAGGTAGAGGCAAGGGGATTGGGAGTTCACAGTCACTCAGTGAGTTTCAGGCCACCTGTGTTATGAGAGAACCTGTCTTGAAAAACGAAAACTTTACAATGAGAACTTAAATTGGGCATTTTAATTAAGAATTCGGGAATTACAAAACTCTTACAGAAAAGTGAGTGTTTTAAGTACTGAGCCTTTGGAGGCTGTCCTGGAACTCGCTCTGTAGACCAGGCAGGCTTCGAACTCAGAGATCCTCCTGCCTCTGCCTCCCGAGTGCTGGGATTAAAGGCGTGCGCCACCAACGCCTGGCAAGTGAATCTTTTTTTAAAAGATCTTTGTTACCTATCTATGTATCTATGTGTCTATGTATCCATCCATCCATCCATCCACCCACCCACCCACCCACCCACCCACCCGTCCATCCACCCACCCATCCATCCATCATCCATCCATCCATCCATCCACCCATCCATCCACCCACCCACCCATCCATCCATCCACCCATCCATCCATCATCCATCCATCCACCCACCCATCCACCCATCATCCATCCATCCATCCACCCATCCATCCATCATCCATCCATCCATCCACCCACCCATCCATCCACCCACCCATCCATCATCCATCCATCCACCCACCCATCCATCCATCATCCATCCATCCACCCACCCACCCATCCATCATCCATCCATCCACCCACCCACCCATCCACCCACCCATCCATCCATCATCCATCCATCCATCCATCATCCATCCACCCACCCACCCACCCATCCATCATCCATCCATCCACCCACCCATCCATCCATCATCCATCCATCCATCCACCCATCCATCCATCCATCATCCATCCATCCACCCACCCACCCGTCCATCCACCCACCCATCCATCCACCCACCCATCCATCATCCATCCATCCACCCACCCATCCATCCATCATCCATCCATCCACCCACCCACCCATCCATCCATCATCCATCCATCCATCCACCCATCCATCCATCATCCATCCATCCACCCACCCACCCATCCATCATCCATCCATCCATCCATCCACCCACCCATCCATCATCCATCCATCCACCCATCCATCCATCCATCCATCATCCATCCATCCATCCACCCATCCACCCATCCATCATCCATCCATCCATGCATCCATCCATCCATCCACCGACCCACCCCCGAGCACCACTATTTCAGTCACTATTCCACTTCAATAGTCATACTAATGCTTTTGTCTTTCTGAGCTGGAATCACTGAAAGTTGTGAGCCGCCTGATGTGAGTACTGGGTAGTGACCCTGGACCCTCTGCAAGAGCAGACAGTGCCCTTAACCACAGAGCCCCTCTGCAGTCCCCCACACTACTTTATTAATATGTATTTATGTGGAGGTCAGTGGTAACTCGCAGGAGGAGTCCATTTTCTCCTTCCACATTACTTTATTAATATGTATTTATGTGGAGGTCAGTGGTAACTCGCAGGAGGAGTCCATTCTCTCCTTCCACATTA